GCTTTCAGCCTCACCCTGCTTCATTCTACTACATTAATAAATCATTAGCTCATCCATGAACATGATTTCTGCCCGAGTCCCGTCGGATTGTATCGGCTGTGGGGATGAAGACCACAACTCCCATGATTCCACACTCAGTCACGGCGTCATCAAACTATGCCTTTGTCTCTTTGTTTATTTTGAATATGCGCCCTCTAGCGGCAAAAATTACATATTGTGCCTTTAATGAGACTACTGTTAACCTGAAGTGTAAAGGAAACCATGTCAGATCCAGTGGGGGCAGCAATGATTATTTTCACACCTCGTTGTCACACCTTAAATAGTCATGCTTCATTTTGGATGTTAGCCCAGCAAGTTTCACCAACTTGCCATTTTGTTGTTTAACCAATTTGATATAATTTAACTGATATTTAACATCAATTGGCAATGCATTTTCATTAAGATTTTCTTCCATCTGAATAGATTTTTGATTGTTGCATACTATTTAACCACTTTCATCAGAAAAGACATAACTTCTTACATAGCAAATCTGCTGTTAACTTTTTTTTTTGTGATGTGCATCACCACAGATGTTATTTGTTCTATGTGTACCATTTTAATTACAGCTTCTTACTCTTGAAGTGGGGAAAAATGTGCAGATCATGAGATTTGACTTGCCTTAAAATGATATGATCTGTGTGATTGCAGCCTGATTTTTACAGTTCATTTTTCATCTTCAGTGTCAGAAGACATTGAAAGCCGGGAGGATTTTTCTACTTTCTCTGAACACATTGAAATGTCTGCTCAGGAAAGACAGTAAGTTCATGGAACTCTTTGTGGTGTAATACTATATTAAATAGTATAATATTTGCAATCTGAATCCTTGGTGTTTTAAAAACAGGGTTACGGTTGAAGCCAAAGAGGATACCATGTCTGAAATAAGTGCCGTCTCTGAGTCTGTGGAGGCTGGAGCAGGTGTTGCCCCATTCTTTGTGAAGAAACCCACAGTACAAAAGCTTGTGGAGGGAGACAGCATAGTCTTTGAGTGCCAAGTCGGAGGAAGCCCCAAGCCACATATTTTCTGGAAGAAGAGTGGAATTCCACTTACTACTGGATACAGGTATGTTTTATACTGTACATATATACACTTTTTAATGTGAATTGTTTGCAACTCATTTTTACCATACTTTTTCATTTCTGTGAGTAAAAAGTACTGAGACTTGTTTATAATAAATAAGTGGATAAACAAATTATATTTTGTGCTAGTTTTATGTCTGTTGTGACTGCGTTTTCATTTTTTTAAATGTCTTTTCTTCTGCTTTAATTCATTTTCTATGATGCAAATATATACTTTATTGGCATGATTGTGTTTACATACACAAAACAAGTAGTGACAAGAGATTGTAACAATAACAAATCACAGTAAAAAAAGGTAAAAGAAATAAAGATAAATAAATAAATGTTGAAAAATGTTTATAAATGTTTATATATATATATATATATATGAGAAATATTTATCAAGATATTATAAAAACAAAATAACAAAATACTGTAATATATTTAATAAACTCATGCATCTTCTAGGTACAGAGTAGCCTACAACAAGGACACAGGAGCATGCAAGCTTGAGATCTCCATGACATTTGCTGATGATGCAGGAGAGTACACCATCTTTGCTAGGAACCCACTTGGAGAGATTTCTGCATCAGCCATGCTACTTGATGAAGGTTGGTTTTCTGGGTGACTTTATTATAAATGGCAATAGTACATTAGTTCAAATGTTAATAGTGTTTTTCTGCATTTTACAGAGGCATATGAGCTGTATATGAAGAAACAGGAAGAGACATTCAAGACAGAAATTACTACTATTATAGAGGAGCCAAAAGTGGCTGACATACCTGCTGTTGTTGAGACTGTAACTGAGAAAGAGCAGATGCTCATGCAGAGGAGGATGGCTCAACAAACCCAGATGATGCAGTCCTTCATTTCAGAGCAGGTATGAAAGATTTTAAGCTGCTAAACCTTATTTTAAGATTATACATACCGAAACCAACTTCTGAATCCACAAAGTGTGAGTATGGATCTTACAATGGCATTTTATTTACAGGAGTTACAAATATCTAACTTGGAGCAGAGATTCATCCAAGAAATCGAGTTCCGCCTGCTCAAGATTACTTACCAGGAGCTGGTGATTGAGGATGGGGAGCAGTTGGATATGAGTGTTTCTGAACATGATGCTATTTCTCCAGTCTTTAATACTCCAGTTAAAAGCTACAGACTCAGGGAGGGAATGAGTGCAACATTTCATTGCAGGATGACAGGAACCCCTTTCCCTAAGGTAAGATTAAATTATGTTATGTTTAAACATAGTCAATATTCATTCAATTAAATTAGTATAATGTTTAAGCAATATCACAAGCAAAACTGCTATTGTACTGAAAATCATCAATGCTTGGCCTGTCAAAATAGAGGAATGGAATTAACTGTTGTATTATTTGAACTATAGATCGTCTGGTACAAAGATGGTAAGCGCATCACACATGGAGGCTGTTATCAGATGGAGGTTCTGCAGGATGGTAGAGCTAGTCTGCGCCTTCCTACGGTGCTGCCAGAAGATGATGGTGTCTACACTGCTTTGGTCAGTAACATAAAGGGTAATGCTGTGAGCTCTGGAAAGCTGTATGTGGAGCCATCTGGTCTAGCACAAACCCAGCTTCCTCAGCCTGGCGCAGTTCAAAGAATCAGGTAGGATCTAAGAACGAATCTGAGAAAATCATATAGTTAGTAATATCACTACAGCAAATTACTGTACATGATATTAGAATAAGAGTACTTATCAGATCAAGATATTAAAAATACTGCATTTTTCAGGTCCACGTCACCACGCTCCACAAGTCGTTCTCCTGGTCGATCACCTGCTCGAAGACTTGATGAGACAGACGAGGCCCAGCTAGAAAGACTCTACAAGCCTGTGTTTGTACAGAAGCCATCATCCTTCAAGTGCTCTGAGGGACAGACTGCAAGATTTGATCTGAAAGTAGTTGGAAGACCCATGCCTGAAACTTACTGGTTCCACAATGGTTAGTGATCTACATATCCCAGTTGCGTAGGAGGTTTTAAAACAGTGGAATTTCTTTTATTGCCATGGCATGACAACTGTACTTTTTCATCACAGGACAACAAGTGGTCAATGACTATACCCACAAGATTGTGGTAAAGGAGGATGGAACTCAGTCAATGATTGTGGTTCCTGCCATGCCTCAGGACTCCGGAGAGTGGACAGTTGTTGCTCAGAACAGAGCTGGAAAGACTACCGTATCTATGACTCTCACTGTTGAAGGTACGATGCTACATACACTAGTTTCATTTAAAGAAGGACGTTCTCTAAAACAGTCACTTCAGGCCAGCTGCATTCTAACTGCATTTCTAATGAAATATTAAATTTGACATTTTTGTCATTTTTAGCCAAGGAAAACTTGGTGAGACCACAATTTGTGGAAAAGCTAAGAAACATCAGCGTTAAAGAGGGTACTTTGGTTGAGCTAGCTGTTAAAGCTATTGGCAATCCCCTTCCTGACATTGTTTGGCTGAAGAACAGTGACATAATCTCCCCACACAAACACCCACATATTAGGTAAGTTTTCAGTCCTAAAAATATACAGGTGTAAGTAAATGATCAAAATGTTACTCCCTGTGATGATGTGTATGCTGTAAAAAAATAAATTTCTGTATTACAGTTAACTGAATTTACTTGTTTATTAGGATTGAGGGTGGTAAAGGCGAAGCTCATTTCAAGATTCCATCAGGTACAGGATCTGATAGCGCATGGTACACTGCTACTGCTATCAACAAAGCTGGCAGAGATACCACACGCTGCAAAGTTAACATTGAGGTGGATGCAGTAATTCCTCAGCCTGAGAAAAAGCTTGTCATTCCCAAGGGAACTTACAAGGCCAAAGAAATTGCTGCACCAGAGTTAGAGCCACTGCATCTTCGCTATGGTCAGGAACAATGGGAAGACGGTGACCTCTATGATAAGGAGAAGCAACAGAAGCCTCACTTCAAAAAGAAGCTTACCTCAGTCAGGTTGAAGCGATTTGGACCTGCACACTTTGAGTGCAGACTGACCCCTATTGGTGACCCAACCATGATTGTTGAGTGGCTGCATGATGGCAAGCCACTGGAAGCTGCTAACAGACTACGCATGGTCAGTGAGTTTGGCTATTGCAGTCTTGACTACGAAGCTGCTTATTCCAGAGATAGTGGCATCATTACTTGCAGAGCTACCAACAAGTTTGGAGTTGACCAGACCTCTGCTACACTAATTGTTAAAGATGAGAAAAGCCTTGTTGAGGAAACTCAGTTGCCAGAGGGAAGGCGAGGACAAAGAATAGAAGAAATAGAGCGTATTGCACATGAGGGTGGCCCCTCTGGAGTTACTGGAGATGATAATTTTGAAAAGACTAAGCCAGAGATTGTGCTACTTCCAGAGCCAGTAAGAGTTACGGAGGGAGAAACGGCTAAATTCCGCTGTAGGGTGACTGGCTACCCTACCCCAAAAGTTAACTGGTACCTCAATGGACTGCTCATCCGCAAGAGTAAAAGGTTCAGACTTCAGTTTGATGGTATTCACTACTTGGAAATTGTAGATGCCAAGCCCTATGATTCAGGAGATGTCAAAGTTGTGGCTGAAAACCCTGAAGGTGTTACTGAGCATCTTGTAAAATTTGAGATACAGCAGAAGGAGGACTTCAGGTCAATCTTGCGGCGTGCTCCTGAGATTAAGGCTCCTGCTCCTGTACCAACACAAGAGCATGGTAGAGTCTCATTTGAGGTTGTTAAAGCCGAGAAACCATCTGAGACCTCTAAAGACCCCAAGGAGGTGGTTAAGCTAAAGAAAACTGAGAGAGTAATCCATGAGAAATTAACAGAGGAAACAGAGGAGCTAAGAAGCAAATTTAAGCGTAGGACCCAGGAGGGCTACTATGAAGCAATAACTGCCGTAGAACTGAAGTCCCGCAAGAAGGATGAGTCTTATGAGGGTATGCTGAAGAAGAGGAAAGAAGAACTTCTTCATCATGCAAAAGAACTAGGGCCTGATGCTGAGAAGAATGAAGAGGAGGGTAAACTTACCATTCCCAAAGTCAAACCAGAGAAAATTGTGCTCTCTCCAAGCATGGAGGCTCCTAAGATCATAGAACGGATCCAGAGCCAGACAGTTTGCCTAGAAGATGAAGTACACTTTCGCTGTAGAATCACTGGTAAACCAGATCCAGAATGTCAGTGGTTCAAGAATGGTGTCTTAATGGAGAAGTCAGACCGGGTTTACTGGTATTGGCCAGAGGACCATGTCTGTGAATTAGTGATCAAAAATGTCTTAGCTGAAGACTCAGCAAGTGTAATGGTCAAAGCCATAAACATTGCTGGAGAGACCTCAAGCCATGCTTTCCTACTGGTTCAAGGTAAAACATTTTTCCAACTTGTTGCTGTTTGCATATTCAGTCCCATAAATGGTAAAAGTAATCCTCAGTCATTGTTCTTTGGCTTTGCTTTTAGGCAAACAAGTTGTTTCATTCACACAACTTCTCGAAGATCAGAATGCTAAAGAGAAGGACACCATGGTGACCTTTGAATGTGAGACGAACGAGCCATTTGTGAAGGTCAAATGGATGAAGAACAATGCAGAAATTTTCTCAGGTGACAAATACAGAATGCACTCTGACAGAAAGGTGCACTTCCTGTCAGTGCTGACAATTTCTATGAATGACGAAGCAGAGTACAGTTGTGTGGTTGTTGACGATGACCACATAATAACCAGTGCCTCACTTTATGTTGAAGGTTAGTACAATGCAGTTTCTTCTTCTCATCCATCAGTGTTTATCAGTTTTGAGCAGTGAATTATTTGTCACATGCACAATTTTATGTGTTACGCAGGTGCACCACTTGAAATTGTAAAGAATCTTGAGAATATGGAAGTACCTGAGACATACTCTGGAGAGTTTGAGTGTGTTTTGTCCCGTGAGGATGCTGAAGGCACCTGGTATTTTGAGAACAAAGAAATCACTCCTAGCCTCAAATATGTTGTGTCTGCACGTCGTGGTCGTCATTGCCTTTCTGTGAAAGATGTTAAGAAAGAAGACCAGGGAAAATACACTTTTAGAGTGGGAGATCTTAAGACAAGTGCCTCACTTAAGATGAAATGTGAGTATGAGGCAACCGAGATTTAAAAGCATTTTTTAAGCTACCACATTTTCTAGCAAAACTCATTTTGGTTGTCATATAAATCTTACTTGAATATTTTTTTGGTTCACTCTAGTGCGCCCTGTGACTCTGATGCAAGGTCTTTCTGACCTGACAATCTGTGAGGGTGATATTGCCCAACTTGAGGTGCGATTCTCTCAGGAAAATGTTGAGGGCTCATGGATGAAGAATGGCCAAGCCATTTCTGCTTCCCATAAGATCCACATGGTCATTGACAAAGTCACCCATAAGCTTCTCATTGAGGACGCCAGTAAGGATGATGCAGGAATGTACTCATTTGTTGTTCCTGCTCAGGACATTTCTACAAATGGAAAGCTAACAGTTCAAAGTAAGCCCCTTTTTAACTATAAATGAATGTTCAGTGGGTTCTCAAACATTGATTTCCATTTTCATGAGGATAGTGAGTGTTTCATTAATTATTTTGTTTCTTGCACAGCTATTGGCTTCTTGGCACCACTAAAGGATGTTTCCACAGTGGAAGGAACTAAAGCTGTCCTTGAGGCTAAAATCTCTGCTACTGATATAACTTCAGTGAAATGGTTCCACAACAACAAGCTGGTGACAGCAAGTGATAGAGTCCAGATGGTTGTCAAAGGATCAAAACAGAGACTGGCTATTAACAGGACCTACGCATCAGATGAAGGACAGTATAAATTGATTGCTGGCAAAGTAGACTCAACCTGTAAACTTTCTGTTCAGCGTGAGTGTCACTCAAAATTTGTGTTATTATATATTTATTTTCTTGTTTTAAATTTTTTAATGATGTCATTGTGTTTTATAGCTGTATCTATTGTTAAGCACATGGAAGACTGCGTTTGCACTGAGACCCAGAATGTCACCTTTGAAGTGGAGGTATCTCATCCTGGCATTGATGGTCTCTGGACTTTCAAGGGTCAACCTTTAAAGGCAGGTCCAAAGTACAAGATTGAGGGCAAAGGTACACACTATAGCCTCACTGTTTTGAATGCCATGAAGGACGAAGAAGGAGAGTACATGTTTATGGCTGGTGAAAAGGAATCTAGAGCAAGGCTTACTGTATCAGGTATGTAGACAATCAAATTGCTTTTTAAAATCAAAGTACATACTTTTTTTTTGCCATGCACAATATGAGAATCATGTCATGTGTATAGTTGAGACGTTTAATTTTCATCTCTCCACTAGGTGGTGCTATAAATGGGCCACTCCATGATGTGACTGTAGCAGAATCCCAGACTGCTGAGCTGGAGTGTGAAGTTGCTAATCCTGCTACAGAAGGCAAATGGCTTAAAGATGGCCACCCCATTGACTTCAGCGATAATATCATAAGTGAAAACAAAGGTGCTGTCCGACGCCTTGTCATCGTCATCACCAGGCCACAGGATGTTGGAGAGTACACCTACCAGGTGGCAAATTCCAAGACATCCGGCAACTTGAAGGTTGAAGGTAAACTGTGTCATTAGTATACTTAATTGTTAATATGTTTTGTTTTCTCATTTGTTAGAAGTTATATGGAATTTCTTTCTTTTTTTATTCAAGCCGTTAAAATCAGGAAGACAATAAAGAACCAAACTGTTACTGAGACCCAGGAGGCAGTATTCAGTCTTGAACTCACCCATTTAGATGTGAAAGGATCCCAGTGGATCAAGAATGGTGTTGAGATTCAACCAAGTGATAAATTTGAGATAACTGTCCAAGGCATGGTTCACACCCTGAAGATCAAGAACTGTAACACCCAAGATGAATCGGTCTATGGGTTCAAACTGGGAAAACTATCTGCTAATGCCAGACTCAATGTTGAAAGTATGTTTTTATGTTTTTAATTATCTTTCAAGTACAAAGTTAATTAAATCTGTCTGCTGTTGTTAGATGTATTTCAGTACCCTTTAATCTCTTTTTAGCTATCAAAATTGTGAAAAAACCAAAGGATGTGACATCGCTATTGGGTGCCACTGCCTCATTTGAGCTGAGTTTGTCCCATGATGACATTCCAGTTAAGTGGATGTTTAATAATCAGGAGCTCGAGCCAAGTTCAAATATTAAAACACTGTCTGAGAGGAAAGCCCACAAACTTATCATTCAGAGTGTTGAAGGTCACATGGCAGGTGAATACATTGCTGTGGTCGGGCATCTGCAGTGCAGTGCACATCTTCATGTTGAATGTAAGTGTTTTGAGATATTTTTTTAAATAGTGTTCACCTTGAATGTGAAATTTGGCATTCTAAATATGTTTTATCTTTCTTGCATATATTCAGATTTGGGAGTCACCAAACCTTTGAAGAACATTGAGGTTCCAGAGACCCATGTGGCAACATTTGAGTGTGAAGTTTCACATTTCAATGTTCCATCGATTTGGCTGAAAAATGGAGTTGAGATTGAAATGAGCGAGAAGTTTGGAATTGTGGTGCAAGGCAAACTGCATCAGCTGAAGGTCATGAATGCCAGCCAAGAGGATGTTTCAGAATACACATTTGTTTGTGGAAATGACAAAGTCTCTGCTACTCTGGCTGTAAAACGTGAGTAATTAGTATGTTGTCTGTAAGCTTGAAAGGAATATAAAATTACTATCTACAGCATATTCACAAATGCTTTTTAAAATCTTTCAGCAATTCTGATCACATCCATGCTCCAAGACCTCAATGCTAAAGAAAAAGACACTATTACGTTTGAGGTGACCGTCAACTATGAAGGTATCACCTACAAATGGCTGAAGAATGGTGTAGAAATCCGATCCAGTGATAGGTGCCAAACTCGCACCAAACAGTTCACTCACTCGCTCACTCTCCGAAATGTTCACTTTGGGGATGGAGGAGACTACAAGTTTGTGGCTGGATCTGCTGAAACGTCTGCAAAACTCTTTGTTGATGGTTAGTTTTGTTATATTTACAGCTGCCTTTATGTAACTTAATAGACTGGCTAACAAAAATCTGTTTTCTAGCTCGTGTGATTGAATTCACCAAGCACATTAAAGATATCAAGGTAACTGAGAAGAAGAAGGCTATATTTGAATGTGAGCTCTCTGAACCCAGTGTCCCTGTGATGTGGATGAAGGATGGGCAGGAACTTGAGATGTCTGACAGGTACACTGCAGATATTGCTTAACAATAGTTTTTTTCTTGTTTAAAGAATAAATCTCACTAAATTTTGATTGATTAATGCTTAAAACAAGGGATGTATAACATACAATTCTTAGGGCAAGAACTGTTTACTAACTGTAAACTGCCAATTATCATTGGCTCTGCTTGACCCTATGCTTATTTGCACTGCTCTTGGTAGATTGCGTTGGTCATTATGAAAATGATCTGGCTGTGTCTGTGTTCTTTAATTGTGCATTGTCAGTAGATCAGCTGCAGAACTTTCCACTCCCCTCTGTTCTGTTATGGAATTGTCGTCTCATGCCAATTTGTTTTGTAAATCTGGCCCTTAGTATTTTTGCTTCTTAAGTATAATATAATATTGTTTTAAGGATGTATATATAGTTTTACTGAATAAAACAGACAAAAAAATGATTAAGAAAGTGATTATTTGCAGTCTATAGATCTAAATTCTGTCCATAACTTCCCCATTCTTTTAGATTCAAAGCCACCATTGACAAATTCCTGCAGCGTTTGATGATCCAGACAGTGCGCATGTCTGATGCTGGAGAGTACTCTGTGGTTGCTGGTGCAAGCGTTTCCAAGGCAAACCTCATTGTGGAGGGCAAGGATGTCCGCATCTCTGAGCCTGCTGAGAAGGACATCACTGTAACTACCCATTGTCTTATTACAGTCACTTGTTAAACGTTATCCGTGTTCCATGGCGAGACCACTTTTTTCCCCTCTCTTTTCATGCTTTCCAGGTGGTTGAGAAACAGAGGGCTACATTTGAGTTTGAAGTTAATGAGGATGACATTGAAGGCCGCTGGCTGAAAAATGGTGTTGAAATTCAATCTTCTGATGAGCGTTTCAACTATGTGACAGTTAGAAAGACACATCGCTTGACAATTACTGAAACTTACAGAAGTGATGCTGGAGAATACACTTTCATTGCAGGAAAAAACAGGAGCACAGTCAATCTGCATGTCCAGAGTGAGTGTACAGTTCAGATATCTATAAATATATTTCAATAAATGCTCAGTTTATTTATTATACACACTGCTGTTCAAAAGTTTGAGGTCATTAAGATTCTGTAAATCTTTTTTTCTCACCAAGGTTGCATTTATGTAATCAGAGATACAGTAAACAGTAATATTATGAAATATTATACAAATTTAAACTGTTTTCTATTTTAATATATTTTAAAATGCAATGTATTCATGTGGATAGCCAAGCTGAATTTTCAGCCATTACACCAGTCTTCAGTATCACATGATCCTTCAGAAATTGTTTTGATGTACTGATTTAGTGCTCAAGTATAATTTCTTATTATTATTATCACAGTTGAAAACAATTGTACTGCTTCATATTTTTGTGGAAACCGTCATACATTTTTTCAGGATGCTTTGATAAATAGGACGTTCTAAAGAACGGCATCTCTATAAAAAAATGTAGTGATGGAAAAGTCTTTACTGTCACTTTTGATCAATTTAATGCATTCTGACCCCAAAACAAATGAATGGTAGTGTGTATGTACAATACTTAATCTGAATATATGTCTTTAGCTCTTTCTGTTGATGACATACCAGTATATTCCAAGTGCATTGTACAGCTGTATCAAAGTGGAGCTTTATTTATAGCCCATATAATATCAGCAGTGAAGTTGATTATCTTGGTCTAATATGTGTCTCAATTTAATTCAGTCCCCGAGCCTCCTCAGATCATCAGGCACATGGAGCCCCTGTCTGTTGAGGCTGGTAAACCTGCACGTTTCTCTGTGGAAGTGAAAGGAATTCCTCAGCCTCAGGTATCTTGGTATAAGAACTCTCAGGCCCTGTCTTCTGGGTTCAAGTGTAAGTTCCTGAGGGAGGGAAATGAGCACATTTTGTTGCTCATTGAGGTCTTCCCAGAGGATGCAGCTCAGTACAACTGTGAAGCTAAGAATGACTATGGAGTAGCCACAAGCTCTGCTTCACTTAATGTGGAAGGTGAGCTCATTATCAGACTGTTGTTTAAAACCAGTATTAGGCATTAGTTTTAAATTCTTTCATATAACTAACATTTTAACACAAACATGATTTTTGTAAAGTTTCAGAAGTGGTTTCCCCAGACACGGTGGCTCCAGTGGCCCCACCAGTAATTATTACCTCACTGCAAAATACCTCTGCTGAAGAGGGAGAATCAGCCAAATTCCAGTGCCGTGTCTCTGGAGATGGTAAGGCTCAACCCTGTGAATTGAACAACTGTGGAAAATAGAATATATTCTAAATTCTTAATATGCATGTATAATATTTTTTGTGGATTTAACAAGCATTTGTTTGATTTGTGCAGATCTGAAGATTACCTGGTACTTCAGAGATAAGGAGATTGTGGAGTCTGAGAACTTCAGAATGTCTCAGTTTGATGACACCTGCCAGCTTGAGATCTCCAGAGCATATGTTGCAGATGCAGGAGAATACACATGTGTTGCACGCAATTCTGGAGGAATGGTCTCTTGCTCCGCTGTTTTGACCGTCAATGGTATGTGCAAACGTTTAGGTTCCTTCTCTCCAGAAAATTCCATATTTTTCTCGTTGAACGACCTGACCTTTTTTTTTTTTTGGTTTGGCTTATTAGCATGTTCCATTGCTTAATACAGGTTTTAGATGCCATGCATGATTCTCAGGTCATTAACTTAAAATACACTTTGGACAAACTGTTTCTCATAGGGATCTCATTATCATTATGGATTTCACGAGACAGGTATTTAGTTCCACTGCCATCTATGATCTTACCAAGACCAGGACCCCATTATTTACTGTGCATGTCAAAGGCACTGTTTTCCATCAAAATTCATAGATCATTCAAACACGATATAGAAGTGTTAAAAGATACAAATCGCATCACCTCTCTTTCATTATTGAGAGAACTAACCACAGACCATTAAAAAACCAAGCTTTATTTTTCAGTGAATAGGGTTTTTCCCACAAATCATCAATATAAATAACATTTTAAATGGAAGGCTCATTTTGCTTGTCATCATCCTCATGAATTTTGAGAACTCATCCATGAAATTCTGCCATCTCTCACTACAGTAATAATCTGTTATTTTTAAACTTAAATGGCAGTTTGACATTTATAAGTGTCTAATGTTATTTTTTTTATTGCTCAGATCTCAGTGTGAGAACAGTAGGTAGGCAAAGTGTTTCGAGCACTGGAATGACTCATTCGGAGATGGTCACCTCCCAGACCATGAGTGAGACTCATTCTTCCACTATGCAAACTTTTGAAAGTGTCTCTACGGTGATGATGTCCACAACATCTGTTAAAAGCATTGAGGTCCAACAAGTTACCTCTATGGAAGAATACTCTACAAGCCCCACTTTGACCCTGAAAATGAGTGATGTCATTGTCAGCCTGGGGGATGTGGCTCAGTTCAATTGCTCCTTCAGTGGACAACCATTTACTGAAATTATATGGGATCATAATGGAAGGACAATCACAAATACAGAAAGGGTGCAGTATGTACATCAAGGCGGGCTCATTTCTCTCATCATATTCAATGTCCATCTTGGGGACCAGGGAAGTTACTGCTGTACTGTTAAAAATAGAAATGGTGAAAATCGAACATCTGCACAGCTCACAGTGGAAGGTGGTTATAGATTTTGTTTTGCCTTTGATGCTCATTTCATCCCATCTGCTTCCTGCTGGTGTTTTGTTATTCTAAAATATGTTTCATGTGATTATAACCAACTTTAATTTTTAATTAAATTTACAATGTAATATCCCATGTAATCAATTTTAATACTTTAAAACGTTTAATCCTTCACATGCCTGGCCTAACATCATCCTCCATCTTACTAAATTTTTTTTGTTCTTATCAATGCTAAAATATCTTGCTGAATTACTGAATAATCCCTAATAAATTTCCCTAACTTTATTCTCACTCAGCTAAAGAAGCGAACCCCAAAGAAACCCTCGTACCTTCCGGTTCTATCAGTAAATCTTCTAAAACTGAAAATGAGTCAAGTAAAAAGGCCACTGACCAAGAAAAGCAGGAGTCCTTACCGAATGTTGGAGCTCTGACAACAAAGTGGCAGATAAGCCGACATTACAATCCTGATGTTATCCCTTTGTTGGAGCGTGACATATACGATGCAATGCAGCCAGAGTTCCCTGTGAAACTGTCCCCAGAATTCCTTGCCAAACAAAGGGAGAGTGTTTCTCTTTATTATGTAATCAAAGGAACCCCCTCTCCATTCGTTGTATGGCTACACAACCAGTTGAATGTTGAAGAGCCAAGGTCATACTCCTTGAAACATGACGGGCCATTGTGCTGCTTAAATGTAAAGAATATTGGTTCTGAACAAGGGCGCACACATTCTTGCGAGGTTATCAGTGTTGCAGGAGACAAAACATGCAGCACTCATCTCAGAGTGAAGACAGGTTTGCATTTGCATGCTTTAGTCTTTACCACCTTTTATGTTAGCCCTGGGCACACATTTAATTTTTTTAAGTCATATGTCCACTCTTATAAGTAGAAAGAGACAGAAAAAAAGAAAAAAAAGACATCTCTCAAAAAAAGGAAATAAATCACAACATGAAAATGTTGTCTCTATAGGAGTCTGATAGTGACTGCAGTGGACACCTGTCATGGCATGGGTGATCTGCAAGGGAGATGTGGTCCATTTTCATTATGTTTGAAGGAGAAAATGGGTTTATAATAATAAGAATGCACAGATACTAAAATACTGCATAGAAACTTCATAATGTGCTGTCACACATAAAATATTTGTTTGTGTTTTTACAGTGTCTAAAGTGGATGAGGAGGCCAGTTATGAAGAGGAAGCAAAAGGTAAATGATTAAATACAAATTTTGTTGACTTATCATTTATTTACTTCATATTGTTGTGAGGCTTATTTATTTTTTCTGTATATATTTTTGTAAAAAAAATAATTTTGCATAATTATGTATCTATAGGTTTTCCCACCACTAACAAAGTACTTTGTATATATAATATATTGCATATTATGAAAATTTTATTGAACCATTTCATCATTTTTTATTCAGTGTTTTCTACCTCGACTATATCAACTGGAGAGGACTCTTGCACAACAAGTCTTCATTTAAAAGAAAAAAGCAAAACATTTGAACTCCAGCCAGAGTGTAAATTATTTTCAGAACCATTAGAGAAAAAGCCAGAAAAGCCAGTCTTTGTAACAAAATTCTCATCAGCAATCGCAACTTTTGGAAACACGGCTAAGTTTACTGTGATAGTTTCTGGATTTCCTAAGCCAGTTATTCAGTGGTACCACAATGGCCAATTGATAAAATCCTCAGCTTTTTATACATTTGTCCAAGAGAAGGAAGAACATACTCTTGTCATAACTAACATTACCAAAGAGTTGGAAGGAGAGTATTCTTGCAACGCGAGCAACCAATTTGGCAAGTCAACATGTACATCCTATCTTCATGTAAAGGTGAAGGACATAAAGGAGCAAGAAGAGACTTTTGGGCAGCCTCCATATTTCATCAAAGCAATTGAGCATGTGAAGTGTGCAGCCGGTAGCCATGCTCTTTTTGAATACACCGTAACAGGGGCTCCACTTCCTGATGTTCAGTGGTACAGAGGTAGCAAACATATGCAGCCTAGTAAGTACTGCATCATTGTGAACAATATAGATGGGTCTGGCTATTTAAAGATATTAGGCATTCAGCAAAGCGACAGTGATCTTTACTCTTGTAGGGCATCTAATCCTCTTGGAGAAACCTCTTGCAGTGCAGAACTCATTGTATTCTTGGAGACAGCTTCTGAAACCACTGAATCACGTTTGTATAGTGTCAGTCTTCCAGAACAAGTCAAGACTAGCCTTCAGGAAGGACAACAGATGGTTTACACCACTGGCACTGAAAACAGGCAAACTGTTACAAGTGGGCAGATGGGTACCTTGCATGCTTTAGATATATCTGCAGCCACTGTGCACATGGAGCAGGTAACTCACCAAGATACAGTGATTCAGTCTCATGATGTCCAGAAGAGAGTAAAAGTTGCCCCTGCCCTGCCAATGCCAGTGGTGGCAACTCCTCTGAAACAGCTGCATATGGCTGCAATGGCCTCTGCTGTTCAAGAAAACCAAGGCTTTACTGAGCAGCACTGTCATCAAATTGTTAGTCCAGAAGTACGAGAGCTTGAATTGAGTGTTGAGGAGCACTCAAAACTTATGTCCGCCATTTCAGAGAGTTCTACACCTCTTAGCATATTGAAAGCTGAGGATTTGATAAAAAGTGAAACTGAAAAGATACAAACAACTTCAGAGCCAAAGGTTATTGTTAGTGGTCCTCAAGTTGAAATTAAGTTACCAATTCTATGGGAAGAATGCACAAAAATTAAAAGTCCTGAAGAGGAGAAAAGCTACAGAGTTACAGAAGGGGTTAAGTTATTGTATACTGCAACATCATTGGAGAATGTAGCACTTACAGAAGGTCATACTTCAGAGCTAGCAACTTTTGAGTCCATTGTATGTTTAGCAGAAAAAGAACAAGCCAAACCAGTGCTTACATCAGTCAGTGAGACTAAGCACACTCTTTTAAAAGAAAAAAACTTTAAAATGCATAGTCCAGACAAGGAAACTGCTCAGCTCTCTAAAGAGCCAATATTAAAATCAGCCCTGGTTACTGAAGAAAAGAACAAGCTTCAAGCTGACAAAACCACTGGAATACCTATTCTAGAGCATCCCTTTTCAGTCCATTCCCAAAAAGAAGAGGATCAGGTGCTTCATTTACAGCTTATCAGTGACCAAGGCACTCTTTTGTCTGAGGGCAGATTTACTAGTGAGAAGCCAGGTTTCGAGCAGGTGGATGTCAAAAAAATGCCAATTATTTTGCACGCAGTTTCTTCTGATGACCAGACAACGTTTTTTTATGAACCGGCAACACAGCTAGCATCCAAGGATACCACAATTGTTGTAAAGCCCAGAGAAGAGTTTCCTGCCCGATTACATCTTCACTCGGTGCAGTCGAATACTACTTTATATAAAGAAGGGTTACTTTCAGTCGAAAAGCCAGATGAACAGAAAGCCATCCAGAGACAAGAAAAAGACCGTAAATTTGTAGCCACTAAAGAAGAACGTGTAAAACTAACTTCAGATTATGCCAAAGGTCTTGATGTGATGGTAGAAGGTTTTAAGATTGAGCACAAAACAGAAGCCAGACCCTTGAGTGTGCTTCAGGTAGTCTCACAGACTGATCCGCTTTCAAAGGAAAGCCCTCTGGTCAGTGAAGTCAAGCTGCATTGTGCAATTGTGCAGAAAGAGGATTGGTGGAATAACATGCATGCAGCATCTGTGTCAGAATCTCATTCAATAGAAGAGGGTCGCACAGACAGTTTCAAAGCAGTTGAGAAATTTACTTGTAAGACAGATGTAGAACCTAAAGTACCGGTTCAGTCTTATCATGTAGAGGAAAAAGCCATATCAACAGAAAGTTGTGTTTCTCTTGAGGCTGCAGAGCAAGACTTTGCAGTTCAGATTCAAGAAGGTCAATCTGTAAGGCATTCAATACTTATGGAGGAAAAACATACTCTGACAGGTGAAATGTCTCAGGGATTTACCAGATCAGAGGCAACTGAAATAAACATTACAACTCAGCCACTAGAACCTCTTTTAGTAAGTGAATCGCAGGAAAGCAAAACTCTTCCAAAGGAGCTTACCTTTCTAATTCCTGTACCAAAATCACACAGCTTGGACATCAAAGAACAGTTGGAAATGACACTTCGATGTGCTGTGGCTTGTGAGCAACCTTTGCTTTTGGCAGATGTAGTGCAAAGTTTAGAAGTCGGGGAAGTAAAGGAGGTCAGGATGCACATGGAACCGAAATACTTGATGTTCACTTACCTTATTACAGCAGCTGGTCCACCCATTGAAATTACAATTGCCTTCGAGGGTGAATACCCACAGACAGCAGCTCTTAAAAATGAGTTTCGTGCTGCTTTCTACTCCATGCTTAATCAGGAGAAACCCATCTTGACCTCTGAACAGTCAAACATCTTAAAACTTGACAGACCTGAGAGACTGCAGGTTAGCAAAGCTTCTTCATATCCATTATCCTCAGCAATTTTAACAGAAAATGTTGAAGTGTTTGCAACACCCAAAATGCAGTCTGCTGCTCTGCAAACAGAAGCTAAAGTCTCTTTGCAATCTGCAATGTCTCAAAAGCAAACTGCTATCCAGGAGTCAAGGCACCATGTGACTCAGAAGACTACTGAATCCAAGATGGAGATCCACAGTTTCACTGAGACTGAACACAGGGAAATGAAAATTGTTTCAGATATTACAGTTGATGCACCTCACAGGCAGGAAACTGTGGAAAAGCCTATGGATGTTCTTATTCAAGAAGACAAACGAGAGGAGATTTTAACAGAGGACATTTTGCCTGAAAAGCTCTTTTTTGAAATACCATTAAAAGATATTAATGCAGAGGAGAATTCCAAGGTTACATTGTCTGTGAGAATAAAAGGTGTAAAAAGTGTAAACTGGCTTTTGAATGGAGTATTGATCAAATCTGGCAAAGAGTTCAAATGTTTAAAGGATAATGACTCTTACACACTCTTAATCAACAAAGTTATCAAGATGAAACATGAAGGTGAATATACCTGCGAGGCTGAGAGTGAAGCTGGCAAGATGTCATCATCATCAAGGCTCACTGTTGTGTCAAGAGGTTGGACTGTGTGGATTTTGTCATTTTAGATGAGATAGATAATTCTTAACAATTCAACTCAGACCATTACTAATTAACTAGTAGGCAGCTGCTACATCATCTTCCCACTACTTCACAATTTCTTTAAGAATTCTTTTCAAGAATACATTGTGTGCTAAACATCTTTCCACCCTCTTTCAAAATAATGGCACATTTTTCATCTTCTTCTGAGTTCTTCAAGCATGACCATGTCATGTGTGATTCTTTATCACCCTTCTGCTAACGCTCACATCACTTTTTTTTCCATGTTATCCCAGGATTAGTCATCCCTTCCTTTCCATCTCTGATGCATCCTGATATATCACTCAAGTCAGTTGTCATAATATTGCCCATGTAATAATGTTTTGTATTTTTTTCTCCTTGCATATTTCAGTGCCTCCAGTTTTCAAAAAGAAGATCTGTGACGTGCAGAGCAACATTGGCAGCCCAGTGAAGTTTGAATGTGAAATTGAAGAGACACCCAATGTGACCTTCAAGTGGTCCAAATCTGGCTCAGAGATTAGACAGAGTGACAAATTCAGGATCATCAGCAGGCAAAGCACATCATCTCTAGAGCTCCTCAACCCAACAAAGGATGACATTGGTGAATACAGTTGTCGTGCTTCAAACAAGCACGGTAGTGACACCTGCTCTGCTAACCTGAGCATCACTGGTGAGTGGACTGGTTTTGAATTCACATGCTATACTCTTTAACAAAGGTTACTGATTTTCAAGGTTTCACTGTTTTGTTTTTTGTTTTTCCTTGAAATCCAATCTGCACTCTTCTGTATGACACAGTTTTGTACGTTTTGTAATCTTACATAAACAATATATGTTGCATCTTAAATTCTTTGTGTGTAGTGATTATGAAATCACTGAAGACATATAAATGTCCAAATCTTTCAAGCTCTTCCTCTTAATGTTATTCTTTATATTCTCTCTTTTTTAATTAATATAATTAATCCTCCTGGGATCAGTACTGCCTCTCATGTCTGAACCAAACACTTGGAAATTTATGTGATAGTTTTAAGATCTTTCCCAGTGACTGCCCCCCCCCCTACTCATTATACTAAAGTGAGTACAAATACTAATTTTAGAATTTCTTCTGATTCAATTCATATATTCTATACAGATGTTATATACAGGTTAACAAATATTTTGATGGCCTTATGTGGTAGAGATAACTGATATAGACAAGCTCAGATTGACTCCATTATAGCAATGGATATTCTATTGTCTATTGAGTGCATATTGGATTATAATTTTGTTGATTCATCTGTTTTAGTCACATGACTTTTTACAGCTCATTCACCATATTTACGATCATCAGTGGGGCAAAGTAAATGTGGTGAATTATAAAAAAAAAAAAAAAAAAAAAACCTTGCACACTGGATTTGATCTTTACCAGGTCCCAGAAAACATTTTGCAGATCTGAAGTAAGCACAGACCCTACCCAATCTAACGTTCACAGACACTTATTTGTTTGTATTTATACATTCTATTTAGGAATATATAAATGTATAATGTATTTATATATTCCTCTATCCAACTCTGTATGTCTGTGCTTTCTGTATGCAGGAGCTATATATGAAAATATATTTAAAAATATATAGAATTGTCCTGTCCATGAATGTTTGATTTGGTAGGGTCCATGCTAACTTGAGATCTGTAAAAATGTGTTCTGGGACCTGGGTATGGATCTAATCTAATAATTTTTTTTCTTGGTATCACTGTTCATGTGTTTTTGTATTTACCACCATAACTTCTCTCTGCTGGTGATCATTAATAAGGAGGATGAGCAGAAAAAGTCATGTTTGAATAGGATGAATAGGACAACAGATGAATAGGGTCACTTTGATTAAGGATGGAAGGAAGATTCATAACATAGTTGGCTTTCAAAAATGGCAAGACTAATCTAGAAGATAGTGAAATATATTGCTTGTAAGGTAGGGACAAAACCTCTCTTCTTGACAGAACATGGTAAGTCCTGTGTAGAAAACGTGTCCCAAGTGATAAATGTTCGGTGTTACTTGATTTGTGATGTGCTTTAGTGTTTGTGTGAGTATATGTGTAGAAAGGTACGGATGATGAAAATGCTGGTTATTCTGGATTTACCACCTACCCACGAAAGTATTTCCACACACCTTGCATTTCTAAGAATTGTAATAGTTTGTTTATGACTTTTCAAGGTCTTTGTTTAAATGGTTAAAGCAGGCATATCTGTACAACTATGCTGCAATAATCTGCACTAATCTATACAACTGCACTATATATAAAGGAGACATAGTGAGGGATGGCCCCCCAAAAAATAATATATATTTTTCTATTAGACAGTGGAAATGAAGCTGGTTTCTAGTGTACCATTACTAGAGTGGCTATGAAAGGTTTTTATAGTTATTGTTACCAAAACGATCAATACTATTGAGTTTACAACTATGGTTATGCTGAATTCCATTTAATTTTTATTCTCAGAATCCCCATCCATCACAAAAGAATTACCAATGCTGGATGTAGTGAAGGTGACTGGTGCTTTATTTGGGAGTGAGCTCATTGGTACTGCCCCGTTTGAAATAAATTTGTTGAAGGATAAGAGACTTGCCAATTCTGACAAAACCATTTTTGAAGATTTAATTGAATATTTGGATACACATGCATTTGAAAGTTCAGATGTTGGGGAGTACCAGTGTTGCCTATCAAACGAAGTTGGAAAAATCACCTCAAATTCAATTGGTATGATAAGAGGTTAGTATGCTTGAGAAAGACAAGAAGAATAATACCTGCAGGTTCCCAGCACTAACAGGTGTGTTACTAACAGGCAGCGCGGGCTACAATGGCTAGCTAAAACTGTTAACAATGCTTTCAATATTAAGCAGTTGCTGTTGCCATGACTTAAATGATTCAGTTTTAATTTTTCATGGTTGACCTGCAATATCAAAATTTTAAAGACTTTAATTAAAAAGAAAAACACAAGTGAAATAAAATCAAAGGTAAAAGTACAGTACAACTTCTACAATTTCTGACTTTTTACATAGCTTATAGAACGTTCTTTGTTCTTTGTATTTCCGAAAAGGCTGGTGGGTTTCCATACACTGATTCTTTGTCCTAGAAGCCACTTTTTAGATTCATTATGATAAGAGGGTGCATTTGTATTGAAACATGCTGGGATAATTGGTTGTTCTGCTTCTCTCGTAGTTAAAGGCTGGCAAAAGGATGCAGGATCTTGAGATATTTGAACATGTTTTTAAAAACGCTGTTTTAGACTGGACTGTGTTTTGCATACCTTTTCTATATTTGACAAAAATGCATTCTCTGTTGAAAATCACAAGTCATATTTCTTAATTCATGTTTGCTTTTGTCGAGTGATACAGTGCCTTCACATATCCTGTGTTTGTTATGTAGTTGTAGCTATGGTTTAAGTTAGTGTTCACTTCATCCGGATGTATTTGACCTGCTTCATCTTCTTTTTGTGGATGTCAGAAACTATAGATGTTTTTACTGGTTATTGAATAATGAATATCTTGACAGTGGTTGTTGGTGAAATTGAATGCAAAAACATCACTCTTGGAAAATGGGAAAGAAACAATGAACAAACTCTGCATCTTCTGAAAATGTTCTTATTCGAATCAGAACCACATGTCTTTCTGAAGAATATACCCAATTTCTTTGAAAAGGCAGTGAAATGGAAGAGGTTCAAGAGAAATCTTGTGTTTGGAAGAAACTGAAATGGGAGAGCAACTGCAACATTCTTCAACAAGGACACATTCCTTTCCATGTTGAGCCATTATTTAAAGGACAAATGAGTGAAGGATCATGGCACACACATTTGTGGCATTTTTACTGGAATACTGAAATTTCCTCTTTCTTGGATTCTTGGATTTTGCAATGAAATAACTATTCTAATAACTCTTGTTGGTCCTCAGTGTTTTACCTCTTACATGGAATGCAGAATTATATAATAATGAAATGGTTGAGGAATGGAAAACAAATTTTTCCTTTTTTATAGGAAAACAATTTTTTGCTGAAAATTCCGCTGTCTTTGAATATCTACAAGAACAATACAGATATGGATGTCAATATTCTTGCAAAGTGTGTAATTCTTTAAATCAGATGCTGGTTACTGTGCTCAAGATGAATTTTTTGTCATTTCTGCTATATTTAAATAACTTAGACTCTTAGAACTTAGACAGAACTGGAAATGACACTTATCTAATATGTAGGCCTATATTTATTTTCCTGGACTAAAGCTTTTCAATCCTCTTCACCTCAGGACCTGCCCAATTTGTGAAGAAGTTGACAGACCTATCTATTCCAATGAGCAAAAAACTAAGACTTGAATGCACATTCACTGGAGCTCCAAAAATGTTTGTCACTTGGTACAAGGATGGCAAACAGCTCTATGCTTCATATCGATACAACACCAAAGTTACATCAAACTCCTGTATCCTGGAGTGTCTGCATGAGTGCAACAATGAGACTACAGGAAGATACTCATGTGAAGTTTCAAATATTTATGGGACGGATATATGTCATGCTCAAGTAGTGGCAGTTACAGGTTTGTAATTTTACTCGTCTCTCGCCTGCCCATTGTCAAAGTTCCATACCCATGGATTTTGCCCATGGATATAAAAGGAATAGTTTGGTTTTGCCGATTTGGACCGCATGTCACCTGGAATGGTGTAATTTTTGTTAATTAAAGGTTTTATTTTTAAACCATTATTAAATTATTTGATTTGGGTTTCTCAGTTTAAATGAAAGATACCAGTAATTATAAATATGTAGGCCTATATTTATTTTCCTGGAGTAAAGCTTTTCAATCCTCTTCACTTCAGAACCTGCCCGCTTTGTGAAGAAGTTGACAGACCTATCTATTCCAATGAGCAAAAAACTAAGACTTGAATGCACATTCACTGGAGCTCCAAAAATGTTTGTCACTTGGTACAAGGATGGCAAACAGCTCTATGCTTCATATCGATACAACACCAAAGTTACATCAAACTCCTGTATCCTGGAGTGTCTGCATGAGTGCAACAATGAGACTACAGGAAGATACTCATGTGAAGTTTCAAATATTTATGGGACGGATATATGTCATGCTCAAGTAGTGGCAGTTACAGGTTTGTAATTTTACTCGTCTCTCGCCTGCCCATTGTCAAAGTTCCATACCCATGGATTTTGCCCATGGATATAAAAGGAATAGTTTGGTTTTGCCGATTTGGACCGCATGTCACCTGGAATGGTGTAATTTTTGTTAATTAAAGGTTTTATTTTCAAACCATTATTAAATTATTTGATTTGGGTTTCTCAGTTTAAATGAAAGATACCAGTAATTATAAATATGTAGGCCTATATTTATTTTCCTGGAGTAAAGCTTTTCAATCCTCTTCACTTCAGAACCTGCCCGCTTTGTGAAGAAGTTGACAGACCTATCTATTCCAATGAGCAAAAAACTAAGACTTGAATGCACATTCACTGGAGCTCCAAAAATGTTTGTCACTTGGTACAAGGATGGCAAACAGCTCTATGCTTCATATCGATACAACACCAAAGTTACATCAAACTCCTGTATCCTGGAGTGTCTGCATGAGTGCAGCAATGAGACTACTGGAAGATACTCATGTGAAGTTTCAAATGTTTATGGGATGGATATATGTCATGCTCAAGCAGTGGCAGTTACAGGTTTGTAATTTGTACTGGACTCTGCCTGCCCCGTCTTAAAGTTCCATACCCCCGGATTTTGCCCATGGATATAAAAGGAATAGTTTGGTTTTGCCGATTTGGACCGCATGTCACCTGGAATGGTGTAATTTTTGTTAATTAAAGGTTTTATTTTTAAACCATTATTAAATTATTTGATTTGGGTTTCTCAGTTTAAATGAAAGATACCAGTAATTATAAATATGTAGGCCTATATTTATTTTCCTGGAGTAAAGCTTTTCAATCCTCTTCACTTCAGAACCTGCCCGCTTTGTGAAGAAGTTGACAGACATATCTATTCCAATGAGCAAAAAACTAAGACTTGAATGCATATTCACTGGAGCTCCAAAAATGTTTGTCACTTGGTACAAGGATGGCAAACAGCTCTATGCTTCATATCGATACAACACCAAAGTTACATCAAACTCCTGTATCCTGGAGTGTCTGCATGAGTGCAGCAATGAGACTACTGGAAGATACTCATGTGAAGTTTCAAATGTTTATGGGATGGATATATGTCATGCTCAAGCAGTGGCAGTTACAGGTTTGTAATTTGTACTGGACTCTTGCCTGCCCGTCTTCCAAAGTTCCATACCCATGGATTTTGTCCATGGATATAAAATAAATAGTTTGATATTGCAGCGTTGGACCGCATGTCACCTGGAATGGTGTCATTTTTGTTCATCATGGTTGTTTTGGGGGGAGTTGGCAACAATATGGTGTGCTGCTGTGACATTTTGCACGTTCATTGAAGTGGCTCAAGTGTCTTAATTCAAGTCTATTTTGCCCTATATCGAGGCTACGATAGGAGCTGGCATGTTTTTTTGAGAGCTTCTTGTTGTGGGATATTGATCAACTTGCGTTTGCATCTGCAAGTTTCCTGAGGCACGCTTGGAAGATATTGCATACTTCAACAAATTTGAGGAGTTTATTTTAAAGAACAATCTGCATGTTTTAAAGGATGAATTGTTGCCTGTTTGTGTAGTTCTTGGCGTTGTTAAGAAAGTAATTTAAATTGATCTGATGATGTTCTTCTTAGAGCCTGCCCGCTTTGTGAAGAGGTTGATAGACATGGCTGTCCCACTCGGTCAGAAACTGAGACTTCAGTGTACATTCAATGGAGCACCGAAGATGTTTGTCACATGGTACAAAGATGGAAAGCAACTGTATGCCTCATACAGATACAACACAAGGATCATTGAGAACACTTGCATTTTGGAATGCCTCCATGACTGTAACAATGAAACACCTGGAAAATACTCTTGTGAAGTATCAAATTCCTTTGGCACTGATATCTGTCATGCCGATATAACTACAGTTACAGGTTCGTATGCCATCCTAGTTTACTTATTTACAGATATCTTTAATGTTTAGGCAGACATAGGTTAAAAGTAATTTCATTCATTTCTCGTTCTCAGAACCTGCCTGTTTTGAACAGAAGCTTAAGGACAAAAAAGTTGCCATGAGTAAAAAACTGAAGCTTGAGTGCACGTTTACTGGAGCTCCTAAAATCTTTGTCACCTGGTACAAGGATGGCAAACAAATATATGCCTCTTACAGATATAATACTCAAGTTGTTGGAAACACTTGCACTCTAGAATGTCTACATGAATGCACTAAAGACACTCCTGGTAGATACTCCTGTGAGGTGTCCAATTCCTATGGAAGTGATATCTGTCATGCTGAAGTGACCACAGTTTCTGGTTAGTGCACCTTAAAAGGCTCTTTATCCTAAAATTAGTGTTGGATGGAATTCAAGTTGATTCTTTAGCCGAAGCCAGTTATTTGCAAGCATATTGATGATGCTCATCCAATATTGTTCCTCTTAGGACCTGCTCGTTTTGTGAAGAAACTCACAAACCAGACTCTTCGATGGGGACAAAAGTTGAGACTTGAATGCTCCTTCACAGGAATTGAAAAACTGTTTGTCACATGGTACAAGGATGGCCAACAGGTCTACGCTTCATATAGGTGCAACACAAAAGTAATTGGAAACACTTGCATTTTGGAATATCATCATGAGTGTGATGAGGATACTCCTGGAAAATATTCTTGTGAGGTTACAAATGAAGATGGATCCGATATTTGTCATGCGCTGGTCACCCTTGCGACAGGTTGGTTAACTGCAGTCAGAAATTTGAGTGAATTTACAGATCATCCAACTTTTTCATTCTTTCTATACTTTCCAATGCGCTTCTTTTCTTTAATCTCAAAGAGATCATCTTTCTCTAGATAAATTGCTAGAATTCAACATTAAACACTGGCAGCCTTTACAAAGGGAATATCATTATATATATATATATATAATATATAATTGAGTATAACTGAAAAAAAATCTCAAACTTAAAGTTCAATTTAGAGTATACAGCGACTTTCAACATTAGCACTGGTGCACAATAGCCAAATGCAAACTAGTGTTTTTTTATAGTGTTATTATTTATATATGATTACAATATTTAGTAATGTCTATAATTAGCTTTTATTTTTATACTTTTTGCTTTCATTTTCAGATTTAGTACTCGTGTTTTGTGCTTGTAATTTTTTTAAAGGTTATTTTTATTTTAGATTTAGTTTTAGGTTTAGTTTAACCATTGTATTTTAACCATTGTAGTTTTTGTTAACAGTAACAACGCTAATGCAATAAACAAGGTCGCAAAAATGCATTAAATAAAGCATTAAATACAGTTGTCTGCTTCATGTAGTAAACAGCTTACACTGTCACGTTAACTCTATAATATCACATTTAACAGACATTGAGTAGTCTAATAAGACACTTTAGTCTGCTTTTCAACTATAGAATTCCTTAATATGCTAATCTACTAAACATTTAAAAAGTATTTAGTACTGGGTTAAAAGGTTTTTATTTCTAGAAGTTAGATTGGAAGGTTAGATTGGAAGTGCCATGGCAGAGGCATTGCAAATATGAATCTTTTGGTCAAAGGATTGAGAAGACTAATACGAGAGATTGCAAAATTTAAAGTGTGGATAAAACTGCACGCCTAGCTATTCTGAAAGCAGAAAAGACAGATGCTTGTCTTGCCATGCAAGCAAAGAACTTGATTTAAAAAAAGAAAAGAAAAAGAAAACAACAACACACATTAAACTCTTTGTGGTAGGTATTTTGATTAAATATGTGACCTTGTGTGTGTGTAATGTGTTTTGTTTTCAGAGCGCAAAATTCCACCAACTTTCACTAAGAAACCCTCAGAGCACATTGAGGATGCCGGGGGAAAATTGGTGAAGCTTGAGGGTCGAGTATCTGGGTCACAGCCTCTATCTGTAAGCTGGTATAAAGATAATAGAGAAATCAACCCTTCTGACATCTATGACATTTCATTCAAGAGCAGCACGGCTGTGATGTGTCTCAAGAATGCCACAGTCACAGACAGTGGCGTTTATACATGCAGCGCTTCTAATGAAGTGGGCACTGCCTCCTTCAAGGTGGTGGTTGACATCACAGGTAGACAATATTGTCTTACTGCATGATTATCTTATCTTATTTCTCACATGTCATATTCCTTTTTCTTCTTTGCATGCTAATTTCTGGTAATTCTGTGATGTGTATTAAATGTGGCTTTCTGTTGTACTGCATAAACATGACCTCCCCTCCTTTTCACTGAAAAGCACAGGTAAAAATGCTGACATTGTTCACTTTTTAATATCTAGAGCAAAAAAGGCCACCGACTTTTGACATTCCCCTTAAACCAGTGACAGTGAGTGAGGGAGAGAGGCTAAACCTTAACTGTCATGTCTGCGGGTCTCCCCCAATGAAGATTCAGTGGATGAAGGACAGAAGGGAGGTCACATCCTCTGCTAGAACCAAGACGATTTTTGTGGATGGCACAGCCACCCTGGAGATAAACCAGACATCTAAAACTGATGCAGGAGATTATCTGTGCAAGGCAACCAACAGTGCTGGTAGTGAATTCTCCAAGGCCAAAGTCACAATCAAAGGTAATTAGAAGACTATTGTAAATCTAAATTCTCTGTACTACTCAAAATGTGCATTTTAATGCAGCTAAATTAAAAGTGTGATATGAAAAACATATTATTGAACTCTTTACATTTGATTAGTTTCATTTTCTACTTTTAGGTGTGATATTCTAAACTTTTCTAACAGTACCAAGTAGAGTTTAAGCTAATTTCTTATTTCATTGTCATGCATTTTGGCATCTTTACAATCTTTATGATTTCCACATCTTGTTTTGCTTGCTACTTTGGTGCTTTGATCTTGCTGTTTCTCACAAAGTTTTACATTTTTCATAGGGCACCAAGCTGCAGTGTTTTGCTGTGATCTTGATAATATTTTAAGAACATTTGTTTTTACATATTTATTCTTGTTTCATCAAGGATCTTTTTAGAAATGCGTTTTATCTGAATAGCAATGCTTAAGGCACCGATGCTTAGACTTACATAAATTGCTAACTAAGGTGGATGAGTTTGATCTGTGAGCTTTATTATTTTTATTAATGTGGAGTTTGTGACAGTCTAACGCAGATGCACTAAACTTGTTAAAATGTTGAGATGTGACAACTATTCTTATCTAGATTTCAGTCCATTTTTATAAGTTGCTTAATATGTTGTTACATTGTCGGTATTACTCAGATAAAGCAAGTGCAGCACCTGCAACAGCACCGGCAGCCCCCACAGCACCTCAGACAGTTAAAAAACTGGATAACTTGTTCTTCATTGAGGAGCCCAAGAGCATTCATATTGTTGAGAGTAAGTTGCTGCTTTCTGCTAAACAGTGTAGATATGTCATTTTTATGATTAGTGTTAAATGTTGAATTGCATGATGGATCACATCACATTCTGGATTACAGAGGGTACAGCTACCTTCATTGCTAAAGTTGGTGGTGATCCCATTCCCAATGTGAAATGGATGAAGGGCAAATGGAGGCAGATGACTCATGGTGGTCGGGTCAACATTCAACAAAAAGGCCAAGAGGCCAAGTTGGAGATCAAAGAGGTGACCAAATCTGACTCTGGTCAGTACAGATGTGTTGCCTCAAACAAACATGGAGAAATTGAGTGCAGCACTGATTTGAATGTTAATGAGAAGAAAGACTCTGGACCACAGGTGGTCAAACTGAAGAAGTGAGTCGGAAACTATGATTTTCTTTGCCAGAAAAGCTCAAAATCCCAATTATGTTCTGATTATAACCTTGCACTCTCTTTTGTTGCGTTCAGGACTCCATCAAAGCAGAAAAGTCCAAAGGAAGACAAAGACATTGACATTGTTGAGTTGCTAAGAAATGTAGATCCAAAAGAGTATGAGAAATATGCTCGCATGTATGGAATCACAGACTTCCGGGGTCTCCTTCAAGCTATTGAGTTTCTGAAGAAGGAGAAGGGTGAAGAAAGTGGACGACCGGTAGATAAATCTAAATTGTTTTGTCTTAATAGATGATCCAAATCTTGCGTTTTCCTACACTGTATTGGGATATAAATCTACAACAAATAGCTTTAATCGGTGCCCTTGTTTTCTGAATCAGGAAAGTGAACATGGAAGAGAATATGATGAGGATTTGGCTAAGCTTGTGTCTGATTTGCAGAGGAGAATGGAACACAGTGAAGTATGTTCCTTCTTTGGGAAGCTGAAGAACCACTGCTTCAATTTTCAGACATATTGGCATATTGTTGCATATGCTTATCAGGTACATGTTGATGCCCTAAATGTATGAATATTTTGTTTTTGCAGCCTGTTACCCTGCTTAAAGACATCACAGATCAGACAACGCAAGTTAACAAAGAGGCAGTGTTTGAGTGTGAGATTAAAATCAACTATCCAGAAATTACACTGTCTTGGTATAAAGATACACAGAAGCTAGAAACTAGTGATAAATACGACATTAAACTCGTGGGCGACCGTCAGATATTGAAGATCAAGAACTGTCAGACCAGTGACCAGGGAAATTACCGTGTCGTTTGTGGGCCACATATATCCAGTGCCAGACTGATAGTGTTGGGTAAGTCCATTTTAAAGACCTTGTATTCTGCATTGAAATAAAATGTTTGTACTTATAATTAATTGAGGCCCATTTACCTCAATTTATTCTACAGAGAGTCAAGTTAATGTTCAGAAACCATCACCTGGTAAGAGGGTAGAATTGCATTGTAGTGCAGTGTTTACTGACACATATTATAGATTTGTCTTACACCATGTTTTACTAGTTCACTTCAACTATAAGAAATTAAATTATCACAATGAGGAGGAGGGCCACATAGATTGCCCCATCATGTAAGGAAATTACTAACCTCTTCTTGTTTCTTCACTTACTAGCTAATGCTAAGCATTTGTTTATTTTTCCTCTTAGTGCTTTAAAATAGCTTGGCTATAGTGGTGTTGATTATGTACCATCAAAAATTGTGCGTTTGAAAGCACATTTACATTTCTTCTTCTTTCTACTTTTTAAATTATGATTATTATTATTTTGAAAACAGAGACATTTTGAAGTAATTAACGATTCCAATTCTTTCATATTTTTTCTAGCTGATCAAATTCAGTTCACCAAGCGCATTCAAAATATTGTGGTGAATGAGCATCAGTCTGCCACTTTTGAGTGCGAGTTGTCTTTTGACAATGCAGTCGTCACCTGGTATAAAGATACATGGGAGCTTAAAGAGAGCCCGAAATATACCTTTAGGTGTGAGGGACGAAGGCACTTTATGATAATCCTTAACGTAACATCTGACGATGAAGGTGTGTACATTATTCTTAATGTACTACTTAGTAGCTCATATAAATATGGAATTCAAAAGATTTAAACTAAATTAACCTCACTGAAAATCTTTTAGGTGTGTACTCTGTGATTGCACGCCTGGAGCCTGTTGGTGAAACTAAAAGTACAGCAGAGCTTTATCTGTCAGGAAAAGGTAAAATGTACAGCAGCATCACTTTGTGGTTTGTTTACTAGAGTTTAGTCAAGAGCAATTATATTTCACTTTCTTTTGCAGAATTTGAAATAAGACCATGTTCTTTTGGTAAGTGGTTTGTTATGCACTAAATCGTTTCTGAGAATTAACCATCTCTTATTTACTTCTCAGTCCCCTACCCCAACTCATTTCTTTGCAAATTCTGGAAAATGTAAACTTTATTCAATGAAACCATTAAAAAAAGTATTAAAATTTAATAATAATAAAAGTAAATAAATGTAATTCATCTCAACCTGTCTAGACGTTCCTGATACATCGATACATGTGCCAGATGTGTCATCTGTGATTAGTTTAAAAGGTAAGACTAAAACAAATAAACAAATGTATAAATAGAAGGCCATGAATTCCTGCAGTTTTATATATTTATATATAACCTATAATGATATAATTGTTACCTTTTGTTTAAAAGATGAATCCTCAGAATTTCATTATGAAGAGAAGTTTGAAATAACAGGTACTATTTTAAATAAAAAAACAATTTCTAATGTTTCTTAACCTTTAATATTTGAACTTAATGAGTACATTAAGTACACTAAAAGACTAAACACTAAAATTTTCCATAATGTCGACTCCTGAATATATTGATTGACTAATATTATCATATCATTTGCACCTTACCATTTAATATCACCCTGACATCATTTAAAGTTCATATTTAATTAAAATAAAACTAATGTAATATGATCATGTTCTGGAGTTAGCATTTCTTTCTTATTTTCTTCTTATTGTTATTATTGTTGTTATCTTTGCATTTGTACTAACATCTGAGCTGAACAAGATTTTGTCCAACACTGTTGTTACAGAATAAAATTTTTTTTTTTTAATTCTTATTGTATGATAGAGTGTCAGAACTGGACAGTTCAAGAGGAGAGTGTTACTTATGAATTCTCTTCACTATACTGTATACTGTATACTGTAGTTTACAGTCTTTGAATCTTTAACTAAGAGCATAACATTTTGCTCGTCTTATTTGTACAGTATATGTGTGGACTTTCTTCACTCATCTTCATTATCTTGTCTTTTTACATACATTTTGTCAAAGCTATCATTGTGTATTCCTTGTCTTTTTAATATAACTTACTATTAAACTTCATCACTGCCTATTCCCTTCAATAACTATCTCCTCCATCATTTTCAATTCAGAATCATTAACATTTTTAATCCACAGGTATTGTGCTGGAAACTTTGTGTTTGTATGTTTGAAACGGAATTTGTGTGTATTATGTTCATGCCTAAGAATGTTCTTGTTTTCCATCAGAATTGAAGAAACCTGTTGAGGAGATTGTAACGAAACATGTAGTGGAAAGGACAGAGGAGGTGCCTATGAAAGGTATTGGATGAAGGCAAAATGCTTGTGGCAGACTTTGCTTATGGCTGTCCCTGATGATCTCTTAACATTTATATATGTAAAGCCAACTGCTTAATTTTTTTCCTCCAGTGAAACACTTATAACATTTTGGTCTGTGCTGAACCAAAAACATTTTGGTTCTTTCCTTGTCTTGGTGTTGTGTTTATATGTTATTATATGTCATTGTGCAGTTGTTCATTGTAAAATTGCTTCACTTTTTTTTTATTGGTCTTGGTTGTATGTCCATGAATATTTTCTTCTAATGCTTGTGCAATCATGCTAAAAGCATGGATGTTTTGGCTACTTAAACTCTGCTTAAGCTTTGCAGTTGTATTTTAACAAAGCTGATGTCTTTTATGCACCTGAAGTTATGAAGCAACCAGAAGAGACAACTGAAACATCCTTTGTACAGCCTCCAGTTCCTGAGAAAGGTATTATTATGTCTTTGCTTGAGTTTAACATTGTTTCTCTGTTTCTACCTCTGTGTGTTCATTGTTTTCTGACAAAATATTTAAACCAAATCTGTTTTCCTATTTGTGAGATGTCTGTTTCTTACCATATCAATTGTTTGTGTACTTGCTGTACATGTAGCTCTTTGGTGTAAAGAATCATAATTTGCACATTTTATTTCTATGATGCTATGATATTTTTAAGAACCTGAAGTCAAGAAGCCTGTTGAGGAAAAAGTTCGAACTGTCAAGGTGACAGAGCAAAAAGAACAACCCACATGCAAAGGTATTATCAGCAGTATGTGTTTTCAGTGTGTATACCAATTTATATTTGTTCTATGTATGTTGATTCTTTGTCTAAATATGTTTCTTTTTTCAGTTCAAGTTTATGTTATGTGTATATGTTGATATGTGTGTAACTGTAATTTGCAGTTTCTTCTTGTATCATTTTCTTGTTAGTATGTCAAATATTCTTAATGTCTTGAGACTGAAAAATTCTTGTATACAGAAATTAAATATCTGAAGCTGCTGTTTATAATTCCTGTTTGTGTTCTTAGTCTCCTTTGAGAATTGATAGCAATATAAGTGTTAACTTAAACATGTTCTAAAACCTACACCCTCAGAGCCTAAACCTCAGGTGCCTGCAGAACCAAAGGCTACAGTGGCTGACCCAAAGCCTGAACCTAAGTCTGAGCCAAGAGCTCTACCCAAACCTGAGCCCAAGCCTGAGCCAAAAACTCTACCGAAACCTGAGCCCAAGCCTGAGCCAAAATTTCTACCTAAACCTGAGCCCAAGACTGAGCCAAAAACTCTACCGAAACCTGAGCCCAAGCCTGAGCCAAAAGCTCTACCGAAGCCTGAGCCCAAACCTGAACCCAAGCCTGAGCCAAAAGTTACACCAAAGCCCGAGGCTGAACCTAAGCCTGCAGTTGCAAAGAAAGTTGAGGCACCCTCTGTCAAAGGTATTGTGTGTAATTTAATCATATGTGCTAGTTTTTTCTTTGTGTTTGTTATGTGGGTCAGCATGTCTGTATGAGTCAAGTACTGTATGTACGGATGCTTTCCTTAATTAGTTGTATGTTCTGTCCTTAACCAACCTCTTGTTTAACTTAAGAATATAAAGTCTCCTCTGCTTTATATTTTGGGGTTTACTGTATGCTTCTTTGTTTTTGGTGTTCTTTTAAAGCACCTGAAGCTCCAAAAAAGCCAGAAGCTGCACCTCAACCATCCTTAGATATTAAAAAAGTTGAGGCTTTAACTCCAAAGCCAGACACTACTCAAATAAAAGGTAACTCTTTAATCTCAATTGTTAAGAAGTACAATTACTGAGCATAAGTCTTGCAAGGGATTTTAAAACGGTTTAATTTTGTTTGTTGTCTGTACAAATCTTTGCCACCAAAAATGGTGCTCTTGGAATGCATGTGAAACTCTTATCTTGATCTTTTAATTGGTTATTTTCATTATATGGGCTTCTGCATTCTAGTGTGAATGCCTCTTTTTGTGATATGACACTATTTAACACATATGTGTTCTTTTGAAGCTTTTGTGGAGATGAAGGAAAGAGAACCACCAAAAGTAAAGCTAGACAGAAAACCAGAGCCTGCTTATGCTGCCACTGAGACACCAAAGAAAGAAGTCTCTATGCTACTGCCAGAAGAATCTAACAAAGATCATTTGCCTGTCCAGTCTGAGCCATCAAATGTAGAGCCAGCTAGTCAGCCTGAAACTACACAAAGCCAGCCTCCTGAGCCAGTTAGAAAACAAGTAGTCAAAGCTGCACCAGAGGTTATAGTTGAATCAACAAGAAAACAACCTCACCAAGAAGTTTTTAAAGCAGAGTCAGTTGGAAAAATTGAGCCTTTACCCAAAACTTCAGAGTCACCTCAAACAGATCAAGCTAAAAAGCAAGTGCCATCAAAGAGTGAACCAACCCCTAAAATCAGTGAGCCAGCACTTGCTCACAAAAAGGAGGGTCGTCCACAGAAAGGTATTATTAAGTCTTCATATTAAGATCCTTAGTATGCCCTGCATTAATGGGGTAGCAATTATTACAAACTCTCTTTAAAAGTGTCTTCTTATCTTATTTACACTTCTTAATGTGCTGTTCTTTGTCTGGTATTATTTTTATATTTACGAAGTGGTTGAAGTAAAGGCTGCAGAACTACCATCTGAGAAAAAACCTGTGACTAAAGCTAAAATGGAGACTGAGATTCCCTCAGCCAAAGGTATGCTCGTTTGGTCATAGGAGATACAAATCAAAATTGTGTCTCTGCATTAAAAAATCTGTTTGTGTTACAAAAACAGATCTCCCACTTTTTATAGCATAACCATTATTAACATTTTAATCATAGTTAGCTGAAGAATTATTTTTAATATTATTAATATATTAATCTACTCTGGGCTAACTACATTTTACCTTCAATAACGCAAGCCAGAGAAAAGAGTGCATTCTGGTAATGCTGCCAAAATAAAGATTATCGCTAAAATCATGGAAATCCCCATTATGTAAGATGCTATTTTCGCTTTTATTTTGCAATAACAAATGATCTTTTCTAGGTTAAAGTAGGGAAACTTAGAGATTTAAATTGATGTTGGTATGCATGTGTTGTTGAAAATTCTTCTTCCACCATTGCATGGTGCAATCTTGAAAATCTTTCATCTTTAAAGTCTTTGCAGTGTCTGAGAAGAAAACGGACACATTTTCTCATACAGTGGAAGCAACTCAGAAGATCTCCATGGATGAAATGTTTTTGAAGGAGGAAATTGTGGAAGAGAGTGAAAGCATGCCTCATCAACCAGAGGAAATTTTGTCTTATCAAGATCGTATTGTAAGGATGGATGTTAGTCATCACAGTAGAGAATCAGCTGCTGAGGATGTGAAGATAATTGAAACAGAGGTTTCCCAGAAGCCAGAACTTTCTTTTGAGCTAATAAAAACAAAGGAGATACCTGAGATGAAATGGTCAAAACAAGAAATGCACATTGAGAAAAAGGAATGGAAATTAGAGATGTCCAGTGTTGAAACGTCTCGAGAAGATGTGGTAGAAGTTGGCATTGAGGCACCACAGAAAAGGCAAGAATTTATGTCAGATAAAAAGAAAACAACTAAAGATATGCCTCTACAAAAGAGAGATGATACCCCTAGAAAAGAGATGGCCATTCAGAGAGAAATAGATGTTCACAAGAAAGAGTCTATTCACTTACAGCAGTCTGTTCATGAAAACAAGCGATTACACGAGGAAACCCCTCAGAAATCACCAGAGATAACACCAATAGTAAAACCAGAAGAAAATGGAACTATATTAAAGGAAGTCCATAAAGCACTTGAAAGAGGTAAACCTTACAGTCTTCAGCAAATGCCTTGATTGGTATATTGCAATCTTTACTTGAATTGTTTGCCTTCAGGTATTTGCCGAAAAGGCAACTGTGATTTACTTTTCTTTGTCCTTATAAGTCTTGTGCCTGCATGTTCCTCTTTAGTTTCTTGTATCTTGAATATGTTATAATTCTTAATTAGACGAGAAGACCCAGGCTGTTGCAACTCCTGTGTCAGAAGTTGTTTCTCCTACAAAAGGTACTCAAAGGAAGGCTGGGAGATTTGGTGCTATTACTCTTCAGTTCTTAGTTTAGTGTGTGATAATGTGTCTGTATGCTCATCTGTAAATGTTCATGGTCTATTTCTTCATTGTGATCATGGCTTACTCTTTTATAAAGAACCAGAAATAGTGAAGAAACCTGAACCAGAAGTCCCAAAACCAACTTTGGCTTCAGCTGAACAGAAAATATCATCTCCATCAAAAGGTATTCAACAAAACTGGAAGAAACATTTCCTGGTATAAAAGTCTTTGATCTCATTTCTGTTTGTTTTGTATCTTCTTTTTTCATCATGTTTAAATGTTCTTTGACAAGTCCAATTACACCTTATTCCACATATGGCTTTATTATTTTTGACTGTGATTATGGTATTGTTTTTATTAAAGAGCTAACTGTTGAAAGGAAACCATCACCTGAGGCACCAAAGCCAAGTGTGGCTCCGGTTGAACGGAAAATATTGCCTCTTTCAAAAGGTATTCAAAGTCACACTGTGGTATAACTCTTTCTGGTCTGTTTGTTAGTCTATGGTATGTGTTTGCTTGTTTTGTTAGTCTAATGATCTTTACATGTCCTTTGTCCAGTCAAATAACGTCTTAGTCCCATGATTTATTTGTTCTTGTTCTTACTTGTGATTATGGCATTGTTTTATTTAAAGAGTCAACTGTTGAAAAGAAACCAGCTCCTGAAGTACCAAAGCCAACTGTGGCTCCAGTAGAACAGAAAATAGTATCTCCTCCAAAAGGTATATAAAGCAACAAAATAGCTGGTCTATAGTCTTTGGATTGATGTGTGATTGTTTGTTCTTATTTGTGTTCATCTTTAAATGTTCCTTGTCCAGTCAAATTACATCTTATTCCACATTTGCCTTCTCTATTTTTGGTTGTGATTATGGTATTGTTTTATTTAAAGAGCCTACTGTTGAAAAGAAACCATCTCCTGTGGCACCAGAGCCAACAGCAGCTACAAAAGAACAGAGAGTCTCTCCTCCCACAGGTAGAGTCTCTGTTTTCATGTATTCTGTGTCAGTTGTTATTGTTGTTGGTGTTTCCTTTTGGGTTGTTAATGTGTCTTTGTGGTCTTGTGAATTCTACTTTTAAAGTATCTTTTGAATCCTCTCATGTGATTACTTAAAATACTTACTAACCAGTTTGTCTTTTTTTAATGTTTTTTTAACCAAAATTATGGATGAGAGGTATCTTCTTTTGTATTACACTTTGTTTAAACATAGTCATAATGAGAATTCTTTCTTCAATGGAACCCCAAAGGAAATGTTCAATAGAATGTCTGAGCAACTGTCTTCTATACAATGAAAGCGGATGGGAACCAGGGACTGTCAAGTTCCAGAAAATAAAGACCAAAAAATGCATCATAGAAGTAGTCTATATGACTTGAGTTATATTTAAAGTTTTCTGAAGACATATGATGTGAGGAACAGACTGAAATTTAAGTTAATTTCTACAAATTTAACAGCCATGGTCACCATTCACTTTCATTGAATAGAAAAGAACAGCTTGGACAGAATGCTATTTCCTTTGTATTCCACATAGGACATAAAGTCATATAAAGGGTTTTGAAAGACACAAGAGGAGTTAATTATGACAGAATTTATATTTTAAGTGAATTGTGCTTCTAACTTGTGTGTCGGTACCTGTTTAATCTGAAATGATCTCTGAAACAGATGCAGATAAGGGCCCTGTTACAGCTCCTGGACCTGCTGGCAAAGGTATGTTAATGTGTGAGTCACATGCCACAAATGAGTCTTCAAATGTTTGATTATTAAACATATTTAAATCAGTTATTCAGGCAGCACATTTCACATGTCTGCTTGTTGTTCTTTTTGTTTTGTCTAATTTTTGTTTGCTTATTGTTTTGTTTTATTGTTCTTTTTTCTTTATTTATTGTTATGCTTTACAGTTCTGTTCGCTACTGTTTATCAGGGTTGAGGTTCATTTCATTTTAATTCCAACATTTAAAAAAAAAAACACTAATGACATGGCTTCAACCCTGCTGTGTACAGGTGTCTTATGTCATGCTGATTGTACTGTCCATGTTATGTGATATTGTGACCTTTATTGCCTCAGAAACAACTTGCACCACACAAGCACTTCTTAAACAAAAGAGTAAAATTCACATCAAGGAAGAGGAAAAACTGGAAATGCCAACCATAAAGAAAGTAACCAGAAGATCAAAAGAACATCAGGAAGATCATGAAGTTATATCACTTAAGAAATTAAACAAGATTCAGTGTGAAGAACCACCAACAGATGAGGGGCCACTTCTCCGGAAAGTTGAGAAAGCTGAAATAGTTGGAGAGGAGATGGTGTATTCAAAGGCTGTTACTGAAATCAAACTCACCAGCAACTATGAAGTCACGGAAGATACTTGGTCATATGAAACCGCTACAAAAACAAAGAAAATATCTAAAGAGGAGGGAAAGAAGACTGAACAATACAAGGATGTGATGAAGAAGAAAGAGATTACTACTGAAATAGGTGGAGAAGTAGAAAATAAGGGTAAACAAGGAAGTAAAATTCCAATGGAAGATGAACCTAAGATACCTCAGAAAAAGGTAACTAAGGCAATATCAACTGAGAAAGAACAGGAAATTGTAAAATTAAAACCTGCAGAGAAATTAGACAAAGCTGTTGTAGGTCCCCAGAAAGACAGCAACACAGACAGGATCAGTGATAGTATTGGCGTCCAAAAACACGAAAGGCTTATAAAGGATGAGCCTGTTTCAAAAAAAGAAATAGATGTGACACCTACAGATCAAAAAACTAAAGAACCCATAATTCCAAAACCTGTTGTGGCTAAAGATGAAATCTCCAAAGAACCTGAGAAATTTCCAAAGAAAGCAAAGAGAATTCTACCACAGGTAGAGGAGCCAGAAACGGTTACACTAAAACCATTTTCCAAAGAATCTCATGCTGATGTAACTGCTGAAATGGTTCCTCAAAAGCAAACTGAGAAAAAGCCTGAAGACATTAAGCATCCAGAGAGACCGGAAACAACACATATCCTGAAGGAACCTCACATCCAGGTAAACGAACCAGGAAAAAGTGAAAAAATATATAAAGAGACTAAAGAGATCAAAAAGCTAGAGTCACCCCATGAGTATCAGCCAATGAAGAGTAATACTACTCCAGAAAAGACACAGGAAGGTCCCAAAGAAGAGGGGAAGGGAATAGCTAAAAAACACAAAATGATTCCAGTGGATAAAACGAAAAAAGAAGAGGTATCATTGAAACCTATAAAAGGAAAGTTAATTGCAGAGAAAACTCCTTCACCAAAGGTAGATAAACCTAGTCCTCAAGTCACTCCACTGACTAAAAAGAGTCTAAAAGAGGATGATAAACCAGAAATGGCAAAAAAAATTGGTCTTTCACCAAAGGAAATTCAGAGAGAAGAGGAAATATCACTGAAGCCTATAGAACCTGCAGAGCTAAAAAAGACTCCTTCACCAAAAGTGGAGACACAAAAACCTAAACCCACTGAATCCATTCCAATGGAAAGAAAGTCTAGTGCAAAATCACCCAAGAAGATTTCACCAAAAGATTCACTTCAGTCTGTAATTCTGAAGAAGGTCTCAAAGACAGTCTCCCCCAAAGAAGAAAAGACTACTCAGGAACCTCCTTTAAAAACTACTGAAGACAAACTGCCAATGGTAAAGGAGTTGTCTCCTAGTCTTCTGCATCTACAAAAGATTCCTACACAGCAAGAGGAGATAGTATATGAGCATAAGCAGGAGGTGGTGGATGGTGAAGAAGAAGAAACTTGGGGATGGGAACTTGCTCCTAGGGACAGTTATGGATCCGAAACCTTTGATGACGCCTTGGAAGATGGAGCTGTTGAAACCCCAGGAATGGGTGACAAGAAAGGTGAGATGGTGGCACAAAAGCTCGCCACTGGTATCTCGTGGCTCCCTACAATCATTCCAAATAATATCAACTTAACTCATCCATTATTACCCTTTAACAAGTGTCTTCATTTTTTTATTATTTAGTTGTCTTTGATGTTGTGTGTCCTTCCTTTGATTTATTCGTTCTTTCATTCTTGGTTCATCAAACCCTCTTTATAAAATGTTGTGTGTCAGTGAAGTCCTGCTCTGTCATGTAACTGTTTGTCAGTCTCATTTTCATTCCTTCATCTTCATTCGTCATTTTTGTTGTGGGTGTCATTTGTACTGAGCTGCGTTTTTCAAACTTGTTTTCTTGTCTTTTATTGTCATTAATATGCTCTCATATGTTATATCCTTTGTATATAATTTATAAACCAATAATTTATGACCCTTTGCAGTTTTACCATTTCAAGCCTTTCTTAATAGTATAACAATATTTCAAACAGATGGAAAACCAAAGGAGGAACCAGCTCCAGGCAGAGGCAGAGGACTAAGACGTACGTTCATAATATTCAGTACATTTGTAGTATGCATTTATAATGTTACAGTGCATGTGTTAATTTTAAAGTTATATAAGAATAATTTAAAATGGTGAAACTTTTTCTTTTTTATTGTAGCAAGACAAACTCCATCTCCTGGTGATGCTGGAAGGGGTAGAGGGCTGAAACCTGGTGGTGGAGGTGACAAGCCTCCAGGAGAATCACCATTTGGTTTCCAACTCAAAGCCGTCCCCTTGAAGTTTGTGAAGGAGCTCCAGGACATTGTGTTGCAGGAGGCTGAGTCCATTGGCTCCTCTGCTGTATTTGAGTGCCAGATCTCTCCATCTACTGCTATCACCACCTGGATGAAAGATGGAAGCAATATAAGGGAGAGTCCAAAGCACAAATTCACATCTGATGGCAAAGACCGCAAACTGGCCATCATTGATGTACAGCTTTCAGACACTGGGGAGTACACATGTGTTGGAAAGCTTGGCAACAAGGAGAAGACCTCAACAGCTAAACTTGTTGTAGAAGGTATTTGTGACTGCTATTCTCAAACTGTCCTTTCTAGTCACATAAAAATGTCATATGGCATTGCCTCTTGCATCTAAAGACCATTAATGTTCATATGTTGGTACTAATAATGTATGATTGTTAGAGTTGCATTTCTTCTATCATTTCATATAGAATTACCTGTGAAATTCACAAAGAATCTGGAAGAAGAGACCTCTGTGTTCAAGGGGCAGCCAATGTATTTGACCTGTGAGTTGAACAAGGACCGAGATGCGGTCTGGAAGAAGAATGGACAAGAGATAAAGGAAATTCCTGGCAAAATTCAAATCAATATTATTGGGCTACAGCGTACCATCACAATCCAGGATGCGAACGATGATGATGCTGGTGTTTACACATGCGAGTGTGAAAACATTAAAACTCAAACTAATGTCAAGGTTATTGGTATGTATTTGATTTTTTAACCTTTTAATATCTTCTTAAAAACGTTGATAGATGTTTCTATATCTTCTTTAATGAATTTAGAGCCGGTGTGTGAATTTACCCATGTATGTATTCAACAGAAATCATTAGAGACTGGTTAGTGAAACCTTTGCGGGACCAGCATGTGAAGCCCAAGGCCACTGCTACATTCAAAGGCGAGCTCTTCAAGGACACCCCTAACTGGAAGTGGTACAAGGGTAACGATGAAATTCCTAATGAGCCTACAGATAAGACTGAGGTGAAGAAGGAGGGTAAAGAGATTACTCTTACAATTAAAAGTGCCCAGCCTGATGACGTTGCTGAGTACACTGTGGAGGTTGAAGGCCGCAGATATGCAGCAAAACTAACACTTGGAGGTTTGTTTAAAAACAGCACCACCACTTGAGGACTGTTGATTTCTGCTTATATTACCATCTGAAAACGTTGTGTATAAACATTTCTCTATAATCTCTGTTCAGAACGTGAAGCGGAGATCTTGAAGCCTCTTGCTAGTGTGGAGGTGGTTGAGAAAACGGAGGCCAACTTTGATACTGAAATTTCAGAAGATGATGTGCCTGGAGAATGGAAACTTAGAGGGCAGGTTCTGACAAGATCACCGGTAAGACCCTATTCAAAACCCCCAGGTGTCCTAAAACAGTGGTTCTCAAACCTCTCCATGCAGTACCCCCCAGCACTCCACATTTTGTATGTCTCCCTATATCTGACACACCACTTCCGGTCTTGCAGTCTCCACTAATGAGCTGATGAGTTGAATCAGGTGTGATAGATGAGGGAGACATACAAAATGTGCAGGGCTGGTGGTACTCCAGGACAGGTTTCAGAACCACTGTCCTAAAATATTAGTCATTCCCAGTGTTGGGGAAGCTACTTTGAAACTGTGGCTTCCCAGGCTACAAGGTAGTCATAATTTAAATAGTTAAATAACCACTCTACCCATTTGGAGATGTAATTAAAAAACAGCTAACCGTGTAAAGCTGTTTAAGAGGGTGATATCTATTTAAATGATTTAAGTCTGTTTTATAATAAAAACATTCTTTTATTTGTCACACACACACACACACACACACACACACACAAATTGCAATGATTAGTAGCAGTGCTAATTGTAGTTAGTCTTTCCCCAACAGTATTAATACAGTTATGTAATTTTTTATAGCACATTGTTCCAAAAAATTGCTGATTCATAATTTTCTTCTATTTTAGACATGTGACATCAGATCTGAGGGAACAAAACGATTCCTTACTATCAAAAGCGTTCAGCTTGATCAATCTGGAGAAGTTACATACCAAGCTCTGAATGCTGTGACAAGTGCTATGCTCACAGTAAAGGGTAAGAGAATGTTTTTTTTAAAGCATAATAAAATGTAAATTCAAATCTACAAATGCAGATGAGTGACGATATGGACAATGTTCATTCATACCTACCAGAGTTGGAAATGGAGTTCACAGTCCCTTTGAAGGATGTTACTGTGCATGAAAAGAAACAGGCAAAGTTTGAGTGCTCCGTCAATAAGGATGTGCCTAAAGTGATTTGGTTTAAGGGTTCTGATATTGTTACACAAGGAAATAAGTATGAAATCATTGATGACGGAAAGAAACACATACTCATTATAAATAACTGTGGCTTTGAGGATGAGGGTGAATACAGTATTGAGGTCTTGGGCAAATCATCAAAAGCAAAACTGATGGTAGAGGGTAAGTCTTGGTTATCATCTTGGTTAGTGAAGTGTTGGTCAAAATACTTTGACAAAATTTAACAAGGGTGTTTATTAATGAGTAGTCTAACAAATAGCAAATAGTAAAAAAAACAGTTGCTAATAAATTCACTTTTTTTAATAAATTCACTAATAATTCACTGCTTTTCAAGTTTGTAGTATATTAATTTATTGCGTCCAAAGTCAATTTGTTATACACTGAACAAATGTCGTAGGTATGAGGCTGAACTTCACCTCAACATTAAAGGACCTAACTGTGAAGGAAGGTAAAACAGCTGTATTTGAGCTTGAACTCTCTCATGAGAATGTTGACGTGACGTGGTACATAAATGAAATAAAAGTGCACCCAAGCAGAACCGTGTTCACCAGCATGGTGGGAAAGAAACATACACTAGAAATTAAGGAAGTATCACTAGATGATACTTGCCTGATAAAAGCAGAGGCTAAAGGAATATCTACAATGGCTAAGCTGCTGGTTATAGGTAATTTTACCTTTATTTCACCATTACATTTATTTGATCAGCTGCACTAATTCTTGTTTCCCCCCCCCCTCGTTGTATCATTGTGTTTGCAGTACAACAAAACCTTTTATGTAGATTACTACACATATTTTATTTTCTGAATATTATTAACACAGCAACCTGTTTTTACAGAGGGTGATGCATTTTTCACCTCCAAGTTACAAGATTACACCGCAGTTGAGAAAGATGAAGTCACATTTGACTGCGAGCTCAGTAGAGATGCTCCTGTGAAATGGTTCAAGAATGAAATTGAAATTAAAGCCTCCAAGATGATTACTATGAAAGTTGAAGGCAAACGGAGAATCCTCAATCTTAAGAAAGTTGAGAACAAAGATAAAGGATTATATGTTTGCGACTGTGGAACAGACAAGACTTCGGCCAACTTGAACATTGAAGGTCAGTGATTAAGGTTATATTCCTAAAATGTAAAAACATTGCAATATTTCAGGGGTACAAGTGGGTTTTATTTGATAATTTTGTTCTAAATAGAATCTATTTAATTCCAGCTCGTGACATCAAAGTGGTGCGACCATTGTATGGTGTTGAGCTCTTTGATGGTGAGACGGCTCGTTTTGAGGTGGAAATCTCTGAAGATGATGTCCATGGCCAGTGGAAACTGAAGGGTGAAGTCTTATCCTCGTCACCTGTGAGTACAGTTGCATCAATAAATTCAATAAACATCTTTCACAAACATCTAGCAACATACTTAATATTTTTTCTCATGTGCTTTTTGTAAACAGGATGTTGAGATTATTGAGGATGGTGCAAAACACACATTAACACTCTACAACTGCAAAGTTTCCCAATCTGGAGAGGTGATCTTCCAGGGAGCGAATGCTAAGTGTTCTGCAAATCTTAAAGTGAAAGGTAGTTAAAAAAAATAAAATAATAAAAAGTATGTGTGTGTGTGTACTTTAAAAAAATCAAGCTAATTATTTCAATCTAATCTAATCTTTCTGTTCATCTTTGCATAGATTTGCCCATTTCTTTTGTCATGCCTTTGAGCGATGTACAAGTCTATGAGAAAGATGATGCAAGATTTGAAATCGAAATGTCAAGAGAGGCTAAGGTTGTCCGCTGGCTAAAGGGATCTCAGGAGTTGAAGGCTGATGAAAAGTTTGAAATCCTCGCAGAAGGGAAAAGACACATTCTGGTGGTCAGATCTGCTGCCTATGAGGATGAGGCTAAGTACATGTTTGAGGCTGAGGACAAGAGGACATCTGCCAAACTTGTTATTCAGGGTAATGAAAAAAGTTATTTAACAAATTGTTATGTGCAATATATGATGCACAGTAATCACATTTCCTTCTGAAACGTTTTTCTGATCGATTTTTTTTCTGATCTGCATTTGTCGTTCTACACAGGTATCCGTCTTGAGTTTGTCAGACCCATTAAAGATGTCACTGTTAAAGAGCGTGAGACTGCAGAATTCAGCATTGAGCTCTCTCATGAGAAGATACAAGTCACCTGGTACAAGAATGACATGCGTTTGCATCCAAGTAAAGTGGTACACATGTCAGAGGATGGCAAAACCCATACTCTGTCCTTCAAAGAGGTGTCTATTGATGACACTTCTCTAATTAAAGTTGAGGCCCTTGGGAAAACCTGTGAGGCAATGCTCACTGTACTTGGTAAGTGTTTTCTAATACATTTTATAATGACTTTAGTATAATTGACTATTGTTCTTGACAGTACATTGGTGCTGCTTTCATATCGTATCACTCTGTATCACTCATATTGTCTCTATTTTTTATACCAATACAAGTTACAATAGCGAATTGGCACCATCTAGTGACTTTACTTGTTCCAAAACTTCTACTTACAAACTTCTGTGAAAATTGAAATGAAAAATTTTCAGAATTAATTTTATGGTGAGCATAAATAATTTGACAGATGAAAGCTCGGAGTAAGAAAATGTAACCCTCATTCATTTAGAAGAACAAGGAACAAGAAATATGAGGTGGATGACAGAGCTCTTAGAATAGAGGAAGCTAAATATGTTGGCTAACTAGTCCATAGAAAAAATAACTTTGTGTCAGATTCTTGATCACCGTATGTGGGTTAATTTTTTTTTAAATTACGTACAAGGACATTTTTGTATATTGGTAAATCATGTTGAAAACATCATGTCCTCCTCTATATCAACAGAGGGAGAACCTTACTTTACTACCAAGTTGCAGGACTACACTGCAGTTGAGAAGGATGAGGTTGTCCTGATGTGTGAAGTGAGCAAATCATCTGCTCAGGTGAAATGGTTCAAAGACGGTATATACATATATTAGTGCTGGGCAACGATTAATTTTTAATCGCGATTAATCACATGATTTTCTGCAATTAATCGCATTGTTATGCACACAATTCAATAATTAATTCAAAAGTAGTGTATTGTGCACTTTTTTCATTTAAAGGGGTCCTATTATGCTCTTTTACAAAGTCTTGATTTTGTTTTGGGGGTGTACTAGAACAGGGTCTCATACTAGAGTTTGAAAAACACATTATTTTTCACATATTTTACATTATTACAACACCTCTCTTCCCAGTCTGGCATGAACAGCTCGAATAGTTCCTGTATCAAATAAAGGCCCCCCTTCTGAAATACGAAATGTGCTGTGATTGGTTAGCTGGGCCAGTGTGTGTTATGATTGGCAGCACTCGGCGCCTGGTCGGGTAATGTCATGCCCCTTACCATAGCCGCCTGCGAGCTTCAGTGTAAATATTGCGTCAATATCAAATCAATTTGAGCGTGATTTAAACCCGGATGATTGTAAGCACTAAGTTCGTCTGCCTTGGGAAAGCTAGCGTGTCTCAGACATAGTGATAACACTCACTGCCTTCTCTAGTGCAGCTCAACCAGGTCTCGTACCATTCGTCGATATTTGTGATATCACAAATCCCGGAAAATATGCGTTGTAGTCCAAACGAGTCATTCGTTGTAGTTTTTGAAAAGTTTCTGTCCATTTCTGTTAAATAAAATAGCAGCAAGAGTGATAGCTCTGTAAAGCAATATATTTTGTTAGGGCCATGTGTTACCGCGTCTCAAACGACTCAAAATAATAAACCACAAAGTTAACAAAACGATGCACTCCCTCCTGTGACCCATGGTTCATCTGTGTGTGTATTCAGAGCCAGTGAGCAACGGACTTTCATAATAATAAAAAAAACAGCGTTAACGTGCGATAAAATAATGTCAGCATTAATCAATTAATGGGTTAACGCGATAATAACGCGTTAACTTGCCCAGCCCTAATATATATATATATATATATTTTTTTTTTTTTTCATATTATGTCAATATTTTCAGCCCCAAAAAAATGTGCTTGTTTCACTCAGGACTGTGAGATTAAGGAGGAAGGCACCAAGCACATGCTTATTCTTTACAATGTTCACATGGATATGGCTGGTGGTGTGGACTTCAGTGCTGCTAATGCTAAATCAAGTGCTCAGCTCAGAGTTAAAGGTGAGAATCCTCATAAGTGAATAAAAAAATAAGCATGCAGCCACTAGTATTCTCTGTAACCAATTAGTTTTATAACTTAGGCTTTGTGTAATGTAACCTTTTTACATTGGTAACGAAACAACCTGCATTCTTGTTTCACTGAAGAAAAAAAAATGTTTTTTGAGTGGCAGTAACAGATAACTTGGTAGTCAACAGCCAATCAGGCCTCAAGACTATTTTAGAAGTCCCATGCCTTATCAGGAGAGGGTGGGCTCTCTTCCCAGTCTGGCATGAACAGCTCGAATAGTTCCTGTATCAAATAAAGGCCCCCCTTCTGAAATACGAAATGTGCTGTGATTGGTTAGCTGGGCCAGTGTGTGTTATGATTGGCAGCACTCGGCGCCTGGTCGGGTAATGTCATGCCCCTTACCATAGCCGCCTGCGAGCTTCAGTGTAAATATTGCGTCAATATCAAATCAATTTGAGCGTGATTTAAACCCGGATGATTGTAAGCACTAAGTTCGTCTGCCTTGGGAAAGCTAGCGTGTCTCAGACATAGTGATAACACTCACTGCCTTCTCTAGTGCAGCTCAACCAGGTCTCGTACCATTCGTCGATATTTGTGATATCACAAATCCCGGAAAATATGCGTTGTAGTCCAAACGAGTCATTCGTTGTAGTTTTTGAAAAGTTTCTGTCCATTTCTGTTAAATAAAATAGCAGCAAGAGTGATAGCTCTGTAAAGCAATATATTTTGTTAGGGCCATGTGTTACCGCGTCTCAAACGACTCAAAATAATAAACCACAAAGTTAACAAAACGATGCACTCCCTCCTGTGACCCATGGTTCATCTGTGTGTGTATTCAGAGCCAGTGAGCAACGGACTTTCATAATAATAAAAAAAACAGCGTTAACGTGCGATAAAATAATGTCAGCATTAATCAATTAATGGGTTAACGCGATAATAACGCGTTAACTTGCCCAGCCCTAATATATATATATATATATATTTTTTTTTTTTTTCATATTATGTCAATATTTTCAGCCCCAAAAAAATGTGCTTGTTTCACTCAGGACTGTGAGATTAAGGAGGAAGGCACCAAGCACATGCTTATTCTTTACAATGTTCACATGGATATGGCTGGTGGTGTGGACTTCAGTGCTGCTAATGCTAAATCAAGTGCTCAGCTCAGAGTTAAAGGTGAGAATCCTCATAAGTGAATAAAAAAATAAGCATGCAGCCACTAGTATTCTCTGTAACCAATTAGTTTTATAACTTAGGCTTTGTGTAATGTAACCTTTTTACATTGGTAACGAAACAACCTGCATTCTTGTTTCACTGAAGAAAAAAAAATGTTTTTTGAGTGGCAGTAACAGATAACTTGGTAGTCAACAGCCAATCAGGCCTCAAGACTATTTTAGAAGTCCCATGCCTTATCAGGAGAGGGTGGGGGTGATTGGCAGAACTGAAACATGCCTCCTAGTTTATCTGACCACAGGCAGTGCATGGACTCTCAATATGCTAATGATATAGGATCCTGTGTGAATCTAAATAGTCCTTCAGGCTGCAAAATATAACCTAGTGATAGAGCAGAATGACAAATTGTAGTAGTAGGATTGTCTCTTCTTATTAAGGATGTCCATTTCCTTCTCTAAAGCACGCACAATTGGCCTCCTGCGACCTCTTCGGGATGTCACTGTCACTGCTGGAGAGACTGCCACCTTTGACTGTGAGCTCTCATATGAAGATATTCCAGTTGAATGGTTCGTTGGCTCAACAAAGATGGAGCCAAATGATAGGGTGAGATTCTTTTCTGTAGATTTTGTTAGATTTAATTGTTAATTTGAGCATCATCAATTCAGTTTTGTTCCTGTCTGAATGTTTAAGATTTCATTGTTATTCAATGTGACTTCAGTTGTAGTTATGGAAAAATAACAATAGACTATAGTTTAACTATACAGTATACATACACACAGTATGTATATTTTGTTGTCTTAGCGTGACAATTCCAAGTAGAAAAGTCTTTATATAAAGATTTTCTGCATATAAGGACTTCCAGCGCTTGCTCAAAGTTTTGAGATAACGCTGGGCCATTCTGCCCTGTAGGCGCCATTCTGGTTATTTTTAACTGCTTCAAGAGTGTTGTTGAAGTGGTGGTATAGTGAACTTCATAATCATTAGACATTTGATAAAATATATATCTCTTTAATTTTAATGTTTGACTTAAAGAAAATATGCTTCTTATGTAATTATTTATCACACATAAATATATATATATTCTAACAATGCATTTGTTGTTTTTACATAGCTTAAATTAGACAGATAACTAAGAAAGAGATCATTTTGTTTTATAATTTAAAGGCACTTTCTCATTTTTGTTGATTTTGCCACTTAATTTTTCCTTTGCTTTCAGAGTTTTTATATCAAAAATGTGGGAAAAAAGCATTTGATAAAACCACTCAGCCTAAAAAATTATGCCACACTGTTGTGTTCAGGTGGTCACCAGAGCAGAAGGAAGACTGCATTCTCTGACTCTAAGAGATGTCAAGATGACAGAGGCCGGGGAAGTGAAACTTACTGCAAAGGACTTTGTGACCCAGGCCAACCTTACTGTGAATGGTATGTTTTTGAAATAAATAAACACCCCAATGTTATTGTAGTATCATTGAGATACTATTTTAGTTTTTATTAATATTTTGAATTAGTTTTATTTTAATATTTATCATTTTAATTTTTAGTTTTAGTAATTTTGTGTTTTCCCAAAGTTTCTTTTTAAAAAATTGGTCTACATAGTTTTTATTACATTTTATTGCAGTTTTAGTTATCTTAAGTTTTTTTATATATTTAATCATATTTATTTTATTTAACTTTTTTTTCAAGTAATAAAATGTTTTTTATGGTTGTAGTTTTAGTTTACTGCAATAACACCTGTATTCCTAACAAATAGAATATATATATATTTAGAATATATAGAGTTGCTTAGGGTTTCACATTACCTCATTACATATCACAGAGCCACCAGTTGAGTTCACCAAGCCCTTGGAGGACCAGACTGTTGAGGAGGAAGCCACAGCCATTCTGGAGTGTGAACTGTCCAGGGAGAAGGCTGATGTGAAGTGGTTCAGAGACGGACAGGAAATTCGTAAAACCAAGAAGTATGAGATGGTGGCTGAGGGACGCATAAGGAGACTGATCATCAAGGACTGTAGCCTCGATGATTCCAAGACATATACCTGTGATGCAAAGGAGTTCAAGACATCTGCTTTCTTAAATGTTGAACGTAAGTTAAAAAAAGAAAAATCAGAGAAACTTGAATAAAGCCAACTAAAGTAAAGACAAAGTAAACCACACAAATTATCTGTATAAAGCAAATGTATATTTTTTTTCAGCTCCATTTGTGGAATTCACTAAGCCTCTTCATGATGTTGAGGTTAAGGAGAAGGAATCTGCTAAGTTTGAATGCGAAGTGTCCCGTGAAAGTGCCAAGGTATTTTTAACAGAAATCTCTGTGCACAGATAGTGGAGTCAAGAAGTCTGAGACTACTGGTGAAGCTGTGCCTGATTTACATTTTAAATTTAATGCAGTTGTTTTAATTACAAATTGTATTATTAGCATAGCAATTTTAGTGAAAAGCTGAACTAAAAAGTTGCATGATTTCCAGAATTTCGTAGTATTTAAAATATCTTTCTTAAACAACAGTATGCACACAGTCTCTGACGATACAGAGTGGATTGATTCATAACTGTTTGTTGCACAGGTCCGCTGGTTCAAAGATGGTGCTGAGATCAGAAAAGGCAAAAAGTATGAGATTATTGCCAAGGGATTACAGCGTATTCTCATCATCAGCAAGGCAGTATTTGATGATGAAGCAGAATATGAATGTGATGCAAGGACATCCAAGTCCTCTGGAATGCTGACAGTTGTCGGTAAGTTTTGTTTCGGCCGTTGTTCTAAAATAAAGCTAAAATAAAGACATTAATGACTATTCCTTTTGCCTTACAGAGGAGGAAGCTAGATTCACAAAGAACCTGTCCAATGTTGAGGGCACGGAAACCGACAGCATTAAGATGATTTGTGAGGTCTCCAAACCCAGTGCGGAGGTTACGTGGTACAAGGGTGACCAGGAGATTCCCGAGGGTGGTAGATATGAACATGTTGCAGATGGGAGAAAGAGAATTCTCATCATACAGGACCTCCGTATGGATGATGCTGGCGAGTACCGGTGCAAACTGCCTGCTTCAGAAACAAAAGGAACTTTAAAGATCAGTGGTAAGTTTTAAGCTTAGATTCTTTCAAACGCACTGTTATATTAAAGTCCTTCAAGCTCAGGGTTCCCATGGTCATGTAAAACCTAGAAAAGTAAGGAATTTTAAAATTGTGATGGAATTTTCTAGCTATTAAATATTTTGTTTGCTCTTATTGAGTCAAATTTCTTTAAAATTGTTTTCGAAATTCAAGTTTATTGGTCAAAAGGTGTGGGAATCATGATGCACTAAATAATCACACTGATAATTTAATTAGGCATTGATTTACCTAAAATTGAGTCTCTTTATTGCTTTAGAATTGGCAGCTGAGTTCATTGCCAGGCCCCAAAACCAAGAGGCTGTTGAGGGCGAAAAGGCTGAGTTTGTTTGCTCGGTGTCTAAGGAAAATTATGAAGTCAAATGGTTCAAAGGAGACAAAGAACTTACAACTGATGATAAGTATGAAATTGTCAGTGATGGCAAGAGGAGGGCACTCATTGTCAAAAACTGCGAGCTAAAAGATGAGGGTGCATTCACTGCCCACATTGGCTCTGTAAAGGCTTCAGCAGACTTGTTGGTGATTGGTAAGTTTTTTTGTTGTTGTTGTTGTTAGTACATTTTTCTGTAATATATTTCTGTAAAGGTCTTCAAATGTTTCATTCTGAATTGTCATATTAAACTGAACTAAATATGGGTACCATTACTTGTCTCATTAGAAAAACTGAGGATAATCACTCCCATTAAGGATACCCAAGTAAAGGAAGGACAAGAGATTGTTCTTAACTGCGAGGTGAACTCAGAGGGAGCTAAAGCCAAATGGCTGAAGAACAATGAGACGATGTTTGAGAGCAGCAAGTTTGTCATGGTTCAGAGAGACACTGTGTTCTCTCTGAGAATAAAAGCTGCAGAAAAGTCAGATGAAGCCAGCTATACCATTACACTGACTAACCAACGCGGAGAGCAGGCCAAGTGCTCTGCTAATGTCAATGTACTAGGTGTGTTGTTATTATATGTCTGCCTTTTATACCTTGTATATTTTGTTAGCAGTATATGTACAATGCTAATATACATTTTTTTGCATCCACAGAGGAAGCCCTCAAGATCATTGTGCCACTAGAGGACTGTGAAATAGAGGAAAAGAAGACTTTGACTTTCACTTGCAAAGTGAACAGACCAAATGTGACAGTCCAGTGGATGAAGGCCGGTCAAGAGATCACTTTCAGCAAACGTATTCTGTATCGTGTGGACAAGGACAAGCACACTCTGACCATTAAGGACTGCAGTCTTGCAGACGAGGGTGAATACAGTGTAGTTGCTGGTGCTGATAAGGCCACAGCAGAACTGATCATCAGTGAGGCACCCGCTGACTTCACCGCTCAACTCAGAGACCAAACCATCACTGAGTTTGAGGATGCTGAGTTCACTTGCAAATTGTCTAAGGAAAAAGCCCATGTTAAATGGTACAGGAACGGACGTGAAATCAGAGAAGGACCAAGGTGAGTTCTGAACCATGAAAGAAAGTATTCTGTAATAATGTGAAAATGTTTGCTAATGATCATGATCTTTTTTCAGATATCATATGGAAAAAGATGAAAAAGAATGCAAGCTTGTAATCAAAGAGTGCAGACCAGATGATGAATGTGAATATGCCTGTGGAGTGGAAGACAAAAGGACAAGGGCACGTCTCTTTGTTGAAGGTATTTTTCACAGCATCTTACTGGTATTTATAGTGGATATAGAAAAGAATCACCCCCCTTTAAATTAATCACATTTTGTTGCTTTGCAAATGCGATCAACACATAAATCTTAGTTTCACAAACATGTATTGAATTCACAAATAAATGAAATGAGATTTGCAAATAAAAAACATTCACAAATATGTTTTTATGTCACAAACAACAACTTTGCCTGGCATTCATTTGTGAATCACGTCCTGTGCATTTGTAGATCGCTACGCAAATTTGTGGATTTTTAAACATTTCTAGCATCAAGACAAATCTACAAATGCATCAACTCCACCCACCGTCTACTCAAGCCAATCAGATAACAGCCACATTTCGCTGACCAATCGTATGCACTTTCTCGCTATACCCAATCACATTTTGCTTTACAATCAGGGCGGGAGCGGATTAATTTTGCACCCCTGCATTATAGACACTTCTTTCAAATTGTGCTGAACTTAAGTGCTGTTTGTGTGGTTAAAATATAATTTCCAAAAGACTGTTGGAGTGTAAGGCTTCTTTATATTTCCATCAGGATCAGTGAATGAGGATAAACTCAGGATTATACACAACTTATAATCATTCACAGATCCCGAGCATCATCAATAACACCCTCGCGACGTGCCCATAGCAAATAGAAATCATTCTAATCAGCGATACGGTCTACACTGGACAAGGCACGACACGATAAAGGACAAATGATTCACGTATTTTCTTTGATGAGTACAGTTGCAGTTGTTACAGCTGTTGCAGCGCAGTGAGACAGCGAACGGGGTAGACACGGCGTAAGACATGGCACAATGGCTTATTCGGCCTTTTAAAGCACAATAGCGGTGACAAATATAGGGCATAATAACACATATAATATCAACTATCATCTGGGTACCAGCCTCAGCATCACTCTAACGTGTACTGGGGATTTGTGAGTGAACGATGTAAATAAAAACCATGCATTTACTTTGGATGCTGTTAACCCTCTGGGGTCCGAGGGTGTTTTGGGGCCCTGGAAAAGTTTTGACATGCCCTGACATTTGTGCTTTTTTCAGTTGCTTACAAACATTTGAATGTCTAAAGTTTAATAACACCGTAATCAGCACAAACTGGGCTACAATAATATGTGAGCAGCATGTATGTACGTGATGGTGTTTTTGAGAAAACAACGTTTATGCGTGCTTAGTGAAAAACTACAATTTTAAAGTCACTGAAATAAGGCCATAAAACACATACAGAACATTTGATCACAAGACTTTTGAGAACTGATCTTGGAGTCTAGAGTTTTTGCTTCAAAATGATGTGAAAATCATCTTACTCATTCACAGAAAACAATATATTGATTTAAATTTTCTAAGACACTTTTTGTGTAGAAAAGGTATATGCGAGGAGGCGTGAATGATCATGAATAATACTGTGATTCACACCTGAGAAGACAAAGGTCTGCATAATGAGCCTTTCAGTAAGGTGTGTGACTGAGAGGGAATTGAGTTGAAAACTAAACGAGTGCCCCCTTACTATGAGAGATGCAGGTGAATGCAAGAGTGGTGTATTCCCCACAGTACCTTAGTATAATTCGTGAACAGAGAATATTCTATCACAAGTTTTGACTAATAATTCTTACTGACATTAGGCTAGTAACATTATAACTCGTATTACTTTTATATCGTATTTCTGTCTGTTATAGAATATTAAAAAAAAAATCCTGGCATCGTGACATTTAGATGCTGTGAATGAAACTTCATAATGTTTCACTTGATTATACATTTAGTCAGGAATTATAGTTTGGAGAAAGTCTAACTAGTAAAATGTGTACAAGTTATGTGAAAACTAATGCAAGTAGGTTAATAAAAAAGACTTACTCATGTTTATGATCACTGCTGGATCAAGCCGCTGCATAGTTTTTCCTGAGGTAATCCAAAGCTTCTTGAGATGAATTCTGTCTTATTCCTCTCAGCGCGACGCGAACAGTAAAACTTGAGGTATTGCTGCTTTGTTTGCTGTGATATGGGCGTTTACACGCCACTTGCTTCACGTGGATGATTATAATATCTATAGCTCCCGTGGGCATGGTCGCATTAGATATAATGAAGGGAGACGTGAAAGACTGGACATCGCGTTGGTTTCATATGATTACTTTATCACAGAGTATTTGCTTTCAATAAGACTTGCTTAGTTTAAAAGTAGACATGTCAAGCTTTCTATAGATATATCTCTCATGTCTCTTTGTTGAGTATTTGCTGAGTTACAGTTAATTTTAATGACGCGTTTCTAAATAAAGATCACGCAGACCAAGATGGCAGACAGCGCACCATGTTTGTTTTCTTTATTTTATAAATGCACAAAGTTTTGTTGTTATTATGTGTGTATGCAAATAAAAGTAGACCATTTACAGATTCGATTGATGTATTGCTCTAATCTGTAAGATCAAATCTTAAATGTAAGATTTAAAGCGCTGTTTCTCTGGCATTTTCAAAGGCATGTAAAATATAATACTGTGGCTAGGCTTGATACACAGTCTAATGGCCTAACAAAATCCAATTTTAAACTTTTACTGTAACAATTTTTATGGCCCTTATATTTCCTATTTGAGCAAATGCAGATGAACGAGACCGCACTGAACAAATGCATGCAGCGATCTACAAACACACTGCCTGGCATTCATTTGTGAATCGCGTCCTAAGTTGTGCATGTGACATAAAAAATTAATTTGTGAATATGTTTTTTAATTTGCAAATCTCATTTTATGTATTTGTGAATTTAATTCATATTTGTGAAACTCTAAAATTTATTTGAGGATCATAATCTATTCATTTGGAATTATGCAACAATTCTATCTCCATATTATATATCCAGATTATTTGATTTGCTAATGCCATCTTTCTTTTCTTTCTTCAACAGAGATTCCAGTAGAAATTGTCAGGCCACCCACAGATGTATTTGAGCCTCCAGCATCAGATATTGTGTTTGAGGCTGAACTAAATAAGGACAGAGTTGAGATCAAATGGATGAGGAACAACATGATCATTGTCCAGGGTGACAAATACCAGATGATCAGTGAGGGCAAAGTTCATAGACTGCAGGTCTGTGAGATCAGACCCCGTGATCAGGGAGAATACAGGATTGTTGCCAAGGAAAAGGATGCCAGAGCCAAGCTTGAGCTTGCAGGTATGATACAGTGAGAGTTAATGATTTTAATGCTGTTTAGGTTTTGAAATACTGTAAAGGGATATATTTGTTAATGTTTTATACCTTTCTTTACAGCTATTCCAAAGATCAAGACTACAGATCAGAACCTTGTAACAGATGCTGGAAAGCCTTTCGTCATGACGGTTCCTTATGATGCTTATCCTCGTGCTGAGGCGGAATGGTTTTACAATGACATCAGCCTTCCTGGGCAAAACATTGACACATCCAATGAACGGACAGAGTACAGGCTGAAGGACCCTAAGAAGTCAGACCAGGGTCGTTACAAGATTGTCATCAAGAACAAACATGGAACAGGAGAGGCTTTCATTAATCTTGATGTCATTGGTAAGCAGGAAATCAAACTAGATGATTTACAGACAATTTAACTGTTCTAGATGTCTGATAAAAGTGTTGTTGTAGATGTTCCGGGACCTGTAAAGAACCTGCATGTTGTTGACACTGCTGATGGTGAGGTCAGCCTTGCTTGGGAGGAACCAGAAAGTGATGGTGGAAGCAAGATCTTGGCTTATGTGGTTGAGAGACGAGATGTCAAACGCAAGACCTGGACAATGGCCACAGACCGTGCTGACATTCCAGAGTACTGTGTTGGTGGATTGCAGAGGGACAACAAGTATTTCTTCCGTGTATGTGCTCGCAATAGAGTTGGAAATGGCGAGCTTGTTACTACTGATGAGGCAGTTCAAGCCAAAAACAAATTTGGTGAGCTATGCTTCAGTTTATTTCTTTATTTTCTGGTAAGAGGTGAGAATGTATCAACTAATTTTACATGGTCTTAAAAATATTTTTAAATTATTTTTCTGCTTCTAACAGATGTGCCTGATGCACCTCAGAAGGTTATGGTTGGAGTTGTCAATAGGTTTGGTGCCACAGTTTCCTGGGAACCACCACTTTTTGATGGAGGATCTGAGATCACATCTTATATCATTGAACTACGTGACAGAACGTCTGTGAAATGGGAGCCTGCTATGGTGGTCAAAGCTGAGGATCACACAGCCACACTCAATGATGTTGTCGAAAACAAAGAGTACATCTTTAGGGTCAGAGCTGAGAACAAAGCTGGAATTGGCCAGCCAAGCGCTGCCACAGATCCAGTGAAGATCATGGATCCCATTGGTTAGTAGGGTTTATATTTTGCTCGCTATGTCTAGAGTTGTTGCAAAAGTCATTGTCAAACATTCAATTTTGTCTCCTATTACAGAGAGGCCAAGTCCACCTCTGAACTTCAGCTACACAAATCAGACCAAAGACTCAGTTCAGCTGTCATGGGAGACACCAATTAGCAATGGAGGCAGTATGATTACGGGCTACATCATTGAGAAGTGTGAAGATGGTACTGACAAGTGGTGGAGATGTAACGCTAGGCTTTGCCCTGACCTTTACTACAGGGTATGTCATGTTGATTAATTTTGTGTTTTGGATTTAACAAAATGTTTTATCATATGAAAAGATCATCTTTTTTATAATGTATTTATTCATGTATCCTACATCCTACATTAAGGTTTCTGGACTGAAATTTGGTCAGAAGTATCACTACAGAGTATGTGCAGAAAATGCTGCTGGTGTTTCTGATCCAGCTGATGCAATTGGGCCACTTTTGGCCGATGATCCTCACGGTAAGCCATTTTAAATTTCCCTTAAAGACAGGTAAAAATATGAACACACATCATTTTAAATGTGTACATTTTCTTTTCCACCTTTAGTGGGTCCCACAATGGACCTCAGTGGATTTAAAAATGGTCTGGAGGTCATTGTTCCCAATGCTCTTGTCATCCGAGTTCCCATTACGGGATATCCTGTCCCCAAACCCAAGTGGACATTTGGTGACAAAGAGTTCACTGCAGGAGACCGTGTTTCCATGGTTACGAGGCCTACATACACCGAACTGGTTGTTGCTCCAAGTGTGCGTCCAGACAAAGGAACATACACGTTACAACTGGAGAATGATGTGACAACTGTCTCTGGAGAGATTGAAGTCAATGTTATTGGTATGCACATTTTCTTTCTACTATATTCTCCTACGACGTTGTTGTTTTTGCGCAGCAATTAATGTACATTCCCATTTTTTGCACCTTTCAGCATGTCCAAGTGCACCCAAAGACTTCAAAGTTGCAGAGGTGACCAGACATCATGTGCATCTAATGTGGGAAGCACCAGAGCATGATGGAGGCAGCCCTGTAAGTGGGTACAATATTGAGAAAAGAGAGGTTTCCCGCAAGACCTGGGTCAAGGTGAGCTGTTTTTAACAGTTACTTGTTTACAGTATTTGTACACTCAGTGAAACATTTAGGTTCTAACAACATCTGCTCTTCAGGTGATGTCAGGCATACAGGACCTCGAGTACACCATCACAGATGTCATTGAGGGCAAGGAGTACTTGTTCAGTGTTATTGCTTGCAACAAATGTGGACCAGGAGAGCCAGCATACATTGATGAACCCGTCAATGTGTCCTCCCCAGCCAGTAAGTCTTCAAAAGTGTTACATTCTTTTAGTTTGAGGGGTATGAAATAAAGAACAATTTGACAGTGAATGAAACTTGTTTGAAATACAGCTGTCCCTGACCCTCCTGAGAACCTGAAATGGAGAGACAAATCAGCGAAGAACATCTTCCTGCTCTGGGAACCTCCCAGATATGATGGTGGTGCTGCTATCAAGGGCTACATTGTTGATAAATGCCAGCGTGGCACTGACAAATGGGAAGCCTGTGGAGATCCCATACCTGAGCTTAAGTGAGTGGTGATTCTTCATGAGCATCCCTGTAATGGCACATAGTGTGTTTAATAATTATTCATATATGTCTGTAATCTTTATCATTATACGTATCCCAGGTTCCAGGTGACTGGTCTTGTTGAAGGTCAGTGGTATGCCTATCGTGTGAGAGCAGTGAACAGACTTGGAGCCAGCCGACCATGCAAGGCTACAGATGAGATCCTGGCTGTAGATCCTAAAGGTTAGTGATCTAGGTCCATCAATGTAATAGTTAAATAATAGTTAGAATTCACTATATATTAACATTTACATTATATTACAGAGCCACCAGAAATCCAGCTGGATGTGAAGCTTCTAGCAGGCTTAACTGCTAGGGCTGGCTCTAAGATTGACCTGCCAGCTGATGTGCTTGGCAAGCCGGAGCCAAGAGTAAAATGGACAAAGGCTGACCTTGTCCTGAAACCAGATGATAGGATTACTATCGACACAAAACCTGGCCATTCCACACTTTCCATTGCAAACACAACCAGATCTGACACGGCCACCTATATAATTGAGGCAGTCAACACTAGTGGCCGTGCCACTGCAACTGTTGACGTCAACATTCTTGGTATGGTGTTATCTGTCATTTCAGCATAATCAAATTAAGAAATCAGTGGTAATTGTAAATATTAATGTCTTGTCATTATGTTGAAAAACAGACAAACCTGGCCCCCCGGCTGCTTTTGATATCTCTGAAATCACCAATGAATCCTGCTGTCTGGCCTGGAATGCTCCCAGAGATGATGGTGGCTCCCCAGTAACCAATTACATTGTAGAGATGAGACCCACAGATAAAGAAGAGTGGCAGAAACTGTCTGCTACAATCAAACAAACTGCTTTCAAAGCCTCCAAACTGGTTCCTATGAAAGAGTATATCTTTAGAGTGTCTGCTGAGAACCAGTATGGCATTGGGACTCCTGCAGAGCATGTGCCTATTGTTGCAAAGTATTCATTTGGTAAGCATACAACACACTATATTATTTATTTATTTATTACCTAACATTTACAAAATTAATTATCTTTCTCTGTCACTCAGATACCCCTGGGTCACCAACCAGGGTTCAGCCTTCTGATATCACAAAGGATGCTGTAACTCTGACTTGGTTTGAGCCTGATGAAGACGGTGGAAGCCCCATCACTGGTTACTGGGTTGAGAGGTTTGATCCTGAGACTGACAAATGGATCAGGTGTAACAAGCTGCCAGTTAAGGACACATCGTACAGGTAGGGTAATCATTTTCATTGTGTCTGTATTTAAATGGTAAATGAAGTGCAAAACTCTAGAAAGTCTCTAATTAATGTTACCTTTTCAGGGTGAAAGGTTTGCCAACAAAGAAGAAGTACAGGTTCCGTGTTTTGGCTGAGAATCTTGCAGGACCAGGAAAGCCAAGTGCTGAGACTGACCCAGTTTTGATTAAAGATCCAATTGGTATGTTATGGATTTATTTTTCAATGGTTGATGCAATTAAATAATTAACATTTGAAATAATGAATCTCAAATGTTGTTATTTTAGATCCTCCTTGGGCCCCTGGGAAACCATTCATCAAAGACATTGCCAAGATTTCAGCACACCTGCAGTGGACCAGACCTGAGCATGATGGCGGCGCTAAGATTGAGTCCTACATAATTGAGCTTCAAAAGAGTGGAACTGAGGAATGGGTTCGTGTAGCTGAGGATGTGCCAACAACAGAGCATTTATTGAAGGGTCTGATGGAGAAGCAGGAGTATTCTTTTAGAGTCAAGGCCGTCAATGTTGCTGGAGAGAGTGAACCCAGTGATCCAAGTGACCCTGTTGTCTGCAAAGAGAGACTTTGTGAGTGTTTACAGAAGATTCGAAAAGTGATTCGTTTAATAATTATTTTAACATTATAGTCAACTATTATATATATCAAGATCATATCATCAAGAATATATCTAGATATCAGTATCTAGAAGTAAAAAAGCAAGACATTTATTTGTGTGTGTACGATGACTTAACCAGAATGTTATCATAATATTAAACCCCAATTTTCAATACATTCTCTGATTTTTGTATTCAACCTGCAATGATCTGTAAACAATAATATTATTTTTGTTATTCTCATTCCAACAGATCCTCCAAATGCCCCACGCTGGCTTGAGGTGGTTAACATTACTAAAATCAACTGTGACCTGAAATGGACTGAACCAGATAGTGATGGTGGCTCTCCGATCACCAACTTTGTTGTTGAGAAGAGGGATGTCAGACGCAGGGCCTGGCAGCCTGTGGATACCACAGTGAAAGAAACCAAGTATACTGTCACTCCACTGAATGAAGGCTCTCTTTATGTGTTCCGTGTTGCTGCTGAGAATGCAGTTGGTGTAAGCGAGTTTTGTGAACTAGAGGACTCTGTTTTGGCCAAGGATACTTTCAGTAAGTTGAACAACATTTTATCTGTAGCTATTTTATATATTTATGTGTGTGTGTGTGTGTGTGTGTTAATTTTCAATTTTCATTTCAAGTAATTCTTGTCTTTTCTAGCAAACCCTGGACCACCTTACGCTTTGACTGTTGTTGAGGTGTCCAAGAGACATGTTGACCTGAAATGGGAACCACCCAGCAGTGATGGTGGAAGACCAATAACCAAGTATGCACATTAAGTATAAAACACTGGTTTTGTAAAATTCAAACAAAAGGATGTGTTTGCATGTGGTGTTCAAGGCAAAAAGAGAAAAGTCTTATGAACCATTCTTTTCATAGGTATGTTATTGAAAAGAAAGAGAAGGTAGGCACACGCTGGGTTAAGTCTGGAAAGACATCTGGCCCTGAATGCAAGTACAGGGTGACTGATGTTGATGAAGGCTCTGAGGTACAGTTCCAGGTCCGTGCTGAGAATGAAGCTGGAGTTGGCCACCCAAGTGAACCTACTGTTATCATGACCATTGAGGATCCCATAAGTATGTTAACTTTATGCATAATTGCATAGCATTTGACACATACGGGTCTAATGCTAGTAATAGAAGATTATGTACACACCATAATCTTGATTGATTAATGTGGATTTTTAGGTCCACCTTCTCCTCCACTTGAAGTTAAGATTGTTGATGCCAGCAGAGAGCACATCAACATTACATGGAAAGCTCCAGAAAAGAATGGCGGAAGTCCAGTCACAGGCTACCATGTTGAACTGTCGGAAGCTGGAACTGAGAAGTGGATGAGGATTAATGCTCGTCCTGTCAAAGAGCTCAGGTTTAAGGCTGAGGAAGGCATCATTCCTGAGAAAAAATATGTTCTGAGAGTTCGTGCTATCAATGCGATTGGAGTCAGTGATCCCTCTGAAATTTCAGATGGTGTCTTTGCTAAAGACCCTGACTGTAAGGACTATTCAGTTATTCATTGTGAATGAGTGTATATAAGTGTGTGTGTGTGTGTGTGTGTGTATATATATATTTTGTTTTATTGTTCTGGCACTGGTATTTAATACATCTTTCAATATTTTAAAGGTGCACCAACCATGGATCTCAAGACCCAAGACATTGTAATTGTTGAGGGTGAGAAGATGGACGTAAAAATCCCATACAGAGCAATACCAAAACCATCAATGGTCTGGAAAAAGGGTGACACTGAATTAAAGACTGAAGACAGACTGACGTTGACATGTGAACTCAATCGTGTTCACCTGGAGCTTCTCAAGTGTAAACACGAAGATGCTGGCGAGTACACTGTTACTCTTGAGAACAGTCTAGGTTCAATAACTGGCACAATCAACGTAAAAGTGATCGGTAAGAAACTATTTAGTTATACAAACTGTTTTAACTGATTCCACTTGTCACACTTATAAAGCCTACTGCTCAAAAATACCTCAATGCCTCATATTTTCCATTAAAAGGTCTGCCTGGACAATGTAAGGACATCTCTTCCAGTGAGGTCACCAAGGACTCTTGCAAGATCTCTTGGGAGCCTCCAGAGAGTGATGGTGGTAGCCCGATCTTGCACTATGTTCTAGAGCGTAGGGAAGCTCAGAAGAAGACATTTTTACCTGTGATGTCTAGAGACAATGTTTTAAGTTTTGTGGTCAAAGATCTTATGCTCAATGGTGAATATTACTTCAGAGTGAAGGCTGTCAACAAGATTGGTAGTGGCGAGTTTCTTGAACTCCGTAATCCTGTCATAACAGAAGAACAAAAACGTAAGTTTAATTCATTTTTCAAATTAATATTAATTATATTTTATGTACATTCTTATTATCTATTATTTTCATTATTATCATTATTAATTATAGAACGCCCAGACCCACCAATTGAGGTTGAAGGACACAATCCCACCTCAAATTCAATCACTGTTACTTGGATGGCTCCACCATATGATGGTGGATGCCCAATCACAGGGTACATTCTTGAGAAGATTGAAAAAGATGGTGACAGATTTGAAAGATGCATTCCAAATCTGGTACCTGGTTTCTCCTACACTGTTACTGGCTTGACGGAAGGAAAGGAATACCAGTTCCGTGTCCGTGCAGAGAACATTGCAGGAGCAAGTGACCCATCTCGCAGTACACCATTGATTAAGGCTGCTGATCCTGTTGGTATGTTAAAAAACTAAATCTATTACAGTTTCATTTCGAATATGTGAACTTTTCTAACTCTTCAGTGTGTCAAGTAAAACATTACATATAACTGTTTTGTTTTTGTTTGTTTTTTTCAGAACCACCAAAGGTATCACTCCATGCCCGTATTGCATCTGGCCTCAGTATCAAAAAGGGCGAGGAGATTAGATTGGATACTTACATATCTGGATCTCCCTACCCAACTGTTACATGGCTTAGAAATGATGAGAATGTGAGGCAGCCACCAGCTAAGAAAAAAACTGAAATTGTGAAAAAGAAGAAAAAGAAGTCTGTTCAGCCTGAACCTGAAGAAGAATTCCATCCACCACTTTTAGATCGCCTGTCATTCGACCAGAGCAAAAGGAGTGAAACTGCTCTGATGGTGCGTGATGCCATCAGAACTGACCATGGAATTTTCACTATCAGAGTTGAGAATCCCCATGGTTTTGCAACAGCGTCATGTGAAGTCAATGTTCTTGGCGAGTTACTTTTGGAACTACAATGATTATCTTCTTAAGAATTTATTTAATGAAAAAAATTTATTAACATTTCTGCTTGTTGTAACTTACAGATAAGCCTGGCCCCCCTGTTAACTTTGGATTTGATGAGATCAGGAACACCTCTGTTGTTTGCATGTGGGATGCACCTCTTGATGATGGTGGCAGTGAGATCATCAACTACATACTGGAAAAGAAAGACAACACTACTGATGAGATTGGTTGGGTAACTGTGACCTCGACCCACAAGGGATACAATTACCCTGTAACCAAGCTTATTGAAGGAAAGGAGTACATCTTCAGAGTCACAGCCGAAAACAAGTTTGGCTGTGGACATCCATGCTACTCTGAACCACTTATTGCGAAGAATCAGTTTGGTAAATTATATTTTAGTTATATTTGAACAGTAGTTGTCTTATATTATGGCTTATTTGAAATTATTTGAATGTTGTTTTTCAGAACCACCTGATGCTCCCAACATGCCTAGAATTGGAGAGGTCACTTCCAGCACAGCTGCTCTCAGCTGGCATGAGCCAAAGGACAATGGTAGCCCTATCTTGGGCTATTGGGTTGAGAGACGTGAAGTCAACAGCAAATATTGGACCAGAGTGAACAGCAATCTTCTTAATGCATTGTCGGTTAAGGTTGAGGGTCTTATGGAAGGCCTTGTTTACATATTCAGGGTCTGTGCTGAAAATCTTGCTGGCCCGGGAGAATTCAGTCCACCAACTGACCCTCAGACTGCAATGGATGCAATCTGTAAGTGTGAAAAATTAAAATGAAACATTAAAAATATGGAAATATGGCTATCAATTGGTATAAATATTTAATTGTGATTGGTTTCATAGTTGTTTTTTTTTATCAGTATAAAACTCATGGTAACACTTTAGGGACACATTCTCACTATTAACTAATTGCTTATTATCATGCATATTACTAGCATATTGGCTGTTTATTAGTACCTATAAAGCACATACTAATGCCTTATTCTGCATGACCATATTTTAGATCCCTTAATCCTACCCCATACCTAAACCTAACATCTACCTTACTAACTATTAATAAACAGCAAATTAGGAGTTTATTGAGGCAAAGGTTGTATTTAATAGTTAGTTAATAGTGAGAAATGATCACCACACTAAAGTGCTACCAAACTCATGATTTATACTAAATGTAACAATATTTTTGCAGTACCACCTGGCCCTCCTGCACCAAAAATTGTTGATGTCACAAACACAACTATCGATATCAGTTGGGTACCTCCATTGTACAATGGTGGTGGAGAAATCCTTGGATATCATGTTGAGCGCTGTCTGGTTGGAGAGAAAGAGTGGGTCCGCTGCACTGAGTTTAGATGCAAAGACCGCAAATACACTGTGACTGGACTGACTGAGGGAGCAGATTATTATCTTCGTGTGTATGCTGTAAATGAAGCAGGTCATGGTGCCCCAGGCATGACTGAACCTGTTCAGGCCAAAGAACCTGAAGGTATGTAGAAAAACTTGTGGCACTTTCTACTTTCTACAAACAGTGAGTGCAACGGAGGACCTAAAGCGATAAAAAAAATTTTTTTCAAACAATGAGTCTCGATTTAAATGTCTCTTAGCATTGCTTTGCAATTATTAGAGAAATTCTAATCACATTTTAAATCTGTACTGAATTAACAGAGGCCCCAGGGGTTGAGTTTGATGTCTCTGTAAGGAATGGAGTCATCATTAGAGCTGGAGAAACGTTGCGTCTCCCTGCTGTTGTTACTGGTCGCCCTGTACCAGAAGTTAAGTGGACAAAAGACGATGCAGAGCCAGACAAGGAACACACAGTTATTGAGACAGAAGGAAAAAACAGCAGTTTAACCATCAAAAATGCTTTGAGAACTGACTATGGCATATACCAGATCACAGGTACCAACCCCAGCGGAACAAAGTCTGCCTCCGTTAAGGTGGATGTGATGGGTAAGTTAAATTATTTTCTTTAAAAAATTGTTTGCTTTTAAAACCTGAAATATAACCTCTGATTGGGATGTTTCTTGTTCTAATTTTATTTTTTTTGTACAAAAGATGTTCCCGGACCAGTGGTTGACCTTAAGACAGTTCATGTGACCAAGAAGATGATTTCACTCACCTGGTCAGATCCTCTGGATAATGGTGGAAGTGACATCATGGGCTATGTTGTTGAAAGAAAAGATGCCAAAATGCACATTTACAGACAACCCTTAGAAGTTGCTGCTTGCAAATGTGACATTGTTGGTCTTCTTGATGGAGAAGAATATATGTTCCGTGTAGTTGCAAGGAACAAGTATGGCCTTGGTGCTCCTGTTGACCTTGGACCTGTTTTAGCAGTGGATCCCAAAGGTAAATAAAACAGAATAATAAATTCATGAGAAAAAATTATTTTATCTCATTATTGAAAATACATTTAAATTATGTTCATTTTATAATTTGTATTACTTGTTTTCATACGTATACAATAAACAATGTTGACTTTATTTAAATTTTAGGAGTTCCATCTGCTCCAGAGAAATTGCACTATACGGAAAGGACCAAGAACACTATTACTTTGACTTGGGAACCTCCCCGTAGCGATGGTGGTTCTCCAATCAGAGGTTACTATGTTGAAAAGATGAGACAAGACAGCAACGAATTTGATGTTGCCAATCGGCAACTCTGCAAAGACCTCACCATCACTCTGGAAAGTCTCTCTGAGAACATGATTTATGACTTCAGAGTCAAAGCTGTCAATGAGATTGGAGATGGAGAACCATCCAAACCAATCAGTGTCAATATTCAGGATGATGAACGTATGTATCACTCCCTATAATGTAAATCATTGACAACTTTTGAACACATTTGTTTTTTATCAAGTTCATACCTTACTCTTTTCATTTATATTTTTCCTCTATTTCAGATTCACCAACTGTTAAGTGGTTGAAATTCTTTAAGAGTGATGCCATTATTGTCAAGAAGGGAGCAGCTATTGAAATTCCTGCTGAAATTCTTGGCCTGCCCTTGCCTACCTTTGAGTGGACAAAGAATGGAGTAGTTATTGACCAACCTACTGAGACAATGACATTGGAATCGGAGGAGATTAACAGGCAAACTATCAATACCAAAATTGGTATTCCTGAAACTGTAAGACAAGATACAGGCATTTACAAGTTAACTGCCACAAATACCCGTGGAGTAGGTCAACGGACAATACGAGTGGATATCTTGGGTAAGACTTTAAATCATGTTCAGTATTTGATTTTACTTAAGCTTATAGAATTTTCACCAAATGGGAAGTAGTATTGGTTGTTACAAGTTACATGGTGCTTTTCCTGTAATTAAGTTATGTAGAATGCAACTCTTTATTTTCAGCAGTTCTGTTACAAGATTACTTTAATGATGCATTGAGGGGATGTCATAACTGTGGTGGTGTTGTTTCCCTAGATCGCCCATTGGCACCAAGAAACATTGTGGTGTCTGACATCAAAGCTGAGTCTTGCTACCTAACCTGGGATGCTCCAGAGGACAATGGTGGAAGTGACCTCACTAACTACATCATTGAGAAGAGAGATGCCAGCAAAAAGAAGTCTGACTGGGAACAGTTGACATGCTGCATCATAGACAGACGTTATGGGGTTAATATATATTATTAATACATATTACTATGAGACAGTTCTTTTTAGAATGAGACTGTGATATGTGCTTTTAGATGCTCTAAATGTGATTTAATCCCCTTCTGAAGGTGTACAAGTTGGAGGCCTATGGTACCTACCAGTTTCAGATCAAAGCTGAGAACAAGTATGGGGTCAGTGATGGTTGTGAATCAGAAAAGGTTGTACTCAAAGATCAATTTGGTCTTCCTGGGCCTCCCCAGAGACCAAGGATTATTGGTCACACTTGCTCATCCATGTTGGTCACTTGGGAGCCTCCAAAAGACAATGGTGGCTCAACCATTCAAGGCTACTGGCTTGAAAAGAGAGAGAGAGGAGCTGTGTACTGGAGTCGTGTTAACAGGGCTCCAGTAACAAAACCAGCAGTCAAGGGCCTGGAATACAATGTGCTCCACCTTATTGAGGGTGCCGAGTACCAGTTCCGTGTAATGGCTCAGAATGCAGCTGGCGTTGGACCTCCAAGTGAAGCAACAGAGTGTGTGTTTGCACTTGATCCAAGAAGTAAGTAATATTTCTTATGTTGATAGATTTATGAATTCCAGTTTCTAATGAATAAAACTTTACATTCTTAAATGTTACTTGTAGACCCACCAGGTCAACCACCAGCACCTGAAGTATCAGACAAAACCACAAGCAGTGTGAGTCTTTCCTGGACCTCACCAGAAAAAGATGGAGGAAGTCCAATAAAGGGTTACATTGTTGAAGTTCAGGATGAAGGTTCACATGAGTGGAAAAGGATCAATACACTGGATAAGCTGATCCTAACCAATTCATACACTGTGTCAGGGCTTAAAGAGAATAAAAAATGCAGGTTCAGGATTGTTGCTGTAAATGCTGCTGGTGAATCTGAGCCAAGTCCCAGAACTGCCGATACCATTGTACAAGATATTCTGGGTAAGCCTTACTTTTGTGCAGATGTGTTGCAATAATATAGAGTAATAGTTAATACATACAGTACATGTAGAAAATTATATATGATTAAAGATATGTGTAACTCGACTTGTTCACAGAGGAACCTGTCATTACCATGGAGGTTACAGCTCATGAGCTTCTGAATTGTCGTGCTGGAACAACCATCAAGATTCCAGCCACCATCTCTGGCAAACCTATTCCGAATGTTACATGGGACTTTGATGGAACTGCCCCAACAGAGAAAAAGAATGAGCGTCATACTTTGCCAGAGGATTCAGAAGTAGGATTATTAATATTTTTTTCAAAACACTCAGTTTGTTAAGTCCAAACAAACATGCATTATTTAAATAATACATTTTACATTTAAACTTTGCAGATATCATCCAGTGATACAACATCAGTAGTGACAATCCCTGAATGTAAATTAAACCACTCTGGGCGATACATCATCACTGCTAGCAACCAGGCTGGCACCAAAATCGTTAAAGTGCGCGTGAATGTACTTGGTAAGCAACATTATATTTAAAATACAAAACATCACAACCTGAAACAGTAGTAGTTTCATTAAAACATAAGTTTAGAAGTATGTATTATATCACATAATATCATATCTCATTATACCATGTCGCTTTTTTTTCTAGATTTGCCTGGAACTCCTACAGATCTCAAAGTCAGTGACATCACACGTGGAACATGTAGACTAAGCTGGAAGCCACCAGACTGTGATGGGGGTGACAGAATCAAGAGCTACTTTGTTGAGAAAAAGACTGTTGAAGGAAAGGCTTGGACAAAGGTCAACCCAGCTTGCGCAACACAGTCCTTAGTTGTGCCAGACCTCATTGAAGGACAAGAATACTTGTTCCGTGTAAGAGCTGAGAATCGCTTTGGTTTAGGACCTCATATCACAACCATTCAGCGGACTAAAGCCAGAGATCCTATTCGTAAGTGTATTTTGTAAACGAGTCTATCATTAACCCGAAGACCGCACCGATCTTTGATTGTACAGATAAGGCATCATTTGAAACTGCAAAGGGTCTACTTCTATTTGTGCATAGTCATAATAACAACAAAACAATGTGCTTTTGTAAAATAAAAATTTTTTAAATACAGTTTATCCTGACTATTCATAACACTGAATTTTTGCAGATCCTCCTGATCCACCCACAAGAGTCAAAATCGTTGATGTGTCCAAGGGCATTGTGACTCTGACATGGAAGCCACCAAAGAATGATGGTGGTGCACCTGTAACTCACTACAATGTTGAACGTCTGTGGTGGGATAGCAGTGGAAACCAGCAAGAGTCCTGGAGACAGTGCAACCGCCGTGATATTGATACCACCACTTTCAACGTGGAGGATCTCCACCAGGGTGCTGAATACGAATTCCGTGTTAAGGCTGTGAATGAGGTTGGTGCCAGTAGACCATCCTCTACAGCTGGACCAATCATTATTAAGGACCAGAACAGTGCGTACAAAGCAACACACATAAAGGAATTCAGTGAATTTGGGTTGCATGGTGTACAAATTATTTCTTCCTTTCACTTTTAGGGGCACCTTCCATTGAGCTTCCAGAATTCATGGAGGTTGAACAGGGTGCAGATATTCATATTGTTGCTATGATTAAGGGCTGTCCATTTCCAACACTTACATGGCAGAAGGCTCCTCCTCACAAAAGTGAAAACAAGGTTGATGTTGAGTATGATGAGCACATTAACAAACTTGTGTCTGATGATAGCTGCACACTGTTGATCCAGCAGGGCAAACGCTCAGATACAGGCCTCTACACTCTTACTGCTAGCAACAGCCTTGGCACCATTTCCAAAGAAATGAGGCTTAATGTTCTAGGTAAATTTCAACAACCAATTTTTCATATGAAGAGATGTAGGTGTTGTTTTTAGAAGTAACATAATTCTTTCTTCTTTTAAACAGGGCGTCCTGGGGCTCCATCTGCACCCATTAAATTTGAGGAAATTCATGCTGAACAGATAACACTGTCATGGCTGCCTCCTAAGGATGATGGTGGCTCCAAAATTACAAATTACACTATTGAGAGACGTGTTGCCAACAGGAAGACTTGGATACCTGTCACTAGTGAACCCAAAGAGAGAATATTCACGGTTGACAATCTAATGCCAGGCCATGAGTACATTTTCAGGATTAGGGCTCAAAACAAATATGGTGTTGGTGATCCTCTTGATAGTGAACCTGAAGTAGCCAGAGATGTGTTCAGTAAGTATTCATTCACATATTTAAAGTTTAGATTAGTCCTACATTTATTTCACTTGATAACACTGTTATTTTATGTCTATTTTTTAGTGCCACCTGGCCAATGTGACAAGCCAACACTCTCTAGCATCACAATAGACGCCATGACTGTGAACTGGGAAGAGCCAGACTCAGATGGAGGCACTCCAATCACAGGCTACTGGCTTGAGCGTAAAGAAACCACATCTAAACGCTGGAGCAGAGTAACTCGTGATCCAGTCAGGCCCATGCCACTTGGTGTGTCACACAGAGTCACAGGGCTCATTGAGGGATCTCAGTATTTGTTCCGCGTGATTGCAATTAATGCAGCAGGATGTGGACCTCCAAGTGAGCCATCTGATCCAACATTTGCTAGAGATCCAATAGGTAGGAAAACAATACAGTGTCAGATCCAATGGCATATCGTTTTTTAGTAATAGAGATTCAAACTATGACAAACCTGTTTTCTTATAGCTCCTCCTTCGCCCCCAACTCCGAAAGTCACGGACTGGACTAAGACCACAGCAGACTTGGAATGGATTCCACCATTGAAGGATGGAGGTTCAAAGATAATGGGCTACCATGTTGAATACAAAGAGGAGGGCACAGAAGCATGGGTTAAGGTTTGTTTAAGATTTATGTATACCCAAATATTTACATTTTAGCAAAACATGTTCATGTACTCTTTATACATTACAAATAAAATCTTCCTTCTGTTCCAGGCCAAAGACAAGGAAGTTAGAGGTACTAAAGTTGTGGTCACTGGACTGAAAGAGAATGCATTGTATAAGTTTAGAGTTTTGGCATTCAATGCTGCTGGTCTGAGTGAACCAGGCGAAGTTGCTGATGCTCTTGAAATGAAGGACCGGATAAGTAAGTCTCAGTGATTCAACATTCTGCAAATGAAGTGCTATTTTATTGCTTGTGCGGAGGGAAAAAAACGTAAGGATTTATATGCAATAATAATTTAATGAAAATTTGTTTCTGCCATTTCAGTTTTGCCAGTCCTTGAGCTGGACATTTCAGTAAAGGAGAAGATGGTTATTCATGCAGGAGGTGTTATTCGTATCATCGCTTATGTGTCAGGTCAACCTCCACCTGTGATAACATGGAGCAGAGATGGGTATCCAGTCCCATCAGAAGCTGTTATTGAAACCACCTCAATCAGCTGTTCCATGGTAATTAAAGATTGCACTAGGGCACAACGAGGTGTTTATACAATAACAGCCAAGAATGATGGAGGAGAAGTGAAGAAGTCTGTTATTGTTGACGTTCTTGGTAAGTAAGAATTATCAGACACGAATAATCTATACATTACTGTGAAATAGCTATGTTATAGAAACTACAGTTTCTTTTCTTATTTTGCTACTTCAGACATCCCTGGTCCAGTGGGGGTACCATTTACAGCAGAAAACCTTACAAGTGACTCATGCAAGCTGAACTGGTTTTTCCCTGATGATGATGGTGGATCTGCCATCTCCAACTACATAATTGAGAAACGTGAAGCTGATCGCAAGGCTTGGACATCTTGCTTCTATACAGCAGGCAGACAAAATGCTGTAGTAAATAATCTGGTGCTTAAAAAGGAATATTTCTTCAGAGTCGCAGCTGAAAATGCAATTGGAGTAGGTCCTTTCTGCCAAACAGCATGTGAAATTGTGATTAAAGATCGCATTAGTAAGTATTTTTCTTTATTTTTCTATTTTTTCTGGTTTTAAAATAGCTTAAAACTATATGACCAATTAATGCAACTGTACAATAAAATTCCGCATTGATGGTAGCTAATCATCATTTGACCTCTTTTTGACTAGATGTTCCAGACCGTCCAGAAGATCTTGAGGTGACTGCCATCACCAAAGACTATATTAGTGTGACTTGGAAGCCACCTAAGTATGATGGAGGGTCTGAGGTGTTATCCTACATTCTTGAGGCTCGCACGATTGGCAAAGACAAGTTTGTCAGACTGACCAAAGAGAAACTTATGGATAGGAAGTACACTTATGATGGTCTTCGTGAAGGCGACACCTATGAATTCCGTGTCAGTGCAGTGAATGAAGTTGGCCCAGGCAAACCATCCTTCTCCACTAAGCCAATTACATGTAAAGACGAACTTGGTGAGTTTTTTTTTTTAGCTCTTCAATTGTTCTTCATTTGGTACACCACATTACACTAGCTATTATCTAAGTGTTCATGATGTGATATTTTTCTTTTTCCCCATTTTAGAGCCCCCTACAATTGAGCTGGATTTCCGTGATAAGGTTGTTGTTCGTGTTGGTGAAAGCTTTGCACTACAGGGGCGGTATACTGGAAAACCAGCCCCAACTGTCACCTGGTCAAGAGATGACAAGGAACTAAAAGCAGATGACCACATCAAGTTCAAAAATACTACTACCACTATGTGCCTGGGTATTATTAAAGGTCAGCGTGGACACAGTGGCAAATACTGTGTGACAGTTGAAAACTGTACTGGTGCTCGTAAAGGCATTTGTAATGTCACAGTTGCAGGTAAGTCTCATGAAACAAACAAATGTTTACTAAACTATAAAATAATATGATGAATAAAAAAATACATATTTTGGTCTGATGACAACCTCTCTTATCTATGTATATTTTGTGCATTTTTAGATCGACCATTGCCTCCAGAGGGCCCAGTTGTATTTGAGGAAGTTCACCGAAATCACATGGTTATTTCTTGGAAGCCCCCTCTTGATGATGGTGGATGTGAAATTTCTAACTACATCATTGAGAAGAGAGATGTAAACAGGGACATGTGGACAACTGTAACATCTGCCACCACAAAAACCCGCTGCAAAGTACCTAAGCTTGTAGAGGGTCGTGAATACATCATAAGAATTAGTGCTGAGAACCTGTATGGCATAAGTGACCCACTGGAGTCAGAGGAGATGAAAGCTAAAGATCTATTCAGTATGTAAAAACACAAAAAAATATTGTAAATTTAAACCTATAAACATTTTATGTTTTGTTCCTGATATCCTTCACCTTATTACAGGGGTACCTGAGGCACCTGAGCAACCCACTGTAAAAGACGTCTTCCATGACTCAGCACTGGTGATTTGGAACCGTCCTCGTGATGGTGGAAAGCCCATAACAAACTATATATTGGAGAGGAAGGAGCCCACAGCTAAGAGATGGTCTCGTGCAACCAGAGATCCAATCTACCCTGCTACACAGTATAGGGTACAAGACCTCGTTGAAGGCTGTGAATATGAATTCCGTGTAATGGCAGAGAATGAAATTGGAACTGGAGATCCTAGCCTTCCCAGTAAACCTATTCTTGCTAAGGATCCCATTGGTAGGTCTTGATGTTTTGATGGTTTCTTTTTCTTAATGCATATCAAGAAATAGTACTTTTGATAATTATTTATTCACTTATTCTTTAATAGTTAAGCCAAGCCCACCTGTTTTGCCTGAAGCTGTTGACAAGACTAAAGATTCTGTAAGTCTGTCATGGCGTGTTCCTCGCCATGATGGTAAAGGGAAAATATTTGGTTACTTGATTGAGTATCAGAAGCCCGGTGCAATCGAATGGATCCAGGCAAATGAATCACCTGAATCATGCCCAGACACCAAGTTTGTTGTGACAAATCTACCAGAAGGTGGAGAGTTTCGATTCAGAATTATGGCCGTGAATGCAGCTGGAAAATCTGAGCCTGCTTATGTCAAGGAACCAGTGAAAGTTCATGACAGACTTGGTAATTTCTTCCTTTTTGTTTACATTTTCAGAAAATGTTGAAAGGTAGCTGTTGCTTTATAATTACACATATTTAACTGGAGGTATGTTGTTCACATACTGAAAGATAAAAAAAATTAATAATTCATATCCTTCTAATCTCAATTCTCATGCAGAGGAACCGGAGTTGCTGTTAGATGCCAATATGGCACGTGACCACCTTGCCATGGTTGGAACAGACATCACACTTAGTGCCACATTTAAGGGCATGCCAATTCCCACTGTCTCTTGGAAAAAGAATGATGGTGACGTTCCTGCTCATTGTCTTATTGAGGTCACAGCAAGTGGAAGCAAACTTCACATTAAGAAGTGTACCCGTGCTGACTGTGGCAATTATACCATCACAGTTCAAAATGCAGCTGGAACAAAATCTGCTACCTGCACTGTTCTTGCTCTTGGTAAGAATGTTTTAAGAATAAACACTTAACAGTATACATATTTTCTATAATTAGCTAGATATCTAGAATCTTTTCTTTTTTTTTTTAGATAAACCTGGACCACCAAGGAATCTTAAAATCTCTGAAGTCACAAGTGAGTCAGCTTACCTGACATGGCAAAAGCCAGAAGATGATGGTGGTGCTGTGATCTCCCACTATGTTGTGCAAAAGAAAGATGTAGCAGCTGAGAACTGGGTTCCAGTTTGTGCTGCATCTAAAAAGCTTAGCCTTATGGCTCAATATCTGATGGAGGGAATTCAGTATCTCTTCAGAGTTGCAGCTGAGAATCAGTTTGGCAGGAGTGCATTTGTTGAAACCACCAAGCCTATCAAGGCAGTTGATCCACTTTGTAAGTATTAAATATAATGTTACTTTTAAATGCTTAACTATTTTATACCAGTTTGTTTAATTAATTTGTATATTTTTACCTAAAGATCCTCCTGGTCCACCCAAGAATCTGCATCATGTGGATGCAGACAAAACTGAAGTATGGCTTCAATGGGAGTGGCCTGATCGCACAGGTGGAAGTGAGATCACCGGATTCATTGTTGAACAGCAAGAAGAAGGTGCCACCGACTGGGTGACCTTCAAGACTGTCAGCAATCCTCAATGCCATGTTACTGGACTTGTGGAGGGCAAAACCTACAGATTCCGTGTAAAATCACAAAATGCAATTGGCATAAGCCGACCAGACACCAGTGTGCCAATTACTTGCCAGGAGAAAACCTGTAAGGCTTACACAATATTATATTTAAAAATTACTGACAACATATTACATTTTATTATGCTCAAGGTTAATTAAATGTTTTTTTTTTCAGTGGCTCCAACTATTGAAGTTGATGTGAAGCTTATTGAGGGTCTTGTTGTGAAAGCTGGCAGTACAGTCGTCCTCCCAGCGGTCATGCATGGAATCCCAGCTCCAACAGCCAAGTGGCAAAGTGAAGGAAATGAGCTTAAAACTGAGGGCAAATGTAAGATTGTTACTGAAGGAAATTCAACTGTCTTGACTATTAGTGAATGTGTCAGAACGGACAGCGGAGAGTATGGCCTTACTGTGGCAAACCCTGCTGGAAGCAAGTCTGTTGCTCTACATGTTACAGTCCTTGATGTTCCATCTGCTCCGGTTGGTCCTGTAAATATCCTTGAGGTTACCCCTGATCATATGATAATCCAGTGGCGTGAACCAAAAGATGATGGTGGCACACCTTTGATGAACTATGTTGTAGAGAAGAAGGATGTCAAGAAGCCTTGGGAGCCGTGGTCCGTTGTGAGTTCTGGAAGCACAAGCACAAAGGCCAAAGTCCCACGTTTGGAGAAGGGACGTGAATATATTGTACGTGTACGTGCTGAGAATAAAATTGGCATTGGTGCTGGCCTTGAAAGTCCTCCCACTATTGCCAAGCATATGTTTGATCCACCAGGTCCTCCTGGCCAACCAACATGTTCTGACATAACAGAAAATGCTGTAACAGTGTCATGGACTGAACCAGAAACTGATGGTGGAAGCCCTGTAAGTGGCTACATTGTTGAGCGCAGGGAGATGACTGGTAAATGGATTCGAGTCAACAAAACACCAGTCTTGGATGTAAGATACAGGGTCTGTGGTCTGTTTGAGGGCAATAGCTATGAATTCAGAATCTTTGCTGAAAATGTTGCTGGTGTAAGTGAGCCTTCATATCCATCAGACCCAGTGAAAGCTAAACGTCCAATTACTCCTCCAGGGCCTCCAAGTAACATTAAGCTGAAGGACTGGAGCAAGTCATATGCAGATTTGGTATGGACCAAACCTTCCAGAGATGGTGGCAGCCCCATCCTAGGCTATGTTGTTGAATGCCAGAAATCAGGTTCTGCACAGTGGGATAGAATAAATAAGGATCTAATCAAGTTTTGTGTATTTAGAGTACCTGGACTTAGTGAAGGCACAGAGTACAGATTTCGTATTAGAGCCTCAAACAAGGTTGGAGATGGTGAGCCAAGAGAACTCACGGAAACTGTGCTTGCCAAAGACATTCTTGTTCCCCCTGATGTAACTGTTGATGTTGCTTGTCGTGACCTCCTAACAGTTAGAGCAGGGCAAATCATCAACCTTGTAACCCGTGTTAAGGGCAGACCTGACCCTGAAATCACTTGGACTAAAGATGCAAGGGTTTTAGGCAGAGATAAACGCACTGAGATGAACAATAACTTCCCTCTTGTTGAGCTGGTAATTCAGGAAGCTGTTAGAGCTGATTATGGAAAATATGCAATTCAAGCAAAGAATAGCAGTGGTCAAGCACAAGCTACAATTATTGTCAATGTACTTGATATTCCAGGAGCCTGTCAGAATTTGAAGGTTGCTTATGTGACTAAAGACTCATGTATGGTTTCTTGGGAAAATCCAGAGGATAATGGTGGCACTGAAATTACTAATTATAAAATTGAGTGCAGACAACCAAGTCAAAGAGGATGGACAGTTGTTACTTCTGACTGCACCAAACGACTTTTCAAAGCTCCACTTGTTGAGAAATGTGAATATTTCTTCCGTGTGAGCGCAGAGAATAAAATTGGAGCTGGTCCACCAACAGAAACAAAAGCACCAGTCCTTGCTGTTGATCCAGTTGAGAAACCTGGTGAGCCAGAGAACTTCCAAATCTCTGAAATTGGCAAGACATTTGTCTTTCTCAAATGGAAGAAACCAGAATACGATGGTGGTAGTCGTAACCTTGCTTACCATATTGAAAAGAAGCCTAAAGAAGCAGATGAATGGGAAAGATTACACAAAGGTGCTATAAAGGAAACCTATTTCATGGCTGACAGATGCATTGAGAACCAAATGTATCAATTTAGAGTTCAAACTAAGAATGAGGGAGGAGAGAGTAACTGGGTGACGACAGCTGAAGTTCTTGTAAAGGAGGAACTTGTACAGCCAGAGCTCAAAGTCAAACTGGCGGGTGTTCTTGTTGTTAAAGCTGGAGATGCCATTCCAATTGAGGCAGAGCTTATAGGTAAACCTCAGCCTGATGTAAAATGGTCTAAAGAAGGTGACACTGGAGATATCACCAAAAGCCCAAGAGTACAAGTTGAAACTGGCACCAACTTCACAAAATTCCTGCTCACAAATTCAAGACGTGGAGACACTGGAAAATACATAATTACTGCAACAAATACTGCTGGAACCTGCTCTGCTGAGGCCAAGGTTAATGTTCTTGACAGACCAGGTCCTATTAGAGACTTGAAAGTGTCAGACATTTCTGTGGACAGATGCAAGCTTACATGGGAGATACCAGAAGATGATGGTGGTTGTGAGATCTATAACTACATCATAGAAAAATGTGAGACAAAGAGAGGTGTGTGGTCAATTCATTCAGCAGCTATTATTACCAATTCAGCTAAAGTTACTCGCCTTATCGAAGGAAATGAATACATATTCCGAGTGAGAGCTGAGAACAAGATGGGTGCTGGCCCTGCTGTTGAAACTGAGTCCATTGTTGCAAGGACCCAGTTCAGCAGACCAGGTGTACCTGATGCTCCAGAGGTTACCAAAATTACAAAAGAAGAAATGGTTGTTATGTGGTGCTCTCCTGATAATGATGGCGGAAAACCTATAACTGGTTATATTCTTGAGAAAAAAGAAGAGCATGCCATTCGGTGGGCCCCTGTTGTTAAGTCCCCAATTACAGGGACACAGATGACTGTTACAGGTTTACTGCCTAATCATGAATACCAGTTCCGTGTTAGGGCTGAAAATGAAATTGGAGTTGGTGATGCAAGCAAGCCATCCAGATCATTCACTGCAAGAGATCCAGTTGGTATGTCCAACTACAGTCAAGTAATTGGTAAAATGTTTGTTTGTTGATGTATTTACAACAAATTTTTTATTTGTTTTTCTATTTGCAGAGCCTCCTGGTCCCGTTAGTAACTTAAAGGTGACTGACACCTCAAAGACATCAATTACTCTTGCATGGACAAAGCCTACATATGATGGAGGTGCTCCTCTTATTGGATATGTTGTTGAGCTAAGAGTCAAGGGAACAGACAAGAAGGGAGATGAAGGCTGGAAAAGGTGCAATGTTGCTGCCCAGTTGATTGGAACAGAATTCACAGTCTCAAGCCTGGATGAGAAGCTTGAATATGAATTCCGTGTTTCTGCCCAAAATCAGGTTGGCTTAAGTCAGCCAACTAATCTTGGAGGAGCTGTGACACCAAGAGAAGTCTTGGGTGAGTTTCCATAGACTACTCTTAAACTTTATCAGCAACATTCCTTCCTAATTCCTAATTCCTTGTGTTTTTATCAATTTTTTTCCCACAATCTTCAGAGGCCCCTGAGATTGATTTCGATGCAGAACTGAAGAAAGGTGTGACTGTTAGAGCTGGCTGCCCAATAAGATTAGTAGCAACAATCAGAGGCAGACCCGCTCCCAAGGTCTTATGGAGGAGAATGGGAAAAGATAATGTTGTACAGAAGGGCCATGTTGATCTCATTGACACTATGACATTCCTTGTTATCTCTGAAACCACTCGTGATGATTCAGGCAAATATTCATTGACTGTATCCAGTCCAGCTGGAGAGAAGGCAGTGTTTGTGAATGTCAACGTACTTGGTAAGTAAAAAAAAAAAAAAACAAGCTCCCATTTTTTCTTTTGTTTCAGTCATGTGACTTCTACTGCTCATCTGCCATATTTTTAAATATGGCGAGTGAGTGTAAAAAAATTACACAACTAAAACAGATGAATATATATATATACTGTATATATATGTATGAAAACACTTAAAATATCAAATTTTTCATTCAAATATATATATATATATATATATATATATAAATTTATTTATATATATTTTATTTTTTTCAAAACAGACACGCCTGGACCTGTTGTTGGTCTTGAGGTTGCTGACATCACAATGTCATCTTGCAACCTCACATGGTCTCCACCTGAAAATGATGGTGGCAGTAACATCACTCATTACATTGTTGAAAAACGAGAAATTGATCGCAAGACTTGGGCAACAGTGAAAAATGATGTTGATGATACCGCATTTAAAGTTAGCAATCTCGTCCCAGGAACAGAGTATTACTTCAGGGTCATTGCGGTAAATGAGTATGGTCCTGGGGTCCCAAGGGTTACAGCAAAATCCTATCTGGCCTCTGATCCTATCAGTAAGTGTATTCTTAATCAGAACAATTTTAAAGGCTTTTAGAATTCTTTTTGAAAGGGTATTACTATAACAATTGTGTCTCTTCCCTCAAGGCAAGCCTGATCCACCACAAAAGATTGATGTTCTGGAGATTACTAAGAACAGTGCAACTGTGGGATGGGTGAAACCAATGCGTGATGGTGGAGCTAAAATTGATGGCTACATTATTGACTATCTTGAGCTTCCAATGCCTAAACCTCTCAAGAAACCAGTGGAGGCTGAAGGTGAGGCTGAGCCTGGTGTAGAGCCAGTGGCTCCACCCCCGCCTGAACCTGTGATTGAGGAAGAGAAGGAGGAGAAAAAGGAGGAATGGACGCCATACACAGTCGTAAAAGATTTGAGCATCTCTATTGCTGGATTAAAGGAGGGAAGAAAATATCGCTTCAGAGTGGCAGCAAGAAATGCCATGGGGTCCAGTCTTCCCACAGAGACCAGAGAAGCTTATGAGATCAAGGAGCAGATGTGTAAGTTATTAAATCATATATTACTCAAACATATTTTGAACTACACTTCCACTAAAAACCTGTTCAATCTTGTGATTTCTTACCAGTGGAGCCCAAAATCATCATGCCTGAGCTGGTCACTGCAAAGGCAGGAGCAAAACTGAGGGTTGAGGCTCTTGTATCAGGAAAGCCAGCACCAGCGTGCCAATGGAAACGGGGAGAAAATAATGTAGTCCCATCAAGCCGTCTTGCTGTGCATAAATCTCTGAACATGTGTATGCTCATCATTAAGGATGTTTCAAGACAAGACAGTGGTGAATACAGTCTTGTTGCTGAGAACAGCACTGGAAAAGTTGACCAGACTTTGAAAATCATCATCAGAGGTTAGAACTTTTCATTTTCATCAGCACCTTCAACAATAATGAGCTATGTGAACATGCAGTTAATTTTTCAACAAACATTCTTATGTGTCAGATATTCCTGGACCACCTGAGCCACCATTTGAGATCAGTGACATAGATTCTGATGCCTGCACACTCTCTTGGAACAAACCTACTGAAGATGGTGGTAGCAATATTACTAATTATGTGGTTGAGAAGTGTGATGTAAGCAGAGGTGACTGGGTGACTGCTCTTTCCAGCTGTGGCAAAGCTGGCTGCAGAATCGGAAAGCTTATTCCTGGAAAGGAATATATTTTCCGTGTTCGTACTGAGAACAGATTTGGTATTTCAGACCCCCTTACATCTGAAAGAATGATTGCTAAGTTTCCCTTCGGTGAGTTGAAAAACAAGCATCAGCAGCATCTAATGGAGATAAAAATGGTGTGTCCTGTTTGTTAGTGTTTAACAGTTTAATATTTTTTAGATGTTCCTGGTGAACCTTTGAACTGCCGCATCAACAAAGTGAACAAGGACTGCATGTTTGTGGCTTGGGATAAGCCTGAGTCTGATGGTGGCAGTCCAATTACTGGATACTACATTGAACGCAAAGAAAGGAACAGTCTCCTTTGGGTTAAGGCTAATGATTCTGTTGTTCGCACAACTGAGTATCCTTGTGCTGGCCTAATTGAGGGTCTGGAATACACTTTCAGAGTGTCTGCTATAAACCGAGCTGGTCAGGGGAAACCAAGCAAGAAAACTGAGTTTATCACAGCAAGAACACCTGTTGGTATGTGCATATAAAATAGAATGAATTCTTAGGTATAAATGTCTGCGTATTAGATGATTATGTTCCATGTTTTTCTGTTGTTTTATTTTTTTAAATTGTAGATGCTCCTGGAAAACCAGAAGTGCTTGATGTGACTAAGAACTCAATTACATTGGTTTGGACCAAACCAAAGAATGATGGTGGAAGCAAGATAATTGGATACTATGTTGAAGCAATGAGGCTTCCAGGAGACACTTGGGTGCGTTGCAACATAAGTAGTCAAAATGTGCCTCGTGAGGAGTACACTGCAACTGGGTTAGAAGAGGGTGCTAAGTACCAGTTTAGGGTAATTGCCAAGACAGCAGTTAACATTAGCAGGCCATCTGAATTCACTGACCCCATTCTGGTGTCTGCAGAAAATGGTAAGCATTTTTATATTTTGTAAATGTCTTTTAAAATGTTTTCTAAATGGCTGTCAATTGCTATTTGCCTTATTGATTTTCTCTCATGTTTGCTTATCTATAGTACCTCCAAGAATAGAGCTTTCAATACAGATGAAAAAGATGTTACCAGTAAAGGCTGGGTCAGATGTTTGCCTTGAAGCTGAAGTTTTTGGTAAACCAATGCCCAAGGTTACATGGAGCAAGAATGGAGAAGTGTTGAAAGCTGACAAAGAATTCAAGATGTCTCAAAAGAGACACCTCTTTTCTCTGAGCCTTGATGCAGTTACTAAACTTCATACTGGAAGTTATGGAATTCTTGCAGTAAATGCAAGTGGTTCTACAACTGCAGAAATACAACTCAAAGTTTTAGGTGACGAAAATAATATTATTTTATTCTTTATTCTTTAGCTTAATTAAGTTGAGATATAGCATATTCATGTCTCCTTTTGGCAAAATAATAATCATACATTCCCCCGTACACAGATATACCTAGCCCACCAGCCTCTATCAAGTTTGATGAAGTACTTTCAGATCGGATCAAGTTGAGCTGGGAGGCTCCACTTGCAGATGGTGGTTCTCCAATTACAAATTATGTTGTTGATAAACGTGAGACAAGCAGAGCTAACTGGGCCCAAGTTTCTGCTAAAATCAGTGGTGATACAAAAGAATGTTTAGTGGAGAAACTGATTGAGGGGCACGAATATCAGTTCCGTGTTCGTGCAGAGAATCGCTATGGTACTGGTGATGCCATCATATTGGACCCTGTTGTTGCAAGGAATCCCTTCAGTAAGACCTTAATATTGGTCTATGTATTTTACTTCTTGGATATATTACTACTGGATGGTAATGTACTTGTCATTTACAGCTGTTCCTGGAGCATGTGACCCACCGGTCCTTACAAACATCACAAAGGAGCGTATGACTGTAAGTTGGAAGGAACCATCTGATGATGGAAAATCCCCTATCCTTGGATACATAGTTGAGAAACGTGAGACCAAGGAAATTAACTGGACCAAACTGAACAGAAAGCCCTTGCTGGAGAGAACACTTGAGGTTGGAAGTCTCTCTGAGGGAGCTCAGTATGAGTTTAGAGTCATTGCTGTTAATAAAGCTGGCCTTGGCAAACCCAGTGAACCATCTAATGCCGCCTCTGCTCTTGATCCTTTGTGTGAGTTGTGTCAGAAGCTATTTACATTATCTTGTATATCTAGGAATATGCAAGAGCATTTATGAATTCCTCTTAATACTTATTTACAGATCCTCCAGGCCCACCCATTTCTCCCAAGGTTACAGACACGACCAGCAGCACCATTAGACTAACTTGGACTAAGCCTGCAAATGATGGTGGTAGTGAAATTTTGGGATACCTTGTCGAATGCAAGAGAACTAATACAACAGACTGGATAAGATGCAACGTACCCAAGAACCTTCAGGATACAAATTATGCTGTGACTGGACTCTTGGAGAACTCAGAGTACCAACTTCGTATTACTGCTGTAAATAAAGTTGGATTTAGCCAGCCTTGTGAAGTTCCTGAAAAACATGTTGCCAAGGATGTTTTTGGTACAAATAATTTACTAACTTTTAAATCATTAATTGTATATTTGGTTTATTCTCTTTTCATTCTGGTCATGAAAATACAAAATTAAAATATTGTGTAACTAATGCCTGAAATATATAAATGTTTCTTTTCTGTTATTCTAGCTGCTCCTGAGGCTGAGCTTGACGCAGAGCTGAAGGACACTTTGGTGCTCACGGCTGGCAGTAAAATGAAACTTCATGCCACATATAAGGGTCGACCAATCCCCAGGGTGACCTGGGCCAAGATGAACACCAACATTAAGGACAGACAAGGAATCATAATCAAGACAACAGACACTGATACATTGGTTTATGTTGAGAAAGTCAATAGAAATGATGCAGGGAAATACATTCTGAATCTTGACAGTGTAAGCGGAATGAAGATGTACACCGTTATTGTCAAGGTCCTTGGTGAGTCCTAAGAGGTCGTTTATATTTAGATATATAGTTTATAGTTGAATTTATTAACTGTAGTTTATAGTGTTAATATTTTATTTTAACTAAAGTAATTATATCTCTTTTAACACTAAACAGATACTCCTGGACCTCCACTGAATCTGATGGTAAAAGAGACATCAAAGGACAGTGCCTCCATCCTATGGGATGAACCTCTAATTGATGGTGGAAGTGAGATTACAGGTTACATTGTTGACAAAAGAGATTCAGAAAGGAAAGCATGGTCAAATGTTTCAACCACTTGCACTAAAACATCTTTCAAGATTGATGGTTTAGAGGCTGGAAGATCTTATTGTTTCAGGGTTCTGGCTCAAAATATGTATGGCATTGGTGAGCCATGTGAAACTGTGGATGCTGTTAGAGCTTCTGGTGAGTGAATATAATTTTTGACTATGTAATCTTCAATTGCAGAAACAATTTCAATGTACATTTTATAATAACAATGTTAATATTTATTACTGAATAAACTTAATATATTCCAGAACAACCTGGACCAGTTATGGACTTTAAGACCTTGCTGATAACCAAGGACTCTTGTACTCTTTCCTGGAAAAAGCCCATCAGTGATGGAGGAAGCCGCATCATTGCATATGTGCTAGAAGTCCTTAATGGCGAAGATAAATGGAAGGAGCTTCTTAGATCAAAGAATATGCAATATAGTGCAAAAGACCTTGTTGAAGGAAGGGAATACAAATACAGAGTTAAAGCAACAAATGATTCTGGTGATGGTCCTGTAAAAGAACTCTCTGTGATTGCAAAAAATGTCAATGGTGAGATTTCTAATTTTGCATTTGCATAAAAATGCACTTGAGCTCTGTCTGTTATATTGTGTTTTAAATGTGCTCTTTATTAATTATTTTTCTATATTATAGTTCTTCCAAGCTGTGACTTGCGAGAGTTGCCTAACTTGAACTATATTGCAAAAGAAGGAAGCACCGTTCGTCTCAAGATTCCTATTAGTGGAAAGCCTGTCCCTGTTGTCACATGGAAGAAGGGAGAGGATGAAAATCTCACAGACACAGGAAGAGTGTGTGTAGAATCAACGGCAGTAAACACAACTATTCTGATACGTGACTGCCAAAGGACAGATGCCTCAAAATACACCATCACTCTTCGCAATGCTGCTGGAACGAAAGAGTCCACAATTTTTGTCCGAGTTGTTGGCAAACCAGGAATTCCAGCTGCACCAATAAAGTTCAAGGAAGTGACTGCAGATGGTGCAACCTTAAAATGGGGTGTTCCTAAAGATGATGGTGGATCAGAAATTACCAACTACATTCTTGAGAAACGTGATTCCATTACTAACATGTGGGTTGCTGTGTCTTCATCTGTGGACACAAACACTTTCAGAGTGACTGGTCTCCATGAGGGAACTGAATACATCTTTAGGGTTAGTGCAGAAAACAAATATGGAATTGGTGAGGGCCTCAAGTCAGAGCCTATGGTTGCCAAGCATCCATTCAGTGAGTGGATTTTCAATGATTTATTGTCAATATAGTTTAGATACTATAGGTATCAAATAAAAAAATCTCACTTTCTTACTCATGATTATTTCATCAGATGTTCCAGATTCACCTCCACCCCCTCAAGTCATGAGTATGTGTCATGATTCAGCAACTCTTGCATGGTTGGATCCAAGGAAAACTGGAGGCTCACCAATCACAGGTACAGAAATAATTAAATTAATATAAGACAATAACCTTTTCATCAAGACAATGTTTTTCACATGCTTTTTTTGCTTACAGGTTACCATGTTGAATTCAAGGAAAGAAACAGCATGTTATGGAAAAGAGCAAACCCAACTGCTTTGAAGATGAGAGATTTCAAAGTGACAGGTTTAACAGAGGGTCTAGAATATGAGTTCAGAGTTATGGCTATTAATCTGGCTGGTGTTGGTAGACCAAGTCCTGCCACTGAGCCAATGGTTGCCTTGGATGCAATTGGTAAGTAAAGCTAATTTCAAATGCTTGAGTCTCATATATTTCCCCCATTATACACCCCACTTTGAGCAAGGTTAATTTTTAATAACTGAACATATACCATTACAGATGCACCTGGCAAACCTGATGTGATTAGCATCACTAGAAGCACTGTAACACTTCAGTGGACTGAGCCTCAATATGATGGTGGACACAGGCTTACAGGCTACATTGTTGAGAGACGTGATCTCCCGGCCAAGGTCTGGGTAAAGGCTAATACAGTAAATGTGGTGGACTGTGCATATACTGTAGCAGACTTGCAAGAGGGTTGCAAGTATGAATTTAGAATCAGAGCAAAGAATGCAGCTGGAGCAATAAGTCCACCCTCTGAACAAACTGATACCCTTGTGTGCATGGATGAATATGGTAAGACTCATTTTCACTTTCTAGTTGATACATCTTGAATAAATGACGTTCCATGTCATCTAATCTAGGAAATTGCTGTGCTGATTAGTTTGTTATTATTTTGCAGCGGCACCAACCATTATAATTGATCCAACAGTCAAGGAGGGGCTAACTGTCAGGGCTGGAGATACTATTGTAATTACTGCAACAAGCATTCTGGGCAAACCTCAGCCAACCTCTGTGTGGTCAAAGGGTGGAAAGTATTTCAAGCCATCAGATGTGTGCCAGATAGAAACTACACCTTCTTCTTCTACTCTTTCTATCAAGTATGCAAGTAGGAAGGATTCAGGAGAGTACACAATTACAGCAAGTAACCCATTTGGTGTGAAAGAAGAAATTGTGAAAGTAACAATTTTAGATGTTCCCGGTCCACCAGGGCCAATTGAAGCTAGTGGAATTTCATCTGAAAAGGTCACTTTGACATGGGCACCACCTCATGAGGATGGGGGATCTCCAATTAGATACTACACTTTGGAGAAAAGAGAAACAAGCCGTCTTCTTTGGACCATTCTTGCTGAAAAGATTATTGACTGCCACTTTGTTGCCAATAAGCTTATCCAGGGAAATGAGTACATCTTCAGAGTTTCTGCTGTCAACAGTTCTGGAGCTGGTGATGCTTCCCATTCTGAACCAGTAAAAATGGTGGATAGCTATGGTATGTTTAAAGAAAACTCAGTCTCTCATATTATTTCCATACTGTTCATTTGTGTGAATCTGCATAGCTGGATATATATATGCAATAAGATTCTCAAGAGACATATTACTTATTTCAGGTCCCCCTGGTCCGCCAGCTAAACCAGAAATTGAAAATGTTGGTGGAAATTCTGTTACCATTGCTTGGAAAAGACCAGCTGATGACGGTGGAAGTGATATAATAGGCTACATGGTTGAGAGGAAAGAAAAGAAGGGCATGAGATGGACTCGAGCATCAAAGAAAACAATTGCTGACCTCCACTTTGAAGTGAAAGGGCTAAAAGAGGGAGATGAATTTGAATTCAGAGTAAGTGCTGAGAATAAGGCTGGTTTTGGTGAGCCAAGTGAACCTTCAATGCCAGTGAGGACAAAGCTTGTTGCAGGTAAGTAAAGTGATTATTTTATATTTGATATGATAGCAAAGAAGGTCCTAATATATATGTTATCAATTTCCAGATGTACCTGGTCCTCCAGTCAACCCAAGAGTCACTGACACAACAAAAACCACTGCTGAATTGCACTGGGGCAAACCACTTAGTGATGGTGGAATGGAAGTTACAGGATACCTTGTTGAGCACAAAAAGGAGGGAGAAGAAGAATGGGTGAAAGATACAGCCACACCTTTGAGGATCACTGAGTTTGTTGTCCCCAGTTTGCAAGCTGGAGTAAAGTATAATTTTAGAATTAGTGCAATGAATGCAATGGGGGTTAGTGAACCATCACAAACAGAGGATCTTGTTGAAATTGTGGAACATGAAGAAATCCCTGATTTAGAGCTAGATGTAGAACTCAGAAGAACGTTAGTTGTTAGGGCAGGTGCCTCTATTCGTTTATTTATTCCTATTAAAGGACGCCCAACCCCTATAGTGACTTGGACAAAAGAGGACACACCATTGAAAACTCGCGCAATCATCGACAATACCGAATCATACACCCTGTTGGTCATTCCTGACTGTAATAGACGCGACGCAGGGAAATATGATTTAACATTAGAGAACACTGCTGGAAAGAAGACTGTTTCTGTGGTTGTAAGGGTTTTGGACTCCCCTGGTCCTCCTCTCAATCTGAAACCCAAAGCAATTGACAAAGAGAGCATCACATTGGAATGGGAAATGCCTATTATTGATGGAGGTTCTAAAATTACCAATTACATCATTGAGAAGAGAGAATCTACTCGCAAGGCATATGCTGCTGTGATCACACATTGTGAGACATGCTCCATCAGAGTTTCCGATCTGGCAGAGGGTTTGGAATATTATTTCAGAGTTTCTGCTGAAAATGAGTATGGCATTGGTGAAGCAGTTGAAACCCCAGACCCAATCAGAGTATCTCAAGCACCAACTCCACCAGAAAATGTAACTTTTACTGATGTTACAAAGCACACAGTTAGGCTTGCATGGACTAAACCAAAACATGATGGTGGAAGTAGGGTTACTGGGTATGTAATTGAAGCACAAAAGAAAGGAACAGACCAGTGGGCCCATGTGACAACTGTGAAGTCTTTGGACTTTACTGTAAAAAATCTTAATGAAAATGAAGAGTACATATTCCGTGTAATGGCGGTGAACAGTTCTGGGCGAAGTTTTCCTCGTGTAAGCAAGCCTGTTGTTATCAAAGAACAAAATTCAGAACCAGAATTTGATCTCCGTGGTGTGTGTCAGAAGATAGTTATTGCCAAGGCTGGTGAAGATATAAAGGTTGAGGTGCCTGTTTCTGGACGTCCTAAGCCTACAGTTTCCTGGCAGAAAGACAATCAAGCCCTCAAATTAACACAAAGGACAATGATTGAAAATACTTCTACCTCAACTATCTTGATCATAAATGAATGTTTAAGGAGTGACAGTGGAATATACTCAATGACAGGAAAGAACATTGTGGGCTCTGTTACAGATAGCATCACAGTAAAAGTACATGATTTGCCTGGACCACCAAAGGGACCAATTAAACTGGACAAAATATCTCGTACTTTCATTGAGTTCTCATGGGAAGCTCCTGAAAATGATGGAGGTGTACCAATCAATAACTATATAGTAGAAATAAGGGAAACTACTAGCCAGACATGGGTAGAACTCTCCTCTTTGATTATTCGTACAACATTTAAAGCAACTCGTTTAACAACAGGAATTGAATATCAATTCCGTGTCAAAGCCAAAAACAGATATGGTACAGGGCCTCCATTAATGTCAGAGGCAGTGGTTGCTGCATATCCATTTAAGGTACCTGGGCCACCTGGAACACCCAAAGTTGTCACTTTCACTAAGGATACAATGACAATTGGTTGGAATGAGCCTGTTTCTGATGGTGGAAGTGAGGTCATTGGTTACCATGTTGAAAGGAAAGAGAGGAACAGTATTGTTTGGCACAGAATTAGCAAGGCACTTGTGATCGGAAATCTGTTCAAATCCACAGGACTAGAGGATGGTGTGGCATATGAATTCCGTGTGATTGCTGAAAACATAGCTGGAATTGGAAAACCAAGCAAAGCTTCTGAACCAATGCTCGCTCTTGATCCAGTGGATCCACCTGGTCAACCTGTACCAATCCATGTGTCCAAAAATGCCATTACTATTCAGTGGACGAAGCCAGAGTATGATGGCGGATTCAAGATTACTGGCTATACTGTCGAAAAGAGAGATCTTTCAGCTGGGCGCTGGATGAGAGCTAACTTTACAAATATAATTGAAACCACTTTCACTATAAGTGGTCTAACACAAGACGAATCCTATGAATTCCGTGTACTTGCAAGAAATTCAGCTGGTGCTGTTAGTAACCCATCAGACCCATCAGATCCAATTATTTGCAAAGATGACATTGAAGAACCAAGGATTATGGTTGATGCTCAATTTAAAGATATTGTCCTTGTCAAAGCTAGAGAGATGTTCAAACTTGAAGCTGATGTTGCAGGCCAGCCATTACCATCTATGGTTTGGACGAAAGATGGAAAAGATGTTGAAAACACATCCAAACTACAGATCAAAATGACAGAACTTACATCAGTCTTGATCAACAAGGATTCTGTCAGAAGGGATGGTGGTACATTTATTCTGACAGCAACAAATGTTGGTGGCTTTGCTAAGCATGTTTTCAATGTAAAGGTTCTTGATAGACCAGGACCACCTAGGGGACCTCTGACAGTTTCCGATATTACAGCTGAAAAATGTGTGCTAACATGGAATCCATCTGCAGATGATGGCGGTGCAAACATTGAACATTATGTTATTGAAAAACGTGAGTCAAGCAGACTTGCTTGGACAAATGTGGCATCAGAATTGCAGGTTAATCAGTACCAAGTGACAAAGTTGCTCAAAGGAAATGAATACATTTTCAGAGTTATGGCTGTTAACAAGTATGGTGTTGGAGAACCTCTTGAGTCTGAAGCAATAATTGCAGAAAATCCATATGTACGACCAGATCCTCCACAAACACCTGAGATAACAGTGGTCACTAAGGATTCAGTAGTCCTGTGTTGGGGTGCACCTGCTAGTAATGGTGGAAGTGAAATCACCAACTATCGTATTGAGAAAAGAGACAGGATTAGTTTGCGTTGGATAAAATGCAACAAGAGGAATGTTACTGACTTGCATTTCAAGGTGACCGCTCTTGTTCCAGGCCATGAATATGAATTCAGAGTTTTTGCTGAAAATGCAGCAGGAATAAGTGAGCCAAGTCCTTCATCACCATTTGTCAAGGCCACAGATGCTCTTTTCAAACCAGGTCCTCCTGGCAACCCTAGAGTCCTGGACACAACAAGTTCTTCCATCACACTTGCATGGAACAAACCAGTTTATGATGGTGGTTCTGAAATTACTGGCTATATACTTGAGACCTGTCTCCCTGGAACTGAAGAGGACGAATGGACAATTGTCTCACCTAAACATGGTGTAAAGGGGACATCATTTACAATCACGAATCTTAAAGAAAATCAGGAATACAAAATTAATGTGTCAGCTGCAAACAGCGAGGGTATTGGAGAAGCAGCACCTGTACCAGGTTCACCTAAAGCAGAGGAACGACTCATACCACCAGAGGTTGACCTTGATGCTGACCTTCGTAAGATAGTGAACATCAGAGCATGCAATACACTAAGACTTTTTGTGCCAATTAGAGGTAGACCAACACCAGAGGCCAAATGGTCAAGAGAGAATGATGAACCTTTAGACAGAGCTACCATTGAAACAACGTCATCTTTTACATCACTGGTTATTGCCAATGTGAATAGGTTTGACAGTGGCAAATACAATTTGACTGTAGAAAACAGCTCTGGAACAAAGACTGTCTCTGTAATAGTTAGAGTTCTAGATACACCTGGAGCACCACAAAACTTAAAAATAAGCCAGGTCACTAAAGAATCTGTTTCACTTGTTTGGGATCCTCCACTTAATGATGGTGGCACAAAAATTAAGAATTATATTGTTGAGAAGCGTGAGGCTACAAGAAAAGCATATGCTACAGTAAATGCGAATTGTCACAAAACTACTTACACAGTTGACCAGCTCCAAGAAGGATGCAACTACTATTTCAGAGTTCTGGCAGAAAATGAATATGGCATTGGTCTCCCTATGGAGACTGGTGAATCTGTTAAAGTGTCTGAGAAGCCACTTCCCCCTGGCAAAATTACACTTCAGGATGTTACAAAGACAAGTGTGACATTATCATGGGATAAGCCTGAACATGATGGTGGAAGCAGAGTGGTTGCATATGTTGTAGAGATGCAGAGCAAAGGGAATGAAAAATGGACACAAGCTGTGATTGTCAAGGTACCCGAAGCAGTTATTACTGGGCTTGCACCTGGTGAAGAGTATATGTTCCGTGTTTCTGCAAGGAATGAAAAGGGAACCAGTGATCCTCGTCAAATTGGTGTGCCTGTGATTGCCAAGGACCTTGTAATTGCTCCATCTGCTAAGATGTTGTTCTCCACATTTAGTGTCCTGGCAGGAGAGGATTTGACAGTTGATATTCCATATAATGCTCGTCCCAAAGCTACTATTTCATGGCTAAAGGAAACAGTTCCACTTAAACGAACAACCAGAGTTAACTTTTCCTCTACGGATACACAGCTGAATTTAGTAATCAAAGAAGCATGTAGAGATGATGTTGGCCAGTATAGTATTAAACTATCAAATACAGCTGGTGAGACAAAAGTAGACATTAGAATCGTTGTTCTTGACAAACCTGGTCCACCAACAGGCCCTGTTAAAGTTGATGAAGTAACATCTGACAGTGTTAGCATTTCTTGGAAGCCACCAGAGTATAACGGGGGCTGCACCATTAATAATTACATAGTAGAAAAGAGGGACACATCCACAACTAATTGGCAGATTGTAGCAGCAAATCTAGCAAGAACTCAAATTAAGGCAGGAAGACTGAAGGCAGGCTCTGAATATCAATTCAGAATTGCAGCAGAGAATAGATATGGCAAAAGCCCTCTGCTTGTGTCTGAATGTGTTGTTGCACAGTACCCGTACAAACTACCGGGCCCTCCTGGAACACCTTTCTTGCAGTCTTCCACAAAAGATAGTATGGTGATAGTGTGGAATGAACCTGTTATTGATGGTGGAAGCACAGTCTTAGGATATCACCTTGAGCGAAAAGAGAGAAATAGCATTCTTTGGATGAAACTAAACAAAAGTATAATCCAAGACACAACTTTCAAGACAACAGGTCTTGAAGAAGGCATGGAATATGAATTCAGAGTTTATGCTGAAAACATTGTTGGCATTGGGAAGGCTAGTAAGATCTCAGAGGGCTATACTGCTAGAGATCCTTGTGATCCTCCTGGAACACCAGAAGCAGTTAGAATTACAAAGAATTCTATTGCAATTGCATGGACCAAGCCAGAGTATGATGGTGGAAGCAAAGTCACTGGATATATTGTAGAAAAAAAAGAATTGCCTGCAGGACGCTGGATGAAAGCAAACTTCACCAATGTCATAGAGACTGAGTATACTGCAACAGGTCTTACAGAGGACGAGAAATATGAGTTCCGTGTCATTGCAAGAAATGCTGCTGGAGTTTTCAGTGATCCTTCATATAGTACTGGACCTGTCGTGGCAAAAGATGAGATTGAACCACCGCGTATCAGCATAGATCCAGAGTACACTCAAACAATTGTTGTAAATGCAGGAGACAACTTCAAGGTTGATGCAGATATTCATGGAAAACCAACACCATCAATCTGTTGGATGAAGGGTGAGCAGGAACTTGGAAACACCATATCTCGTGAAATTAAAAGCACAGATAGCTATACCTGTTTGACTGTTAAGGAAGCCAAACTTGCTGATGGAGGTCAATATACTCTACTGCTGAAAAATCCAGGAGGAGAGAAAACGGTACAGGTCAATATTTGTGTCCTAGATAAGCCAGGACCACCAGAGGGATCCATCTCTATTACAGGTGTAACCAGTGAACATTGCTGCCTTTCTTGGAAACCCCCTAAACAAGACGGTGGCAGCAAGATCACTCATTATATTGTTGAAAGGAGAGAGACTAGCAGACTACTTTGGACAGTTGTTGAACCCAAAGTCCAAGCTCTAAACCTTAAAATAATGAAACTCCTAGAAGGAAATGAATATATTTTCAGAGTTTTTCCAGTAAACAAATTTGGTGTTGGTGAGCCCCTCCAATCAAGTGCAGTTGTTATAAAGAATCCATTTACACCTCCAGATGCAGCAAAAGGAGTGGAAGTATCTAATGTCAAGAAAGATTCAATGGTCATAACCTGGGAGGCCCCAACAAACGATGGAGGTACTCCTATCACTGGTTATATTATTGAGAAACATGACAAGGAAGGCATTAGATGGACCAGATGCAACATGAAAACAGTTACTAACCTCACATTTAAAGTTAATGGACTCCTGGAGACCCACCGCTACGAATTCAGAGTTTCTGCTGAGAATGCTGCTGGAGTTAGTGAGGCAAGTTCTGCAACTGTATTCTATAAAGCTCTAGATCCTGTATTCAAGCCAGGTCCACCACTTAATCCAAAAGTGTTAGACATGACCAAATCATCTGTTGTACTTGCATGGGGAAAGCCTATTTATGATGGTGGCTGTGAAATCCAGGGATATATTGTTGAGGCATGTGTAGCAAAAGCAGCCATAGAGGAAATAAAGTCTCCAGGAGAAGAAGGAAAGGCAGTTGCAGATGAATGGACAATGTGCACTCCACCAGCAGGTGTTAAACTGACACGCTTTAATGTGGAAAATCTGAAAGAAAAGCAGGAATATAAATTCAGGGTTTGTGCAGTTAATAAGGTTGGTGTTGGGGAGCATGCTGATGTTGCAGGGCCCATTCTGCCAGAGGACAAAACTGAGGAACCAGATCTTGATATTGATGCTGAGTTTAGAAAGCTTGTACGTATTAAAGCAGGAGGTTCTCTTAGGATGTTCATCCCTTTCAAAGGAAGACCAACACCACAAATCAAATGGGAAAAAGATGGTGGGCAGATTAAGGAAACAGCACAGACTGAGACCACCAGCAGTCACACTTCTCTTGTGATTGATAAAGTCAACCGGGCAGACAGTGGCAAATATACTGTTACTGCAGAAAACTCTGCTGGTACAAAATCTGAAACAATTATTGTGAAAGTCCTTGACACACCAAGCGCTCCAATCAACTTCAAAGTTAAAGAAATTACAAAAGAATCTGTTACTCTTACATGGGAGCCTCCAAGTTTAGATGGTGGAGCAAAGATAAAAAATTACATTGTTGAAAAACGTGAGAGCACAAGAAAAACATTCTCTGCCGTTGTCACAAATTGCCACAAACTTTCTTGGAAAGTTGAACCACTTCAAGAAGGCTGCAGTTACTATTTCAGAGTGCTTGCAGAAAATGAACATGGTATAGGGCTACCTGCAGATATCACAGATCCTTTGAAGGTTTCAGAGGTGCCACAATGTCCTGGAAAATTAAGTGTTGTAGATGTTACTAAAACAAGTGTGTCTCTTTCTTGGGAAAAGCCCATTCATGATGGTGGCAGTAGGATTCTTCAATACCTTGTAGAAATGCAGGTCAAGGGTAATGATAAATGGTCTGGATGTGCCAATGTAAAAACACTGGAAGCTGTAATCAGTAATTTGAACCCTGGAGAAGAGTACACTTTCAAAGTAATTGCTATCAATGAAAAAGGAAAGAGTGACCCAAGAACACTTGCTGTCCCCGTGCAAGCAAAGGACCTTGTCTTTGGGCCTGATGTAAGACCTGTGTTTAGCAACTACAGTGTTCTTGTCGGAAAGGACCTTCAAGTTGAAATCCCAGTTTCTGGTCGTCCAAAGCCAAAGGTCACATGGACAAAGGATGGTGCAGCCCTCAAATTCACAACAAGGGTTAATATTTCTAATAAAGCACACAGCACTGTTCTTAGCATCAAAGAAGCAGCCAGAGAAGATGGTGGAATGTATGGAATAAACGTGTCCAATGCTGTTGGACAAAAGGATGCAACCATTGAAATCATCACTCTTGATAAACCTGGCCCACCAACTGGCCCTGTGCGATTTGATGAGATAACTGTTTCAAGCATTACATTGTCATGGGATGCTCCAAAGTATACTGGTGGTTGCCCAATTTCAAATTATATTGTGCAAAAGAGAGATACAACTTCTACAACATGGGAGAATGTTGCAATTTCATTAGCAAGAACAAAATTTAAAGTACTACGACTGAAGACCGGTGCTGAATATCAATTCAGAATCATTGCTCAGAACAGGTATGGCAAGAGCTATGCTCTGGACTCTTTGACTGTTGTTGCTCAGTATCCATATAGAGAACCAGGACCACCAGGAACTCCATTTGTATCATGCCTATCAAAGGACCATATGGTTGTTGAGTGGAATGAGCCTGTTTCAGATGGAGGCAGCAGCATTATTGGATATCATCTTGAAAGGAAGGAGAGAAACAGCATTATTTGGACAAAGATAAATAAGACACTGATTCAAGAAACAAAATTCAAAACCAGTCCTTTAGAGGAAGGTGTTGAATATGAGTTCAGAGTATATGCTGAAAATATCGTTGGCATTGGCAGATGCAGCAAAATCTCAGAGGGCTTTGTTGCTCGTGATCCATGTGATCCTCCTGAAACCCCAGAAGCTGTCCATGTGACAAAAAATTCAATAACTATCCAATGGACAAAACCAGAGTATGATGGTGGAAGTGTTATCACTGGTTATACTGTTGAGAAACGTGATCTTCCTGAAGGACGCTGGATGAAAGCAAGTTTCACAAATGTTATTGAAACCAATTTTACGGTCACTGGGCTGACAGAAGGTGCCAAGTACGACTTCAGGGTAATTGCAAAGAATGCAGTTGGCACTATCAGCAAACCATCATACAACAGTGGACCTATTGCTGCATTGGATGAAGTAGAGCCACCAAAGTTCTCAATTGACCCAGAATACACTCAGACTCTAATTGTGAATGCAGGTGATACATTCAAACTTGATGCTGATGTCCATGGTAAGCCACTTCCTGCAATCCAGTGGTTTAAGAATGACAAGGAGCTTGAAAACACAATTAGATGTGATATCAAGAACACTGACAACAGAGCATTGATAATAGTAAAAGATGCGGTCAGACAAGATGGTGGAAACTACACTCTTCAGCTCACTAATGTTGCTGGATCTCAGACCGTTCAATTCCATGTGAAAGTACTTGATAAACCAGGTCCACCAGAAGGGCCTCTTCATGTCACAGGCGTGTCCAGTGATAAATGCACACTGATATGGCGTGCGCCACTAGATGATGGAGGAAACACTATCACTCATTACATTATTGAGAGACGTGAGACAAGTCGACTTGCTTGGACTGTGGTCTGTAATGATTGCAAAACTACAACATACAAAGTGACAAAGCTCCTGGAAGGTAATGAATATATATTCCGTGTCATGGCTGCGAACAGTTACGGTATTGGTGAGCCATTTGAAGCACCATCCGTAATAATGAAAGATCCATTTAGTCACCCTGGATCACCACAAATTATTGAGGTAACAAATATTGCAAAGGACTCTATGACTATTTGCTGGAGTACTCCAGATTCTGATGGTGGAAGTGAAATTATTGGATACATTATTGAGAAGAGAGACAGATCTGGAATTAGATGGACAAGATGCAACAGACAAAAAGTAACTGATGTATGCTTCAGAGTGCATGGCCTAATTGAGGATCATGAGTATGAATTCAGAGTGTCAGCTGAAAATGCAGCTGGAATTGGAGAACCAAGCTTGCCAACTTCATACTTCAAGGCTTGTGATCCCAAATACAAACCTGGCCCACCTATGCATGCACACGTTGTTGATACCACCAAGACTTCAATTACAGTGGCATGGGGAAAACCCCTTAATGATGGAGGATGTGCAATTCAAGGATATATTGTAGAGATCTGCAAAGCTGAAGAGGAAGAATGGACTATGTGCACTCCCCCTACTGGCTTACGTGTCAACAAATTTGAAATTGCTAAGCTAACAGAACAAAAAGAATATAAAATTCAAATATGTGCCATCAATAAATTAGGTGTTGGAGAACCTGCAGTCATTCCAGGAACTGCCAAGCCTGAGGACAAGCTGGAGACCCCTGAAATTCACCTCGATTCAGAGCTAAGGAAAGGCATTGTTGTTCGTGCTGGGGGATCAGTAAGAATCAATGTACCATTCAAAGGTAGACCAATACCAGATATCAAATGGACTAAAGATGAAGGTGAACTGTCAGAAAAGACAGTGCTTGAAAAGAGTCTTAACTTCACCCAACTTTCAATTGACTCCTGTGATAGAAGGGATTCTGGAAAATACACAGTTACTCTACAGAACAGCAGTGGCTCTGTCTCTGAATTTGTGGCTGTTAAAGTGTTAGATACACCTGGAGCACCACTAAACCTTGTAGTTAAGGATATCAAGAAGGACTCTGTTACACTTGTTTGGGAACCACCACTTATTGATGGAGGTGCAAAGATCAAGAATTATATTGTTGACAAGCGTGAATCCACAAGAAAAGCCTATGCAAATATAACAACCAAGTGCAGCAAAACAACTTATAAGGTAGAAAATCTTGCAGAAGGGGCCATGTATTATTTCAGAGTAATGGCTGAAAATGAATATGGTGTTGGTTTGCCGGTTGAAACAAAAACTGCTTCAAAGGCATCTGAAGTACCTCAGCCAGTTGGAAAGGTGATGCTGACAGATGTGACAAAAGTCAGTGCATCTCTGACCTGGGAAAAGCCAGAGCATGACGGAGGTAGTAGGATTGCGGGCTACTTAATTGAAATGCAGCCAAAAGGTACTGACAAATGGGGTGTAGCAGCAAATGTAAAAACGTGTGAAGGAACAGTCACTGGACTGACTGGCGGTCAGGAATATTTGTTCCGTGTTTTGGCATACAACGAGAAAGGCAAAAGTGAGCCAAAGCCCCTTGCTGCTCCAGTTATTGTCAATGACCTCACAATTGAACCAAGCCTAAAGTTGCAGTTCAACACATATAGTGTCAAATCTGGAAAGGATTTCAAACTTGAAATACCTATTTTTGGACGTCCAAAACCAAAGATCACTTGGTCAAAGGATGGACAGTCACTTAAAGTAACATCCAGAGTTACTACTTCCAATACACCAACATCCACAATCCTGCAAATTACTGAAGCCTGTAAAGATGACCTTGGAAAGTATACAGTTACTGCAACAAACAGTGTTTGTGCAGTTAAAGAAGATATCAGTATCATAATCCTGGATAAACCTGGTCAACCCTCAGGACCAATAAAAGTGAATGAAGTGAGCAACAATTCTGTTTCCGTCTCATGGGAACCTCCGGAGTATACAGGAGGCTGCCAAGTAAAGCATTACATTGTTGAAAAGCGAGACACCACTGAAACTACTTGGCAAGTTGTTGCTGGATCAGTTGCCAGGACATCTCTCAAAATTACCAAGCTGAAAACAGGTGCTGAGTATCAGTTTAGAGTCGTTGCTGAGAACAGATATGGTAAGGGTGCTCCTTTGGATTCAAAAACCATTGTTGTGCAATATCCTTACAAACCACCTGGGCCACCTGGTACTCCATATGTGAAATCTGCCACCAAGGATCAAATGATAATTGAGTGGAATGAACCAGTCAGTGATGGTGGCAGTTCAGTGTTTGGATACCATCTTGAGAGCAAAGAAAGAACAAGTATTATATGGACAAAACTAAACAAAACCCTCATTACTGATACTGTTTTCAAAATATGCAATCTTGAAGAAGGCATTGGATATGAATTTAGGGTATATGCTGAAAACATTGTTGGTATTAGCAGAGCAAGCAAAGTTTCAGAGAGCTTTGTTGCCCGTGACCCATGTGATCCACCCGGAACGCCTGAGGCTGTTGGAATATCAAAGGACCATATTAAGATTCAGTGGACAAAGCCTCAATATGATGGTGGCAGCAAAGTGACTGGATATATTGTTGAGAGAAGAGATTTGCCTGAGGGCAGATGGATGAGGGCAAATTTTACCAATGTAATTGAGAAAGAATTTACAATCACAGGCTTAACAGTAAACAATCAATATGAATTTAGAGTAATTGCAAGAAATGCAGTGGGTGTCTTCAGTGAGCCTTCAGACAGCACTGGACCAATTACTGCTACAGATGAAATTGAACCTCCTAGTGTTTCAATGGATCCTAAGTATAAGGACGTAATTGTTGTCAATGCTGGAGCCAACATAGTTTTGGATGCAGATATACATGGTAAACCCACACCTGATATTCAGTGGCTAAAAGAAGAAAAGGAAATGGATAAGACATTGCGTATTGAATTAAGAAGTACACAAAAATATGCTTCTATTACAATAAAAGATTGTACAAGATTGGATGGTGGACACTATGACCTTTTATTAAGCAACAGTGGTGGAACAAAAACAATTCCAATAACAGTAAAAGTTCTTGACAGGCCAGGTCCACCAACCGGACCACTACGAGTGACTGGCGTCATGTCTGACAAATGTCATCTGTCCTGGTCTGAGCCCTCTCAGAATGGTGGAGCTAATATTTCTCATTACATCCTTGAGAAAAGGGAAACTAGCAGACTATCATGGACTGTTGTTGATTCTAACATTCCTACTGTGAATTATAAAGTGACCAAGCTCTTGCCAGGTGATGAGTATATCTTTAGAGTTATGGCTGTCAACAAATATGGCATTGGTGAATCTCTGGAGTCTGAGGCAATTATTGCACGCAATCCATACAAGCCACCAAGTGCGCCATCAACACCAGAAGCAAGTGAGATAACAAAGGATTCAATAACTCTATCATGGAATGCCCCAGAGAGCAATGGTGGAGCAGAAATTACGGGTTATCACTTAGAGAAGCGTGACAAAGATGGTGTGAGGTGGACAAAATGCAACCGACAGAAGCTGACCAATCTGCATTTCAAAGTAACTGGTCTGTCAGAGGGACATTTCTATGAGTTCCATGTGTCTGCTGAAAATGAATCTGGTGTGGGAGAATTTAGTGACCTATCTCTATTTTATAGAGCAATAAATGCCACAACTCCCCCAGGTCCACCTCATCATCCTAAAGTGATAGATCACACAAGCTCATCTGTCTCTCTGTCTTGGGGAAAACCTGCTACAGATGGTGGTGCATATATTAAAGGTTATATTGTTGAGATGAAAGATGTTTCTTCAGAGGAATGGATCGTATGCACACCTCCAGCTGGTATTCAAGCAACACGCCTCACAGTTGAAAACCTGAAAGAAAATGTTGAATATAATTTCCGTGTTTGTGCAATTAATTCTGAAGGAGTTGGTGAACCTGCTGATGTTCATGGATCTGTGACTGCATCTGAAAAGATTGAAGCACCTGAAATTGAACTTGATGCTGACCTCAGGAAAGTTGTCTCTGTTCGTGCAGGAGGATCCCTTCGTCTTTTCATTACAATTAGAGGTCGACCTGAGCCATCCATCAAATGGGAAAAGGAGGATGGAACTCTAACTGAGCGTGCTCAGATTGAGTCAACCAGTTCATACACCATGCTTGTAATTGACAATGTCAATAGATTTGACAGTGGAAAATATGTCTTGACTCTTGAGAACAAGAGTGGCACAAAATCTGCATTTGTTAATGTCAGGGTGCTTGATACACCAAGTTCTCCACAGAAGTTTGAAGTGAAAGATGTAAAGAAAGATTCAGTGACTCTCTGCTGGTACCCACCACTTACAGATGGTGGGGCTAAAATAACCAATTATGTTGTTGAGAAGCGAGAATCTACAAGGAAAGCTTATACAACTGTCACAAGCAACTGCACACAGACGTCCTTTAAAGTGGATGAACTGCAGGAAGGAGGCATTTTCTACTTCCGTGTATGTGCTGTTAATGAGTATGGCTTTGGTGTGATGGCAGAAACAAAGAATCCTATTAAGGTTGCACAGGTACCTATGCCTCCAGGAAAAGTAACTCTTGTGGATGTCACAAAGAATTGTGTTACACTTACTTGGGTTAAGCCTGTCCACGATGGAGGCAGTAAAATCATCTGCTACAATGTAGAGATGCAACCCAAGAGTAGTGACAAATGGGGTGTAAGCTGCACAGTTAAGGTTCCAGAGGCTACTGTGAGCAACCTCACACCTGGTGAAACATACTCATTCAGGGTTATAGCATTGAATGAGAAGGGCAAGAGTGAGCCTCAAGAACTTGGTGTACCTGTTGTAGCTAAAGATATTGAGATTGAACCCTCTGTTCACCTGCTGTTCAATACATACAGTGTTAAGGCTGGAAATGATCTTACTGTGGAAGTTCCTGTGAGAGGCAGGCCTAAGCCAGTTGTCTCTTGGAAGAAGGATGGCCTTCCTTTGAGGCAAACAACCTCTCTTTCAATTGTCAACACGATGGTGTCAAGCAAAATCATCATCAAAGAAGCTGCTATTGAGCATGTTGGTAAATATGAAATCAGCCTTGCTAATACAGCAGGCACCAAGTCCACAGACATTGGTGTTGTTGTTCTTGATAAACCTGGGCCACCAGCTTCCGTAAAGGTTGATGATGTGACTTCTGACAGTATTACATTGTCATGGGCCCCTCCAGAATATGATGGTGGATGCTCCATCAATAATTACATTGTTGAGAAGAGAGATACTAACACAACAGAGTGGCAGATTGTTTCAACAAATGTTGCCAGAACCTCAGTCAAAGTACCTCGATTGACACAGGGTTCTGAGTACCAGTTCCGCATCTATGCAGTGAATCGCTATGGAAAGGGTAAGCCAATTGACTCTCCGGGAATTACTGCAGAGTACACATTCAAACAGCCTGGGCCACCTTCTACACCCCGTGTAGCTCATGCCACCAAGGTCTTCATGCTTGTCACATGGAATGAGCCAGTTAATGATGGTGGTAGCACAGTCCTTGGCTATCATTTAGAACGCAAGGAGAGAAGCAGTATTCTTTGGACAAAGGTGAACAGGACAATTATCAAGGATACTGAATTCAAAGTAACTGGCATTGAGGAAGGCATGACATATGAATTCCGTATCTATGCTGAAAATATTGCTGGAATTGGGAAAGCAAGCAAAGTCAGTGAGCCCATAGCTGCACGAGATCCTTGTGATCCTCCTAGTCAGCCTGTAGTAACTAGCATTACCAAATCCTCTGTATCTCTTTTTTGGACCAAGCCTGAGTATGATGGTGGAGCCAAAGTTACTGGCTACATAATTGAATGTAGAGATCTCCCAGAGGGTCGCTGGATAAGATGCAATTTTACTAATGTTATAGAGACTTGTTTTGATGTTACTGGCCTAACATTGGATGAGAAGTATGATTTCCATGTCATCGCAAAGAATGCTGCTGGACTATTCAGTGAGCCATCTGACAACACTGGTCCTATTACAGTTAAAGATAATGTAGATCCACCACGTATTATGATGGATGTCAAGTTCAAGGATGTTGTGGTAGTAAAAGCTGGGGATACCCTGAAGATTAATGCTGACATTGCAGGGCGCCCACTTCCAGTTGCATCTTGGTTAAAAGATGGGCGTGAAATTGAACAGAAGGCAAGAATTCAGATAACTGGAACAGATACTAGTACTATGATAGTTGTTAAAGACTGCAAAAGGAGTGATTCTGGACAGTACTCTTTGACTTTACAGAATGTTGCAGGAAGTGTCACGACACCAGTAAACTGTGTTATTCTGGATAAACCAGGACATTCAGCAGGACCACTATCAGTAACAGGCATCACAGCAGAGGAATGCACATTGTCATGGGGACCACCACAAGAAATTGGTGGCTCTGAAATAACACATTATGTTGTTCAGAAACGAGAGACCAGTCGATTGGCATGGACACTTGTACATGGAGAGGTCAAAACCACAACATTCAAGGTCACTAAGCTCCTAAAAGGAAATGAGTACATATTCAGGGTATTAGCTGTCAACAAGTTTGGACTTGGTGAAGCCCTTGAAAGTGAAATGGTCAAGGTCACTGAACCATACACTACCCCTGCAGCTCCAACAAATGTTGAAATTACAAGCGTGACCAGTGAGGAAATGAGGCTAACATGGGCAAAGCCTGCATCTGATGGAGGCAGTGAGATCCTTGGATATGTAATTGAAAGGCGAGATAAATCTGGTCTTCACTGGGTCCGTGTGAACAGGGACATTGTGAAAGACCTAACAGCTGTGATATCAAAAGTAAGAAGAGGATGTGAGTATGAGTTTAGAGTTTATGCTGAAAATGCAGCAGGCTTGAGTCTAGCCAGTGACCCATCTCCTTCAGCAAGGGCAGAGGATGAACTTTTGGTACCATCCCCACCAACTAAACCTAAGATTCTGGATCATACCAAGAATTCAATTACTATTGCCTGGAAAAAGCCATTATCTGATGGTGGTGCACAGATCCTTGGATACAGTGTAGAATATAAGAAATCTGAGGATGAGGAATGGATTGTGGCTATTCAGATGACAAAAAGCAATGAATTCACAGTTTCTGGTCTTACAACTGACGTGGAGTATGTATTTGCTGTTAAAGCAGTTAACAAACTTGGTGTCAGTGAACAGTCACCTGTCTCTGAGCCACAGTCAGCAACGGAGAGAAAGGAGGAACCTGTATTTGACGTTGACATTGAGATGCGAAAAACTTTAATTGTCAAGCATGGCAATTCATTTACTTTGACGGCTCTGTTTAAAGGAAAGCCAGTACCTTCAGTTACATGGAATAAAGAGGAGGTTGATCTAAAAGCAAGGGCAAGCATAGAAACAACAGAAACATGCACATCTATTACTATTGAGAAAGCAACAAGAAATGACTCTGGACAATACATTGTTACTTTGGACAATGGTGTTGGAACAGCATCTTTGCCAATGGTGGTCAAAGTCCTTGATACCCCTGGACCACCAACTAATGTGAAAATTACAGAAGTCACAAAAGATTCTGCAACAGTTACTTGGGAGCCTCCAGAGAATGATGGAGGAGATGCTGTTAAGGCTTATCATGTTGAGAAACGTGAAGCAAGCAAAAAGGCCTGGGTATGCGTAACAAGCAACTGCCACAGTCTGATATACAAGGTTGAAGACTTGCAAGAAGGTGCAATTTACTATTTTAGAGTCGCTGGAGAAAATGAGTTTGGATCAGGATGGTGGTCAAAGTCCTTGATACCCCTGGACCACCAACTAATGTGAAAATTACAGAAGTCACAAAAGATTCTGCAACAGTTACTTGGGAGCCTCCAGAGAATGATGGAGGAGATGCTGTTAAGGCTTATCATGTTGAGAAACGTGAAGCAAGCAAAAAGGCCTGGGTATGCGTAACAAGCAACTGCCACAGTCTGATATACAAGGTTGAAGACTTGCAAGAAGGTGCAATTTACTATTTTAGAGTCGCTGGAGAAAATGAGTTTGGATCAGGTGTACCTGTTGACACTAAAGATGGAACCAAGATTACAGGTAAATTCATTAAAATTTTTATTTGTCTGAAAATGAGAAAATAATAGGTTTCAGAACAAATTAATTCATTTTGTGTTTTAAATATGATTTCAACTTTGAACCAACAGAAAAACCAAGTCCACCTGTTAGACTTGGTGTTACTGCGATAACAAAAAATAGCATCACCATTGCATGGTCAAAACCAGAGTATGATGGTGGAAGCCGAATTACCAGCTACCTCATTGATGCCCTTGAAAAGGGCCAACAGAAGTGGGTTAAATGTGCCACTGTTAAAGCCAACACCCACATAATTAAGGGCCTAAGGGAAAATGCAGAATACTTATTCAGAGTTCGTGCTGAGAATCACGCTGGACTTAGTGAACCAAAAGAAATGATTATCCCTGTGGTTGTGAAAGATCAACTGGGTGAGTCTTAATTCATTCAATTAATTCCATGTTTATCATATTCAAATAATCTATTAATGTTGTACTTCCATTTCCTTTGAATATTATTTACAGATGCCCCTGAATTTGATATGAAAAATTTCCCACACAACACTGTTTATGTGAGAGCAGGATCAAATCTTAAATTTGAGCTTCCTCTCTCTGGTAAACCAATGCCAAAAGTCACGATGTCAAGAGGGAACGCTCCAGTTAAGTGCGGCAAGAGATTCAGCTTTGAAGTAACCCCAGAAAGTCTTAATATCAACCTCAAGGAAAGTATTGCAAGTGATGCTGGAAGATATGACATTGTTGCCTCAAACACAAGTGGAACCACCAAGATGTTTGTAAACATACTGGTCCTGGATAGACCAGGTCCTCCCATTGGACCTATTGAAGTTAGTGATGTGGGAGAGACAAGCTTGTGTCTCAAATGGCTCCCACCCGTGTATGATGGTGGCAGTCCTGTTACAAACTATGTTGTTCTTAAACGTGAAACAAGTACTCCAGCCTGGACAGAAGTGTCATCCACAATTGCAAGAAGCTCAATTAAAGTCACCAAACTTACAAAGGGAGAAGGATACCAGTTCAGGGTTAAAGCTGAGAATCGCTTTGGCATCAGTGATCACATTGATTCTCATTCAGTTACAGTGAAGCTTCCATACAGTGAGTACCTAGATAATGTACATTCTCAATTGTTTCTAGTTATGTCTGAATTTCTGTTAAACCCCTGCTGGTCTATTGTATTTTTTAGCTATCCCTGGACCACCATCAACACCATGGCTTGGTTATGTGTCAAGGGAGAGCCTCACTGTTTGTTGGAATGAGCCAGTATTAGATGGAGGAAACCCAGTGGTTGGATACCATGTCCAAATGAAAGAAAGAAGCAGCATTCTTTGGCAGACGGTGAACAAAACAGCAATCCCTGCAACTCAAATTAGAGTGACAAATATATGTCCTGGAATGATTTACGAATTCAAGGTAGCTGCAGAAAATGCAGCTGGTATTGGAAAGTTCAGCAAGACATCAGAAGAAGTGCTAGCAATTGATGCCTGCGGTAAGCTTAAATAATAATACAAATAATATATAAACTAAGGAGATTTCTCTGAATTTCTCAGAAGTTTCTCTGAATTTCATTTCCAATTGTTTTGTTTTAGAACCACCGGCAAATGTGAGAATTTCTGAGGTTACAAAAAATTCACTTAGCCTTATATGGCAGAAGCCTCCATTTGATGGTGGAAGCAAAATCACTGGCTACATGGTTGAGCGAAGAGATGCTCCAAATGGCAGATGGACAAAGGCAAACTTTACCAATGTCATTGATACTAACTTCACTGTGTCAGGCTTGACTCAGGATCAGGCATATGAATTAAGGATTTTTGCCAAGAATGCAGTTGGCTCGATCAGCAACCCATCTCTAATTGCAGGACCAGTAACTTGTGTTGACATTTCTGGTAAGTTTATTACTTCTACTTTGCTAGTTATCTTATATTATCATGTGCAGCAATACTATTCACACTTTATTACACACTTTTCTGTTTCCCCCCATTCTTAGGTGCTCCAGTAATTGACCTGCCCCCAGAGTATTTGGATGTTGTGCAATACAAAGCTGGTACATCATTCAAAATCAAAGTGGGAATATTTGCCAAACCCTTGCCAACTATTGAATGGCTTAAAGATGAAAAGGAGCTAGTGTCAAGTGCACAGCTGTCAATTGAGAACACAACTGACTCATCTTCCATCCTCATTAAGGATGCTACTCGTCTTAATACTGGAACCTATGAGCTCAAAATTAAAAATGTGTTTGGCACAGCATCTGCTTCTATCAGAATACAGATTTTAGGTATGTAATCATTTGTGTAATATATATATATATATATATATATATCAATGACTTTTTCACCTTTTTATTTCCTCATTTTAAATTAAAAATAATTTTCATTCTGTAAATAGACAAACCTGGACCTCCAGCTGGACACATTGAATTCAAATCAGTCACTGCTGACAAGATAACAATTGCATGGGAACCAGTGGCTGATGAAGGAGGTGCCAAATTAACTCATTACATTGTAGAAAAACGAGAGACAAGTAGAGTAGTGTGGTCCACAGTTTCTGAAGCAATGGAAGCACGTACTGTCACAGTCCAAAAGTTGGCCAGAGGAAATGAATACATATTCCGTGTCAGAGGTGTTAACAAATTTGGAGCTGGAGATGCTCTGGAGTCTGAGCCTGTAATTGCCAAAAATTCATTCGGTAAGGTGACAGTAACTGAAAGTCAAAATTATTCAACTGTATAATGTATAGTTTTGGTAAACCAGATAATGTAAGATGACAAATGCACTATTCATTAAATCAATTAATTTTTTTAGTTTCTCCTGGACAACCTTCTACACCTGAAGCAACAGATATCACGAGAACATCAATGCAAATTGTTTGGGATAAACCTAGTGTGGATGGTGGTAGCATGGTTACAGGATACTATCTGGAGAGACGTAACAAGAAGAGCCTGCGCTGGGTAAAAGTGTACAAGGACCCCATTAGTGACACCAAAGCAAAAGTCCATCATCTCACAGAAGGAAATGAATATCAGTATCGTGTATGTGCAATCAATAAAGCTGGGGAAGGTCCATCCTCAGATGTTTCTGACTTCTACAAAGCTGCTGATCCAGTTGGTATGTATTACTGTATAATTTTACTGAAAAGTTAATTTGACTAAATTCATATTTAATTAAGAGTCTTAACTGCTTTGACATAAAGTTCTAACCAAGCTTTGTAAATTCTCCTAAGACCCACCATGTGAACCAACTAAGCTCAAGGTAGTGGACTCGACTAAAACATCAATTACACTTGGATGGTCAAAGCCAGAGTATGATGGAGGCAGCGAAATCACCAGCTATGTTGTAGAAAAAAGAGTTGGTGAGGAAGGGGAGTGGACAGTGATTAGCCATAAGGGAGAAGTGAGAACCACAGAGTATGTTGCCTCAGATCTTAAACCAGATATTGACTACTACTTCCGTGTATCTGCTGTTAATTGTGCTGGACGTGGAGACCCAATAGAAATGGAAGAGGCAGTACAAGCCAAAGACATTCTTGGTATGCATTCATGTTGAAATGCTTGTAATATCTTTGTGTATTTGACAATACTTTCCACCTGTAACAACAGCATAAATTATTTTTATTTTTATTTTGCAGAGGAAGCCCATGTTGATACGGATGTTGCAATGAGGACTCACTACATTGTGAAAGCTGGTAAAGATGTTGAAATCATGGTGCCCCTGAAAGGCAGACCTGCTCCAAGTATCTCTTGGAAGAAGGAAGACCAGAACATTGACAATGATCCTAAATATGACATTCACAACACAGACACGTCATCGTGTCTCATAATTACACAAGTAACTCGAAACGACACTGGTAAATACACCATTAATATATCAAATGGTGTAGGAGAACCAAAGTCCTTAACTGTGTCTGTTAAAGTACAGGACACTCCAGCTGCTTGTAAGAATTTGATCTTAAAAGACGTCACTCGTGGGAAAGTTACACTTTGCTGGGAGTCTCCTCTATTGGATGGTGGTGCTGAAATTACCAATTTTGTTGTTGAGAAAAGAGACTCTTCAAAGCGTACATATGCCTGTGTAACAAATAAGTGCAAAGAAACCACATGCGTAATTGAAGAACTCTCTGAGAAAGCATCATTCTTCTTCCGTGTATTAGCAGAAAATGAAAATGGAGTTGGAGATCCATGTGAAACAGCAGAGCCCGTTAAAGCCACAGAGACACCAGGACCAGTCAAAGACCTTTCTATGAAAGATTCCACAAAGACTTCAGTAACACTACAATGGAACAAACCAGATTATGATGGTGGTAGCATTATTACAGACTACCTAATTGAAAAGAAACTCCAAGGTCAAGAAGAATGGGCCCCTGCTGGCACAAACAAGCACTGTGAACATGAAGTTACAAAGCTTAAGGAACTCACTGAAATGTTTTTCAGAGTTTGTTCTAAGAATGAAAAGGGTACTAGTGACTTTGTTGAAATCGGATCAATTAAAGTAAAGGACTACATTATCCCACCAGAAGCAAACCTTAAAGAGTATCCTGATGGACAAATCAGTGTACGTCTGGGACACAATGTCCACATTGAATTGCCATACAAGGGTAAACCAAGACCAACCATTCTTTGGTTAAAGGACAATTTACCACTGAAGGAGAGTGAAAAAATCCGCTTCAAGAAGACTGAAAACAAAGCCACTCTAATGATAAAAAATGTGGAGAAAGAGAATGGAGGCAAATACACACTTACTCTTGACAACACATTCTTCAGAAAATCATTTCATATACAGGTTATTACCCTCGGACCACCCACTAAACCTGTTGGACCCATCCGCTTGGATGAGGTCAGAGCAGAAAGTATAGCTATATCTTGGGATGAGCCAAATGATAATGGGGGTGGAGAAATCACTTGTTACACTGTTGAGAAACGTGACACCTCTCAGACAGACTGGAAAATGGCTTGTTCAAGTGTGATTGGAACATCATTTAAGGTACCCAGTCTGATCAAGGGAATTCAATATCAGTTCAGAGTCTGTGCAGAAAATAGATATGGTGCAAGTGAACCTGTAGTTTCTCAAAATGTCATTGCCAAGCATGAGTTCAGACCACCTGGCCCACCAGGCATGCCATTGGTTTACAATGTTACAAATGATGGCATGACTATTCAGTGGGATGCACCTATCTTTGATGGAGGTTGTCCAATCCTTGGGTTCCATGTTGAAAAGAAGGAGAAGAACAGCATAATGTGGCAAAAGGTCAACATAGTCTTGGTGAAAGAAAGGGAGTACAGGATTCTAGGTCTCATTGAAGGCTTGGAATATCAGTTCAGAGTCTATGCCCAGAATGATGCTGGATACAGTCGCATGAGTGATGCATGCAAACCTGTAATGGCTGTTTCTCCAGTTGGTAAGTTCAACTTTAAGACTTATTTTATCACATAGAAATTTCACATTAGAAATATGACAGTTGACAGTGTCTAAATAATAAATAACATATGTATTTTAATTTCAGATCCTCCTGGTACCCCTGACTATGTTGATGTAACAAGTGAATCAGTTAAACTGAAATGGGAAGCACCCAAGCGTGATGGTGGAAGCAAAATTGTTGCCTATAATGTGGAGAAACGACAGGGCAAAGGACGGTGGTTAAAGAGCAATTTTTCAAATGTGACTGACACAGAATTTACAGTGACTGGTCTTGCTTGCGGTGAACGCTATGAATTTAGAGTCATAGCAAGAAATGCTATCGGTACAGTGAGCCCACCCTCTCAGTCTTCTGGATATATCTTAGTCAGAGATGAGAGCTGTAAGTACATCCAGTTTATATTGTGTTTGTCGTTTTACATGCAGTTTTATGCTGGTCTGTATATGTTAAGTTCATAATCTTATCTCTTTCAGTTGCTCCAAACATTGAGTTTGGACAGGAATACTTTGAGGGAGTGTCTATTAAAGCTGGAGAAAACATCAGGCTAAAAGTAACAATCATTGGAAGACCAACACCAAAAGTTACCTGGTACAGAGATAATATTGAATTAACCAAGAAAATGGTTGATATCACAACAATTTCTGGATCAAGTACCCTCTTTATCAGAGATGCTGACCGTAGTCACCGTGGTCTTTATACTGTGGAAGCCATAAATCCCTCAGGAGCTAAAAAGGAATCAGTGAAAGTTGAAGTCTTTGGTATGAATAATTTTTGTATCTTATTTATTAATTCTACACTTTTATCACTATATTTTCTTGAGATTTTTCTTTAACCTATGCTTCTATAATTTCTATCTTTCAGATACACCTGGTGAACCTGTTGGACCAATCACATTCTCAGATATCTCTGAGGGCAAAGTAACACTTTCATGGAATCCACCTGAGAATGATGGCTGTTCTGAGGTCACTCATTACATTGTTGAGAAGCGTGAAACCTCTAAAATTTCATGGGCACTTGTTACGGATGAGTGCTTGGCATGCACATACATTGCCACCAAACTGATCAAGACAAATGAGTATCAGTTCCGTGTTTCTGCAGTCAATAGGTTTGGTGTTAGCAGACCACTGGATTCAGCTCCCGTGATTGCACAGATGCAATACAGTAAGATGATAAAAAAAATTTAGAAAAATATATTTCAATATAAGCTTATGTAAAGCACTGTAAAAAAATATTTCTGTAATTTCTTCCTTTTTCATCCCTGCAGCTGTTCCAGATTCTCCTGGAACTCCAGATGCAACAGATGTTGACGGGGAGAGTATCACAATCAGCTGGGCTCCACCAACACATGATGGTGGAAACCCAATAAAATATTACATTGTTGAAAGACGTGAAAAGAAAACTGGTCGCTGGCTGAAAGTCATAACAAGGAAACCCATTGTTGAGGCTGCACACAGAGTGACTCATCTCACTGAGTATGTGGAATATGAATTCCGTGTGTATGCTGTAAATGATGCTGGAATTGGAGCACCAAGCAACATTTCAATGCCTATTAAATGTGCAGAGCCAACTGAAGAACCTGATGCCCCATCTATTGTCAATGTTACTGACACTACCAATACATCTGTCAGCTTGGAATGGACCAGACCTGCCTATGATGGTGGTATGGAAATCCATGGCTACATTATTGAGATGTGCAAGGGATCTGAACAGGAATGGCACAGAGTCAATGAGGATCTTTGTCCTGTCACAAAATACAATGTCACTGGTTTGGAAACTGGTGCAGAGTACAAGTTCCGTATTTGTGCAGTCAATTCTGTTGGAAAGGGTGAAGCCAAAGAAATACCTGACTCTGTACAGGCAGTAGACAGGCTCTTGGCACCAGAAATTGACATAGATGCATCCTTCAAACAGACACATATTGTGAAAAGTGGTGGAAGTGTATGTATCTGTATTGCCTTTAAGGGAAAGCCAACACCTACAGCTTCCTGGACAAAAGTAGATGGAGAACTTGGTGTTATGACAGACATCACCACCACTGAGACAGTCACAGCCTTGACACTGGAAAACTGCACTAGAAATGATACTGGAAAATATACTCTCACTCTTGAGAACAGTAGTGGCAATAAATCTATCACTATTGCAGTCAAAGTGTTGGACACACCTGGTGTACCAGGGGCTCTCTCAATCAAGGAAGTCACAAGAGGAGCTCTCACAATTGCTTGGAAACCTCCTACCAATGACGGTGGCGCACGTGTGCATCATTACATTGTTGAGAAACGTGAGGCAAGCCGTCGTACATGGACAGAGGCAGCACCCAAGACCACTCAAACAAGCTTGAGAGTTTCTGATCTCCTGGAAGGTGTACCTTATTTCTTCAGAGTCGTGGCTGAGAATCAGTATGGTCTTGGTGAAGCGTATGAAATGCCTGATCCAGTTATTGCCACAGCTGAACCTGCTCCACCAAAGAGAGTTGATATCATTGATACAACTGACACATCAGCAACCCTGGTCTGGCTTAAGCCAGAGCATGATGGAGGAAGCCGTATCACAGGCTATTGTGTGGAATCCAAGGCAAAAGATGCAGATAAATGGATTGTTTGTGGTACAACGAAAAACCTAAGCCTCGTAATTGAAGGACTTATAGAGAACGGTGAGTATGAATTCCGTGTCAAGGCAAAGAATGATTCTGGGTTCAGTATGCCAAGAGAAGCTTTCTCATCAGTCATCATTAAAGAGCCACGGATTGAACCTACTGCTGATCTCAGTGGTATCACCAACCAACTCATTACTAGCAGGATTGGCGAATCTTTTGAGATTGATGTTCCAATTAGTGGAAGACCAGCTCCAAAGGTATCCTGGAAGCTTGAGGAAATGAGGCTGAAAGAAACTGACAGGGTTTCAATCAAAACTACCAAAAACAGGACCACTCTCAAAGTTAAAGATTGCATGAGAGGTGATGGAGGCAGATATTTCCTCACTCTTGAGAATGTCACTGGGTCAAAGACTTTCACAGTCACTGTCAATGTTATTGGCAGACCAAGCCCTCCAGAGGGCCCAATTGAGATTTCCTCGATTACATCAGAGTCATGCGTACTGTCATGGAATCTACCTGAGGATGATGGTGGAACAGACATCACTAACTACATTGTTGAGAAGCGTGAATCTGGCTCCACTGCTTGGCAGCTTATTAACTCAAGTGTAAAGCACACTTCTTTCCATATTTCCCATCTTACTAAATACATGCAGTATACTTTCCGTATCTGTGCTGAAAACCGTTTTGGTGTGAGCAAACCAACAGAGTCTGAGACGATTGTTGCAGAGCATCCATTTGGTATGTAATAGCTTATAAGAAATTAGCATTTTTGAGATACTGTATAAATTATAAAATATCAAATATTTTATTACATGTTTTCATTTTCACAGTTCCTCCAGGCCCTCCAACAAGACCAGAAGTGTTCACTGTAACCGCCAACAGCATGAGCATTCGTTGGGAGGAACCATACCATGATGGTGGCAGCAAAGTCACTGGATACTGGATTGAAAAGAAGGAGCGTAACACAATTCTCTGGGTGAGAGAAAACAAGATTCCCTGCTTTGATTGCTACTACAAGGTGGAAGGCCTTGTTGAGGGTCTTGAATACCAGTTCAGAGTGTATGCAATGAATAGCGCTGGCCTCAGCAAAGCAAGCGAAGCATCAAAGAGAGCTGTGGCTCAAAATCCAGTTGGTAAGTACATCACAATCAAAAAGTAATTCATACCAGTCTAGATCAGCAAAAACAATACTTATATGTGTGCTTTGATGATACAAATTTATAGATCCTCCGGGAAAACCAGAGGTTACAAATGTATCAAGATCAACAGTCTCAATCAAATGGTCTGTGCCCCTAAACGATGGTGGAAGCCCAATCACAGGCTACATTGTTGAGCGCAAGCCATATACTGTCACTGGAGAAGGTCGCTGGCTTAAGTGTAACTACACTAATGTTACTAACACAAATTTCACTATCACTGCACTGGGAGAAGGAGAGGAATATGAATTCCGTGTAATTGCCAAAAATGCAAATGGAGTGTTGAGCCTGCCATCAGTTTCAACAGGACCAGTGACCTGCAAAGCAGAATACAGTATGTATCATACATGGTTCTTTCACTAAACACGAAAGACTAATATTTTATATTAATGAGAACCTAAATACTCATGACAACTCAATTATTTTGTAGTTCCTCCTAAAGCAGAGCTGGACAGCAAACTCCTTGTGGACACAGTTATAATTAGAGCTGGATCTGATCTGGTGCTGGATGCTGCTGTTGGTGGTAAGCCTGAGCCTAAAGTCAGCTGGTCCAAGGGTACAAAAGAGCTAGAGCTTTGTGAAAAATATGCTCTCCAGTACTCAAGTACACGTGCTCTGGCAATCATCAAGTTCTGTGACAGAGATGACACTGGGAAGTATGTTCTGACAGTTAGAAATGCAAGTGGAACAAAAACTGCTGAGGTCAATGTTAAAGTGCTTGGTAAGTGTGCTAAACATACAGCGATAACATAAATGAACGGTATCTTCAGTCCCAAATATGTTGTCCATTCATACGATAATCTTTCATCTTTTTCAAGATACACCTGGCCCCTGTCAGGAGATTATAGTCAGCAATGTCTCTGAGGAAAAATGCACAGTGTCTTGGAAAGAGCCACTGGAGGATGGTGGTGACCCCATCACACATTACATTGTTGAAAGAAGGGATACCAATAGACTTAACTGGGTTATCATGGAGGCTGAATGCAAAGCCCTAACATGTGAAATTAAAAGACTTTTCAAGAACAATGAATATATCTTCCGTGTGAGAGGTGTGAACAAGTATGGACCTGGTGTGGCAGTACAGTCTACCCCCATCTTTGCCAGAAACTCATTCAGTAAGTGCCATGATTAATATTAAAAACATTAGCTAAGCTATTTTTCAGTGTTACATGTTACAATATTGCAACTTCATTTCCAATTACAGCTGTCCCATCACCCCCTGGAACACCAGAAATCCTTGCAGTTGGAAAAGACTATGCAACGATCGAGTGGCTGAAGCCTGAGAGCGATGGTGGCAGTGAAGTCACAAACTACTTGATTGAATTCCGTGAAAGAAAGAGTGTAAGATGGATTAAGGTTAACAGAGATTCTATTCTCAAGGAGACATCCTTCAAAGTCACTGGTCTCCATGAGAGCAACATTTACCAGTTCCGCATTACAGCCATGAATGCAGCTGGTGATAGTGAACCTAGTGAAGTGTCAATGTATGCAGTATGTAGAGTACCAACAGGTATGTTTCTGAAACAACCTCATTGTTAAAAATGTAACGTGTATATTACTTTAGTAACAACTGTTTACCTTATAATGTGAAATCCCTATTTTAGGCACTCCAGATCCACCTTCAATTCCAAGGGTTACAGACACACACAAGGATAGTATTAGCCTTGCCTGGACACGACCAGTTGAAGATGGAGGTGCAGATGTTATTGGTTACGTTCTTGAGATGCAAGAAGCTGGTGCAGAGGAATGGACAAAAGTGCATGAAAAGAATCTTAGGGTGACAGAACACACAGTTGCAGGTCTTTCTGCTGGCAAAAAATACTGTTTCAGAGTTGCAGCAGTCAATGTAAATGGAATGGGTGATTTCAGTGATCCTTGTGCAGAGACTGAGCCTGTGGAAAGAACTGGTATGTTCACACAAATTCCATATTGTTATATGCTGTCAAAGTTTTATATGTACAAATGCAAGAAAGAAGTTATGTCCAATATCTTTGTAAGTATCTTCTCTATTAAACTCTCTTGTTTATTATTTATTCCAGAAATTCCTGACCTTGAGCTGTCTGATGAACTGACAAAGACAATTTGTCTGAGAGCAGGAAGTTCTCTGCGGCTCCATGTTACTGTTACTGGTAGACCAATCCCAACTGTAACCTGGACCAAACCCGGTGTGGACCTCCAAAATCGTGGCTTTATTGAAGTGACAAATACTGCTACAACTCTCATTATTGACAAGGTGCACCGCTATGATGCTGGTAGATATACAATTGAAGCTTCAAATTCAGCTGGGAAGAAGGATGCAAGCATTCTTGTGAAAATCTATGGTATATTTATTTAAATATATTTTTTCTCATATTAAATCATGCACATTATTTATAGTGCATATAACAACATACCATGAAATGATGTCTAACCAGCCTGTTTATGAATTCTTTCTCAGATACACCTGGTCCAACTGGTCCAATTAAGATGAAAGAGCTTACAAAAGATTTTGCTCATATTACTTGGGATGCTCCTGAGGCTGATGGTGGAGCACCTGTCAATAATTACATCATTGAAAGACGAGAGGCATCAATGAGAGCATACAAAACTGTCACATCCAAATGCAGCAAGACATCATACAAAATAACTGGTCTGACAGAAGGAATGCTGTATTATTTCAGAGTCTTACCAGAGAATATCTATGGTATTGGTGAACCTTGTGAGACAAGCGATGTTGTGTTGGTGTGCGAAGTTCCACTTCCACCAGCCAAGCTTGAAGTTGTAGATGTAACCAAATCCAGTGTATCACTTGCCTGGGAGAAACCTTTACATGATGGAGGCAGCAGAATCACTGGCTACATTGTCGAGGCTTGTAAAGCTGGTACTGACAAGTGGATGAAGGTGGCAACTTTGAAACTTACAGACTTTGAGTTCACTATCATGTCACTTAATGAGAATGAGCAGTACTTCTTCAGGGTACGTGCTGTCAACAGCAGAGGAGCTGGTGAGCCAAAAGAAATTGTTACAGCTGTGACAGTTCAAGATCAAAGAGGTATGTACTACGATATTAACAAAAAATACAAGATGCTGTCATTTGTTTGTCATGTCTCACTGTTTATGCCTTTTTCCCTCTTTCAGTCATGCCAAAGGTTGATCTGTCAGCTATTCCACAGAAGACGATAAGTGTTTTGGCAGGCAAACCCCTTGAGCTTGACTTAACAATTATAGGAAGACCACCACCAGTTTGTTCTTGGTTCTTCAATGACAATAGGTTAAAGATTGTGGAGCGTGTGAAGATAAAGTCAACTGGAAAATTCTCTAAATTAACTATTCTTGACACTACCATTGATGACAGTGGAGTGTATACTCTTGAGGTAAAAAACATAACAGGAGTAACTACTGAAAACATCAAAGTCATCATTCTTTGTAAGTACCGACTCCCTGCATGAAAATAGATATTTTAAAATGGTTGAGTTTTAATATTAATCATAAACCTCTTCTCTCTCTGTAGCCAAACCTGATGAGCCTCAAGGACCCATCCGATTTGATGAAATTGACGCAACATCAGTCACAATAAGCTGGGATCCACCTACGAGAGATGGTGGTGCACCAATTAGCAACTATGTTGTTGAACAACGTGATGCTCATCGTCCAGGATGGGTACCTGTATCGGAATCAGTTACCAGACCAACATTCAAATTTGACAGGTTGACAGAGGGCGATGAATATGTGTTCCGTGTCGCAGCAACCAATCGCTATGGCACTGGGGATTACTTACAGTCAGAAATCGTAATGTGCAAGAGCTCCAAATGTAAGAAAAAAAATATAAAATCATGTACTGTATATATATATTCTAGACCTACTTGATCACAATTTCGAATTGTTGTTACAGCCATTCCCGGGCCGCCTGGAAGACCCATTGTATTTGATGTATCACGTGATGGCATGACTGTTGCATGGGAGCCACCAGATGAGGATGGAGGCTTAGAGGTGTCTGGCTACATTATTGAACGCAAGGAGGTCAGATCTGATAGGTGGATCCGTGCTAATAAAAATCCAGTGACAATGACAAGATACAGATCCACTGGATTAATTGAAGGCCTGGAATATGAACACAGAGTGACAGCCATCAATGCTCGTGGTGTCGGCAAACCTAGCCTTCTTTCTAAACCAGCAGTAGCAACTGATCCAGTTGGTAAGCAAAATTTTACTATTAATACATTTTTTGTGTGTACAAATTGAATTTTGGTAAATTCAATTATTATCACTTATTAAACAATTACATAACCCCTACAGATCCACCAGGGTCACCTCAAAACCCACGAGTCACAGATACCACAAAATCTTCTGTGTCTTTGGCCTGGAGTCCTCCAGATGAGGAGGGTGGTTCTAAGGTTACAGGCTATCTAATTGAGATGCAAAAGGTTGGATCAGTAACCTGGTTGAAGTGCAATGCTACACCTTCACTGATCTGTGAATATACTTTGACACAAATGCCACAAGGAGAAGAATTTAAATTCCGTGTTATGGCTTGCAATGCTGGTGGACCAGGTGAACCAGCTGAAGTACCAGGTGTTGTGACTATAACAGAGATGCTTGGTAAGATCTTATGACCCTGTCATAAACTCCCTGTAGTTATATGTGTGAAATTCTTTATGTCTGGAATAATTTAATGATTTGAAATGTGCTGTTTCAGATCCTCCAAGTTATGATCTTGAGGCAAAATACAAAGATGTCCTTGTAGTCAGATCCGGAGGAGTAATCAAACTTTCAGTACCCATCAAAGGCAAACCTGCTCCTACCTGCAAATGGACGAAGGATGGATCAGAGGTGACCAACCGTGCAATGATTGCTTCCAATGAAGATGTATCAGAGCTTGTAATCAAACAAGCTGAAAGGTCTGATTCTGGTGTTTACTATCTCAATCTGGAAAACAAGTGTGGCAAAAAGATGCTTCCTATAAAGGTCAAGGTTATTGGCCGCCCATCTGTACCTGAAGGCCCTCTTAGATTTGATGATATACAAGAACATTCTGTAAGAGTGAGCTGGAAACCACCAACAGAAGATGGTGGTTCTGAAATTGTTGGCTACATTGTGGAGAGACGTGAAGTAACAAAAGCAGCTTGGTACACTGTTGACTCACGAGTGGTTGACACATCCCTTGTGGTTAAGGGACTACAAGAAAATGTTGAATACCACTTCAAGGTGACAGCAGAGAACCAGTTTGGAATAAGCAACTCCCTGAAATCAGAGACAACTGTTGTACCAAAGACTCCCATTTGTAAGTGCTTGTCAGTGGTCTCATTTCCAGGCATTGCATGTTTGTTATTAAACAAAAAAACATTTTCTTAAATTTTTTGTTATTAATATTTAGGTGCCCCAGAGGCTTCAGGCACTCCACCAGAAATTATGGATGTTACTAAGAATTCTGCTGCTTTGGCTTGGACTAAACCCAAAGATGATGGTGGATCTCGCATTACTGGTTACTTTATTGAGTACAAAGAAGTGTCGTCTGAAAAGTGGATTCGTCATGAGACAAAGATTACCTCAACAATGTATACTCTTAGTCAGCTCTCTACTGATGCTGAGTATCAGTTCCGTGTTATTGCTGTGAATGACATTGGAGAGAGTGAACCAGGACCTGCATCAGATTCAGTAATATGCAAAGATCCCTTTGGTATGACCTCATTCTTAATTTTCTCTGTTCATTAATTGATTTAAAATTGATGTCTTGATTTAATAAAAAGAAAAAAAATAACACTATTGCGCTCTTGATTTATTTAGATAAACCAAGCCAGCCAGGAGAAATTGACACTATGACTGTTACCAAAGACTACATTACAATTAACTGGGAGGCTCCAGCATGTGATGGTGGAAAACCAGTTCTTGGCTACTGGATTGAATACCGAAAGTCTGGAGAGAGTGCTTGGAAGAAATGCAATAAGGAGCGCACAAAGGACAAACAATACACACAGGGTGGTCTACAAGAGGCAGCTGAATATGAATTCAGAGTATTTGCTGAAAATGAAACCGGAATTAGCAGACCACGCAGAACAGCAACTGGCATCAAAACTAAACTGGGTGGTATGTACTGTATGGTTTGAAATAACATAAGTATTATTGTATGTATTTGTCAGTACAATAATATTAACAAATATTTATCCCAGTGCATTTTAGAGGAGAAATTTATTTGACTAAAATGAACCTCACTATAGCTGTCTCTGCTGTTTTTTTTTTTTTAGTTGGAACTAAACCAGCTCTCAGGAAAGAGATGGATGAAGTCACTGCTAAACTAGGACAAACTGCAACTCTCAAATGTCAGATTATTGGAAGACCTGTTCCAGAAATTAAATGGTACAAGGGTGGAAAGGAAATCAAAGAAGGTCGCAAATATGCAGCGACCTCTGATGGCCGCAGTCATACACTGACCATTTCAACCGATCAACAGGAAGATGAGGGTTTGTACACATGCAAGGCTGTGAATGAAGCCGGGGAGTGTGAGACCAGTGGAACTCTGGTCCTTGAAGCAGCACCACAGTTCCCAGTGCCACTGAAAGACAAATTATTTGCAACATGTGGTAGCACAGTGCGCATACATGTTGTTTACATTGGTCGACCTCAGCCTAAGATCATGTGGCTTTATGGAGCCAAGGCTTTGGAGCCCTCTGAGAACGTAATAATTGAAAATACAGAGCATTACACTCATTTGATTCTCAAAAATGTACAGCGCAGAGTAAACGGAGGAAAATACAGAATCAGGATCAACAACCATTTCGGGGCTGCAGATACTGTAACTCATGTTGAAATCTTAGGTATATGATGCTTAATGCTTAATAATTTGTTTAAAATATCTGGTAGGTATTAGTGGAAATAAGACCAATTAACATATTCTTTGTGCTTTCAGATAAACCTGCATTGCCAGAAGGCCCTCTTGTTCTTGATGCACTGTTGAAGAATTCTGTGATAATTAGCTGGAAAGCACCCAAAGATGATGGAGGATCTATGATCACAAATTATATTGTGGAAAAGCGTGAAGACAAGGAAGGAGCAGAGTGGGAACTTGTATCTTCATCTATCACAGGCACTTCATGCAGAATTCCTAACCTTGTTGAAAATGAGGGATACTTCTTCCGTGTTTCAGCACAAAATCGTTATGGCAATAGTGAATCACTGGAGAATCCTTCTGCTATCCTCATCAAGAGTCAGCTAGGTAAGTAATGAAGAAACATGATTAAAGAAGTAACTACAATTTTGATGTTATTTTTTCAGTGTTGTAATTCAAATTAAAATGTATGTTTATACAGAGAGGCCAGGAGCTCCATTAAAACCAGTTGTTTCTGCACTTACCAAAAACTCCTGTGTTGTGTCTTGGAAGCCACCTCTCAGTGATGGTGGTTCTAAAATTAAGATCTACTGTCTTGAAAAACGAGATAAGAAGAAGGGTGAATGGGTTGCAGTTACAACAGATGAAATCCACCAGACTGTTTATTCTGTCAAGGGCCTGACAGAAGGTGTGGAGCATGAATTCCGGGTGAAATGTGAAAACCTTGGTGGAGAAAGTGAGTACAGTGAAGTATCTGACCCTGCCATTCCAAAGACTGATGTTGAAGTGCGTGCTCCTGCCTTCAAAGAAGACCTCAGAAACATGAGTGTAAAATTCAAGAGCAATTCAACATTTGTCTGCAAGATAACAGGACAGCCCAAGCCTGTAATAAAATGGTTCAAGCGTGGTAAGGAAATTCAAGCTGATGGCACCAAAATCAAGATCCAAGAATTCAAGGGAGGCTACCATCAGCTTGTTATTGCTGATTGTGATACAGAAGACTCAACTGTATATCAGATCAGAGCAACAAACCAGGGTGGAACCATTTCTGCTACTGTTTCTCTAGATGTTGAAAGTAAGTTTCCTTACTTTATCTGGCTAAACATATTATTCTGTCTGTAGAAAATTTTCAAAGTGATGCATTACAATTTTTCTTTTTTCAGTCCCTGCTAAAATTCATCTACCTAAGAATCTGCAAGGAAAGGAGGCTATCCCTGCCCTTCGTGGTGAAGTGGTGAACATCAAAATTCCATTCAGTGGAAAACCAGATCCAGTTATCACTTGGCAGAAGGGACAAGACCTTCTTGATAATGATGGACACTATCAAGTCATTGTTACACGATCCTTCACATCTCTTGTATTCTTGAATGGAGTAGAAAGGAATGATGCTGGTTTCTATATTGTGTGTGCCAAAAATAGATTTGGAATTGACCAGCAAACAGTTGAGCTTGATGTTGCAGATGTGCCTGATCCACCACGTGGCATCAAGGCCAGTGATGTTTCGAGAGATTCTGTAACACTTCACTGGGTAGCACCTGCCAATGATGGTGGAAGTAAAGTCACAAACTATATCATAGAAAAGTGTGCCACAACAGCAGAAAGATGGGTTCGTGTTGGCCAGTCTCGTGACACCCACTATACTGTTGTCAATCTGTTTGGGAAAACAAGTTACCAATTCCGTGTCATAGCTGAAAGTAAATTTGGTCAGAGTGCACCGTCTGAGCCAAGTGGATCTGTTGTAACGAAGGAAGACAAATCAAGAGTTCTTAACTATGATGAAGAAGTTGATGACACCAGGCCAGTTTCCAAAAGCAAAGCTCCTCATTCAGAGGCTAAGAATGTTCACAACAAGTACATGATTGCTGAAGAGCTTGGCCGCGGACAGTTTGGTATTATTCACCGGTGCATTGAAACCAGTTCTGAGAAAACTTACATGGCTAAATTTGTCAAAGTTAGAGGTGCAGATCAGGCACTAGTGAAGAAAGAAATTGCAACACTGAATGTGGCACGCCACAAGAACTTCCTGTTACTGCATGAGTCATTTGACTGCCCTGAAGAGCTAGTCATGATTTATGAGTTCATCTCTGGTGTGGACATATTTGAGCGCCTTGGTACAGCCAATTTTGAGCTCAATGAGCGTGAAATTGTTAACTATATCAGACAAGTATGTGAAGCTCTTGAATTCCTTCACAGCAAGAGTTATGGCCACTTTGATATCAGGCCTGAAAATATAGTGTACACTACAAGAAAGGGAAATAATGTCAAGATCATTGAGCTTGGACAATCTAGACACCTTACACCTGGCGACCAAATTAAGATTCAGTACACGACAGCTGAGTTTGCGGCACCAGAAATACATCAAAATGAGATGGTTAGCACCGTGACAGATATGTGGTCTGTCGGTGTCCTTGTGTATGTTCTTCTCAGTGGACTTAATCCATTCGCTGCTGAAACTAATCAGCAAATGATTGAGAGCATTTGCAATGCTGATTACAGTTTTGATGATGAAGCCTTCAAGCATGTAAGTGTTGAGGCATTTGACTTTGCGGACCGCCTACTAACCAAAGAGCGCAAACATCGTATGACCGCTGCTGAGGCTTTGAATCATCCTTGGCTGACAATGAACTCAGAGCAGCTAAGCACTAGGTCCATCAAGATTACACGCCATAAGAGATATTACCAAGCCATGGTTAAGAAAGAATGGAACACTGTTGTGTCATCTGCTCGTGTTGCCAGTGGTGGTGCTATCAGAAGTCAGCGAGGAGTAACAGTCTCTAAAGTGAAGATTGCACCATTTGAACATGGACCAGTTGCAGGACTAATTAAACACAGTGTTGCTGATGAAGGTGATGATATCAAGCTCATTTGCACCATTGATAACTACGATAGCACCACCGAAGTAACATGGTACTGTGGAGTAAGACAACTAGAAGAAGGCGCTAAATATGAAATTACTTATGACGACGGGCTTGCTACCATAACTATCAAAGGAATCACCAGAACTGATGACGGAACATACAGATGTAAAGTTGTCAATGAGTATGGTGAGGACAGTGCCTATGCTGAGCTCTTTGTCAAAGGGGTAAGATCCTATCGTGAGTTCTTCACTACACGTGTTGTAAAGAAAGTAAAACGCAGAGTTGACACAGCAAGACTTCTGCAAAGACCTCCTGAATTTACTTTGCCATTGTGTAACCGCACTGCTTACATTCGAGAGGATGTGCGCTTTGGTGTCACAATCACAGTGCATCCTGAACCTCGTGTAATGTGGTTGAAAACTGGTCAAAAGATTATGCCAGGAGATGATGATAAGAAATACACTTTTGTTAGTGATAAGGGCCTGTATCAGTTAGTGATTCGTAATCTTGACCCAGATGATGACGCAGAATACACTGTTGTGGCACGGAACAGATTTGGTGATGACAGTTGCAAGGCTCGTCTCACAGTGATCCCTCGTCCTGCTCCTGCTGATAACACCTTGAGACCTATGTTCAAACGTGTTCTTGCTAACTTGGAATGCAGAGAAGGCCAGAGTGTACGTTTTGAAATGAGAGTGTCAGGGCATCCTTCATTGAAATGGGAGAAAGATGGCATGCCTTTGGCATTTGGTCCACAAATTGACGTTGTGCATGAAGGCTTAGATTACTATGTCTTACATGTAAGAGATACTCTTCCAGAAGATTCTGGCACGTACAGAGTCATTGCAACTAACTCAGCTGGGTCTGCAAGTTGCCAATCCACACTCAAGGTTGAACGTGTGATACACATCAAGAAGGAGGAGAGTGAGGAACAAAAGAAGAAGAAACACGATCTTGATCAGCAAGAGATGGACAAGAGAGTAAGACTAACTCAGATACTAGCAGGTGCAGATGTTACCCCACTTACTCCAGTCGCACAGCAAGCACTAAGAGACGCTGCAACTATGTTCAAGCCAGCAATCACTACCAAGAAAGTCAAGAGCGAAGCTGAGGAAGCCAAAGAAAAAGAAGAAAAAAAGAAGAGAGCAGAAGAAAAGAGGTTGAGAATGCCATATGTTATTCCTCCACCTCGTGTTGTTGCTCCTACTGCTCTTGAGGAGGACATGGAAATCAAACACTTTGTGCCTTTCTCTGATATGAAGTGGTACAAGAAACTCCGTGATCAGTATGAGTTCCCGGAGCCAATGGAAAAGTTCCCCCAGAAAAGACTTAAGCGCATCCGGCTGTCAAGGTGGGATCAGTTCTATGAAGTACCCCTGCCGAGAATTAAAGACCAATACAAGCCAAAATGGCATATTCCTGTTTCACAGGATGACCTTGAGACTGTAAGGCCAGCAAGACACCGTACACCTTCTCCAGAGATGGAGGCTTACTACAGAATCAGGAGACGCTCTCTTGGTGATCTTTCTGATGAGGAACTGCTTCTGCCTGTTAAAGAATACTTGTCAATGAAGAGAACAGAGGAAGAACGACTTAAACTTGAGGATGAACTTGAGTTAGGCTATTCTGCTTCTCCACCAAGACTTAGCCCTGTACGCTTTGAACTCTCTGCACTGCGTCACCCATCACCGAAGAGAGCTGCATATGATGAGGAGGAAGGGGAGGAAGTTCCAACATATGACTCCTACCGTATTCCATCTAAATATGAGGCTGGTCCAAGCTATATTGACTTACGTCAGCGTCACGATAGGGCAACATACAGACCTCCAAGACAAAAGCAAAGGTTGTATGAGGAAAAAGAGGATCAGGAACTGCTTAGGTCAGCAATGACAACCACAAAGTTAACTTCCTACAAGAGCCAACTGCAGCACATTGAGTTTGAGGAGAAAACAAAAGTCAAAAGAAAGGAGAAAACAAGAGTTTCTGTGTCAGCGGTAACTGAGGCAGCAGTCATAACTGATATACCTACAGCATCATTCTCTCCTGGCTATGCTACAGTAACTCGTCCAAAGAAGCCTTCTGCTGCTCTGGCAGAAAAAGAAGTGGTTAAAACGACATCACTTGAAAAAACACGCCCACGTTCCCCCAGCCTTGAATCTGCTGAGAAAGCAGCCACTACACCAGACTTATCAACAAAAATTGATTATATGTCAAGGTATGAGTCAAGAAAGAAAGCCTTGAAAACTGAGAGGAAGCTTGAAATTGTGACCCAGCAGCCTTTTACCCTTGACCATGCTCCCAGAGTGACTGTAAGAATGCGCTCTCACCGTGTGCCAATTGGTCAAAGCACTAAATTCACACTGAATGTCCAATCTAAGCCAGAAGCACAGATTAAATGGTACCACAATGGAGTGCAGATTGAAGAAAGCAGAAAATACCGTATGTTTAACATGAGTGGTGTTTTGTCTCTTCAAATCACTGATTGTCAGGAAGAGGACAGTGGCACCTACCGTGTCGTCTGCACAAATGCAAAGGGAGAGGCCTCTGACTATGCCACTCTCGATGTTGCTGGTGATGGATTTTCTGCATATGCCTCACAACGTAAAGATGAGGAGCCACCAACTCCCTTTGTCCCTGAGATGACAAAAACAGATGTTTATCATGTTTCATCTACAAAAGCAGCATCTGTATCAGAAACACAAGTGGAATTATCCAAAACTAAAACAGACAAGATAGAAGAGACAACTGAGACTGTTGTTCAGGAGGAGCAGGTAACATCGGAAATCAAACTTGAAACCATGGCAGTGACAGCAGTTGAGGAAGTTGTGGTTGAGAACATTTCTGAGACTAAACTTGAAGCTACAGAAGTGACAACAGTAGTGGAAAAAGTGGTTGAGGAAAAGAAGCCAACTCTCCCAGCAACAATTCTGACTAAACCCCAGTCACTCACAGTATCTGAGGGAGAATCTGTTAAATTCACCTGTGATGTTGATGGTGAACCTGCACCCACTATAACATGGATGCGAGAGACTCAAGTAATTGTGTCCTCTCATCGTTACCATATTACCTCAACTGAATATAAATCTACCTTTGAGATTACCCAAGTAGAAACGTCAGATGGAGGTAATTACACAGTAATGGCAGAGAACTCTGAAGGTAAACAGGAGGTACAGTTCAGTCTAACTGTTCGTAAACCAACACCTATACAGAAAGTTGTTGCTTCTCCTCCAAGAGTGAAATCTCCAGAGTCTCCCCGTATAAAGTCACCATTTGGAATTAGGTCTCCACAGAGAATTAAATCACCTGAACCAATTAAATCTCCACCAAGAGTTAAGTCCCCACCCATGGTAAAATCACCTACTCCAAAAGAAAAAACATCCAAGCCAACCTTCTCAGCAGAACTAAAAGACATCTCAGCCTCTGCAGATTCTATTATAAAGCTTACAGTGAAAGTGTCCGGTGAGCCTAAGCCATCAATCTCTTGGATGAAGGATAGAAAAGTAAGAGAGGGACTTTTATGAAAAAAGTTATATAGTAGAATGGATGGGTTTACTAACTAATTTTGACATTTTCTCACAGAACCTCTCTCAAGGTGGAAAATATGAAATATTTGAAGAACATGGTTCAGCACATCTTGAAATCTATGAAGCTGATGTCTCTGATAGTGGAGTGTACACATGTACAGCCAAAAACAGTGCTGGATCTGTTACTACAAACTGCACTGTTACCGTTCAAGGTATTGTAATGCGCAATTTAGTGCTCAAAATACATTATGATTTTAGAAAAATTATAATTTTTTGTAATTTTGCATGTACAATTGTACTTTAATCAAGATAAACTACTCTTTCCTGTACAGCACGAACAACAACAGTTGCCATTGAAAGAAAAGCAGAGTTGACAGAGCAAATAGTGAAAAAGGAGATTGCCTATGAGGAAGTGCAGTCCTTTACAGAAATTAAAGCATCAAAAACCCAAATGACAATGAGTCAAGGTCAGACTGTTACACTACGAGCAAACATCCCTGAAGCCTCTGATGTGAAATGGATCCTGAATGGAGCCGAGCTATCAAATTCAGAGAACTACAGATATGGTGTGTCAGGAAATGATCACACCCTGACAATTAAAAGCATCAGCCACCATGACCAGGGAATTCTCACATGTGAGGCCAAAACTGAACATGGTATAGTCAAGTGCCAGTTTGACATGACCGTCAGTGCAATGCACTCAAATGCACCAAGTTTCCTTGTGCAACCACGCTCCCAGAATGTAAACGAGGGACAAAATGTCACATTTACATGTGAAATCACTGGTGAAACTTCTCCTGAAATTGAGTGGCTCAAGGAAAATACAGTAGTGAGTATTTTGGGGGAAGAAGAAAGTACAGTTTATTTGTGTTTTTCCTCATAGCAGTCTGTTAACTTTATTTAAATTTATTTTTATCTTTGCAGATATCTATTACATCGAACATGAAATTGAGTCGGTCTAAGAATGTGTACACACTTGAGATTCACAATGCCACCATTGAAGACAGCGGAAAATACACAGTAAAAGCTAAGAACAAATTTGGACAGTGCTCTGCAACAGCATCACTGAATGTCCTTAGTAAGTGTTTGATCCATTCCTAAGAATAAATTAACACTCTGTAGTAACCTAGTATGAGCATCCTGTCCATTATATAAAGTGCTTGATCAAACCAAGCATGTATGTCCATGAAGAATACATATCTAATTATCACTAATTATCACTGCTCATCAATCAAGCTAACAAAATCTAACAATTCCTTCTACAAATGGAGCTATGTTCTTAAAGGGTTAGTTCACCCAAAAATGAAAATTAGCCCATAAATTACTCACCCTCAAGTCATCCTAGGTGTATATGACTTTGTTCTTTCAGATGAATCCAGTCGGAGTTATATTAAAAATGGTCTTTGATCTTTCAAGCTTGTTTCATGGCACTCAGCGACTGTTGCATGCATCAGTCCAAAAGAAGTTAAATACAAAGAGCCCATCCATAAAAAAAGTGTCAGCCCCAGGGGGTGAACAAAGGCCTTCAGTAGCGAATCGATGCGTTTTTGTAAGAAAAATATCCATATTCAAAACGTAATAATCACTTTAATGTAGCTTGCGCTCACTGTTGTACACGGAAGCAGTTCCGGGCGGATGACGTATGTAGGTCGGCTTTGCGCATGCGCCGCTCAGAAGTGATGCACGCGGAGGCGCAGGGGAGAGATCGAAACAAAACAACGGTCACTAATTAGAAGTACAAAACGAGGATTTGTAAAGAAGAATGTCGGAGGATTTTGATATAAGCCAAGAGGAGACTGGTTTTCCTTTGTTAAAGTAAGGAAACTTTGCTTCCTTTGCTCCTGTTAAAACGTTGGTTTTCACGAGACGCACATGCGCAACGCTGAACTCATACGTCATCCGCCCGGAGCTGCTTCCGTGTAGGACTGTTGGCGCAAGCTACATTAAAGTGATTATTACGTTTTGAATATGGATATTTTTCTTACAAAAACACATCGATTCGCTACAGAAGGCCTTTGTTCACCCCCCAGAGCCGTGTGAGACACTTTTTTTTTATGGATGGGGGCTTTGTATTTAACTTCTTTTGGACTGATGCATGCAACACCCGCTGAGTGGCATGAAACAGCTTGAAAGATCAAAGACAATTTTTAATATAACTCCGACTGGATTCGTCTGAAAGAAGAAAGTCATATACACCTAGGATGACTTGAGGGTGAGTAATTTATTGGCTAATTTTCATTTTTGGGTGAACTAACCCTTTAAGATCCCTTTGACTTTGTTGGATTGCATTTTGACCTACTGAATTTAACTACCACAGTACATAATAAAAATGCACCAAATAATATAAATGCATTTGCAGTTGGCATAGTGATAACGTTAACGGTATGAATTTTCAAGGATATAAATATCCAATCCATTTTTACCATCCATTAACCATGCATCACATAGTTTGATTCATTTGACAAAAATGTTTGAGAATAAAGTCAGAATAATCAAAAGATTATATTTTTCGATTAGCATTACCAACTGAATTTCCTTAAAGGTACAATCTGTAAGTGGTGCAACTGGAGCATTTTTTATTTTAGTAATACCAATGCCATCAAAACTGTTCCAATATACTTTACATTAAATATGCCCAAATGTTTCAAACAGGAAACAGAGACCAGTTGCACCATTTGAATTGCCTGTTGTACCTTTTTATGAAATAAATTGCATCAGTGACATGGTATTTGCTGTACTCTCACAGCTCTGGTTGAGGAACCTGCCAAAATGATAATTGTGGAGAAAGCCTCTGATGCTACGAGCATGCAGGGGAGTTATGCTGCCAAGCATGTAGTTTCAAAAATGCAAGAGACATCCTTCAGCAGTTCCAGCATGGCTGAGGTTAAATTTGAGAGCATGTCAGCGTCTAGCATGACCTCCATGACTTCTGAAAGAATGATAGCTATGAGCTCCAGCAGTATGATGGCAATGTCCAGTCACTCGCATGCTGAGGGGTCATCCATCAAAGCCATTTCTCATGGCCGCAAAGGTGAGATGGAAAGTCTGTGCATCTTTGCCAAAAAAACATTTACAGTTCAGCAAATCAGCAGAGCTATATCACCATAATAACAGATTCATTTGTTTGTCCTCTAACCAGGTATACCACCTAAGATTGAGGCTGCCCCTCAAGATATCAGTATTGAGTCAGGGAAGGACCTGACTGTAGCCTGTGCTTTCACTGGAGACCCAGCCCCTTCCATAGAATGGTCACATTCAGGGAAGACACTGTCCAGCAAGGAGGAGAGTGGACGATTGCAGATTGAGACTTCTCAAGATATCACCACTCTTGTTATAAGTGGAGTGAAAGAGACTGATGCTGGTGCATACACCTTAAAACTTTTTAATGAGTTTGGATTTGATACCACTACTGTCAATGTCAGGATTCGATCGATGTAAAAAAAATACAAATAGTTATACAATCCTCACCCCATTTCCCATTTCCCTCATTCAACATTCAAATCCTTTTTATTTATAGAATGAGAAAAAAATACTCCGTTCTTGATAAAGACCTGGATTTATGTTCTTGTAAATATGAACTATTTTTATTCCAAACTTGACATTAATTTATGCCAAACTAGACTAAAGTCTAAAGTTGCTATAAAATGTGCCATATTGGATAACTATGATCAGAAGTTCAGCACCATTTTGTGACATGTACATAATGTATATAGCCGAATTTACCGGTTATGGAAAATGTATGAATTGTTATGACAATATTAAGAAATGAAACAAGTGGAACTAAATGTTTTAACAGGAGAAAGTTTCACATGGAACGAATACTCTGTAAAACCTGAAACAAAGCAAAACTCTGTGCCTCAACAATAAGTTGAAGTCTTAAGATTGCCTCAACAGGTAGAGAGGCTCCCTGTTGAAGTTAACTAAAATCAGAGAGACGAAGTTATGCACTGTACATTTGTGCATGCAGTAATGCAGTAAGCAAGAATTTATGACTTGAACGCAAGACCTTGAGTGCTGTTTGCATTACCCTCATGTAAGCAGGGCAACTAGGCCTTGTGTTCAGACTGACGAAGTCATACCGCCATTTTAATGACAAGCTCAATGTGCGAGCGGCCTGCACAATGAGTTAATGATAATGTTTGTGCACAGTTTCTGGCAACGGACTGTTTGAATTTTAATTTTATGAAAGTAACACCACCTGGCCATTAATTGTAAAATCAATTCAAGTGCTTCTTTGTAGAAGCTGTGCCAAATCTGGGAGGATTGCTAGGTTATATTTTGTGTGTTTGTGTGTGTGTTAGCGTTAGAATCTCACTTTGTCAGCAGCCAGGGTATCCATCAAGTAATGTACCACAGAGACTTCATGTGCTGTGCTGTGCAAAGAAAAATACATGGATGTAATACCCTGCACATTGATTTATTAGAACTAATTTATGTAGTTTTACCCATATATTCAGCCTCCTTGAGTTTTATGAATTACTGATTTAATAAAGCATGTTTTCAGCACCATAAAATGTTTGTGTGTGAACGCTACTTAATTTCATATTTGATGTATGAATTATGTTTACTCAGTCTTTGAATAATAGCTTCATGTCTTCATAGTTGGTTTAAACAACATATTTAGTTTTCGTTTAAAGCAGGTTCACTTCTTTCAGTTTTATCGAATTTCAGCCAATGTTGTTTAACAGGATAACCTGCTTGAATCAGTCATTTGAAACAGGAGAGCAGCAACATTGCCAAGTTTCTTGCACTATTTAAAAAAGCATTTTAAAGGGTAAAACAAAAGCCATAAAATAATGTTCATCTGATGTCTAGTAACAATTAAATGGACATTATCTATTGACATTGCCTATTTAAAACAGCAAAATTATTTTATGATTATTCAATCTATAATTTATATAATTCTTTCTTGCTGTTAGGCGACTGATTAGATTATATACATACCCTTCGTACAATATAGCCTACGCCCATCTGAATCTATTCTAAATCTATAACACCCACTTAATCTATATAAACCCACCAGTGTAAAGTTTATTTCTGATCATAAATTAGTTTTTTTCAAATGTTTCTTCCTCAAAAGTAGGGTAGAGTGGGGGAAAATTGCCCCCTACTGTTTTTCCCAAAATAACCACTAGATATGGTTGAGATACCTTTCCGTTGTTGCACTACACTGAGAAGAGAGATGTAGAAGTATTCACTATGAAGCTTACACTGGTGACGTACCTGAGAGAAAAGGATTTCATCCACTGATCTACAGTATATGTTCTCTATTATAGATCAGTGATTTCATCTCATTTTCAGCAGTAGGAGAAAAAGTGTTTTAAAGCTTGTTTTGCAGAACATCACAGTTATTTATGATATAAGAATAGTTGGTTACACTTTACTTGAAGGGGTGTGCATAAGACTGACATGACACCTTCATAATCATGACATGACACATGTCATGAATATGAAGGTTTTTTTATGCATATTTATGACAACTGTCATTAAGTGTCATTCGCTCAGTTATGTAATTTATTATGCAAAGATGACATTGTTTGAGATGTCTTTGTTATGGGCTATGGTTAGGGATAAGGGTAGGGGTAGGGTTAGGTCAAATAATGTCATATTTGCATTAAAAATGACAACTGAGCGAATGACACTTAATGACAGTTGTCATAAACATGCATAAAACCTCCTTTATATTCATGACATGTGTCATGTCATGATTATGAAGGTGTCATGTCAGTCTTATGCACACCCCTTCAAGTAAAGTGTTACCGAATAGTTTAATGTTGTGTAAGGAAAATAAAATTATATTTTCAGTGATTTTTATTTTCCAAAACTAGTCTGTGGGGTAAAATGCGCCCAGGTGGCACGTCCCACTCATAAGTAGCCTACTGTAGTTACATGTTCTGAACATCACATCCTTTGTTTTTCCATAAAATGTAATCTAGCTAGGTGGTTGAATAAGTATTTTTGGACTTCATATTTAAAAATGACCTCAGGTTAGCACCACCAGCTAGTTAGCTAGCCAGCTAGCATCAGCTAATAATATTTTGCAAACAGGCTGATTTTAAGCAGGTTCATTATATTTATCTACTGTTCTTTTATATTGTCTTTTTAATTTTAAGATAAAACTGCTAGTACTCTGATGTTGCCCCACCCCGAGGGGCGTTTTCCACCTGTTTGGCAAAACACCCCCTTAATGGTACAAATTTAATTTTTGTTAAAAATGTAAAAACATGAAAACTCTAACTGCGGTCAGGCCAGCCTCCACTTTGAAAAATGCGGTCATTCTAGCCGCCACGTTGTTTTGTGATGCGCGCATATACTAGGCGTTACGGTAATAGCGTGTAAACCTCAGATCAAGGGAAAAAAGTTCAAGCTCTCATGCGTTATCACTCTCGCCCTCTCTCACTCTCACTCTCTCTCTCTCTC